GATTTGCCTCCCTTTCTTATCGCAACTTTTACGGTCATAAACTACTATATAGTGGCTTTCCATGCCAGTGTGTCAATATTTTTTATCGGAGTAAAAGGTAATAAAGATCACTAAAAGGAATTCGAAAATCGAATATCCTTGGGATGTAACTCGGATTAAAAATATTGACTACCTGACACGGAAGACAACTAGTTCTTTTTAAACCAAAATGTTAAGATAACAAATATAGGTCAGCGGAGGCGTTTCGAAGATTATTTCTCAGGCAACTAGTAGGTACATCATTTTTACGAGTTTTCGGAATTTCGGGACAAGTTTTTGCGTCATAGAAATCGTCAAAAATCGTATTTTCCTCGCTTAGTCTACGGAACTACGGGGTATGTTTACACCTCGTTACAGCCCAAAAACATAGCCATGTTTCAATGTTCATCCGTAAAACGAAAAAATATAATTAGATTTTTGTTTGTATAAATTATATAACGAATAACAATAACCGGAGAAAAAAAGAAACAAAACTGAATTAACTGTAAAAAGCAAGCATAAATATATGTGACGATCCTTCTTGCACATAATTAATTGTTGAGTTGAATTGATCTGGTAAAACGGAATGAAAGATGGATCGTGTATAATGGAATAATATAATATAAAAATTCAAAATTACCTCTTCCAGCTAAATTTGTACCGGATATATCTAATGACATAAGATTAGGAAGGCTTTTTACGATGAGTGCTAACGTATATTCGTCCCTAAACATATTCTTAAACCTTTGTTCTTGAGTAGACGAACATCTTGATAAGTCTAAAACACTGAAAGTCCACAATTAATTTATAGCTAAAAGAGCAAATGTTGTAAAATTATTTACGTTTTACTTACACCAAGGACTTCAATTCACAAACATGAAGAACAGTTTTATTTTGTTCCATACTACGTGTTGGTACTTCGAACAGAATTAATGTATGCAAGTTGGGTAGCTGTTTTGTGTACTGAAGACAAATTACGATTTTAGAATACGAAAAATCTAGTGTATTAAGTTGTGATAAGTCGTTGCACCTAAAAAACCAAGTTACGTTGCTTGTGTCCTTTTTTTTCATCCCTTTTAGAGCCAAGAGCTTGAGGCTCGGCGGTCTGTTGCCGCCTAAACTAACTACTTTTGACAACTTTCTGAATATTAAATTGTAAGAAGGTAATGGGCCAGTTATGTGGACGCGCGGACCAATAACTAGCGACTGTAAGTTTTTGGAGTATTTAAATATACGTGCAAACATCTTGGAATCAAAATTTGTACAGTTTTTCAAATTTAGTTCATACAAATTGTGACGCAAAAAATACTTAAGGCCGGCGCCAGTGATGCTAGAATCATGTATGTTTACCGATTTAAGGGAGGTTTTAGTAACATCTTTGAAAAGATGTGCCACGGAGTCATTAATATCTTTGCCGCTGTCCTGGTAGGCCTTTAAAAATTCTTCACAAATAAATCTATGCAAAAACAACCCCTTGTGCAGAGTATATCCTTCGCTACTGTAAGTACCCAAGATGTTCAAATTAGAGGCTAAAGACTCTAAACACAAACTAAACAGAGTAGTCGGAAACTGTTTCATTGTTATTATTATTTTAAAATAAGATCCGTTCTAAAAAAAATTTATCTCGTACTTTTCAACAGTATGTACGCCTCTAATTATCTTACTACAAATATTGCCGTTTCGACGTATTGCCCGTTTTTCACGTAAATATGGTTAGGTTGAATGCCCTGTTGTATGTCTTCGACGGTCGCGAACCGCTGCTACAACACTGAACAGTGACTGTTTGTAATATAAATCTTGAATCTTCACTACTCACGGTCAAAACGAGAGAAAACGTAACACACCATTGGACATTAACCACATCCTGCGACCTCGTACTTTATTGATTTTTATATTTAAGTTATAACATCCAACTATCAGCTGTATACAGTACTGCCACCGATTAAATTACTGGTAATTATTATACGATAGACTATCTATGCTATATGGTCAAACATATCTTAAAACGGCTAATTTACGATTGTACCTAGCATTGATTTTAGTTATAATTGAAGAAGAATATTAGGTAAGTATGTTGATGTGTAGACATTATAATATGAAATACAATCAAATAGTTTGCGATATCGCTGACAAGGTAGCACTGTACAACCAACCCCGCTTAAACAACACGTACATTGCCGGACTACTACGTTAGTCATTTTGTTCAATGGCGGGAAAATTTGAAATAAACGCGTCACGCGGTACTGTTTGTCATTTGGCTAATAACTGAATTATTTCACTTCTTAAAACACTAATTTCAAAAATTAAAATTTTTACCTAATCTTACCATATTTTTTTTTACCCATATTTAATCATAGCATTTACAATTATTCTAACGTCTACGACATACTTCATGTCATACATACTTAAAAAATGTCATAAATTTTGAATACTTCTAATAAATTAAACGCCTGCGATTAAATATGACAATAATTATTTTTTATACGCTATAAACGTTTCATTATTGGCTTCGTTCAAATTGAATACAAATGTTTTTAGTTTATAAAGTTTTAATTATTAATTATTAAAACCCTTCCTATATTAATATACCTAAACTGGGTTTCTTTTTTTATTACATGACCATCATCTATTACTAGTGCAAGGTTAAAACTTCCTAAAAAAAGAGTGGTCCATGATAATCCAATTTGTATTTTATTGTTTAAAAACAAGTACAATATGCGAATAAATATTATACAATATATGTGTAAGTAGGCACATGCATACAGAATGCAATATTGAAAAGTAAAAACCTATCAAAAATAAAATTCACTTACTAGTGTGAGTACTTACAACTTAGGTAGATTTTTACCTAGGTAATCATTATTGTTAAAAATATATGCTGTCAATATAATAACACGTCATGGACTTTTCGTTGTATGTATAATTAGGTAGCTAATTATCTCAAACCAATTACAATTATTATTTTTGTTTGACATTAGATAACCAGTACTTAACCGTTTAAATTAAAAAATAGGTTATAGAACATGAACTTATCAGTTATCAGTGATAATATAGTATAGGTAATATTACATTTTATACTATTTATAGACTCTACGCTGTATAATGCATCCATATACAATTTTTTTAATGCAACTTGTTTAGTAAATAGGGTGATATACGATAGTTTTAATATAAAATAGTTCATTGTTAATGTCTCTAATGGGATGAAGCAAGTATACATACTTCATTGTTTTTTCCTCTTAAAACTGAATCAAGATGTATAAAGCTAAATTTTAGGGTATTATATATGATAATAGATTGATAAAACGAAATTTAAACAACACAATAAATCTTTAATTACAAAATATAATTTAATTTTTTAGCATTAACATAAATCATTCTTCTTAGCGTTGTAAGAGTCTTAGGTGGCAAGATAACCTGGTAATGAAATAGGAATTAAAGGTTTTGATTTGCGATAGTGAACTTATAACATGCATAAATAAATATTTGCAGTTTTGTATGTACGTAACAGTTAAATTTTATTTAATGATAACACTGTAATATTCTTTTAAGTACAACTGTAAGTATTCTATGCGTAAGAAATGTAATATTCTGAGTAATAATTATTATTTTTTAATTAATTTTAAATTCTATGTTGTATAATAATTAGGTAAATACTTAATTAAAAATTTTGTTACAATATAATTCACCGACTCATTAAAATGTAAAATTAATAAATAAGATATATCCATACATATTATTCTATTTATTTATTTTATCATTTATGTAATATAAATATGTAGTTGGGTAAATTTATATAGTTTTTAATGTATAATACATAATTGTATTACTTTTGAACCATGCAAACTATTAGTTTAAAATTTAAATCAACATATACATGTTATTGCTCACACTATGATAAATAATTAATGTGTTAAATCCACAGTTTTAATTTTAATAACAATGTATAATATTATAACTAGATAGTAATATCATTTTAACAGCTATACACTAAATAGTAGTTGCCTACACTACTAGACTAGTTCTATCCATAACATAGTATAATAGGTTAAAGCTAGTATAAGGTTTACGGTTCTACCTCACACCGCAATTTCTATTGTTAACATTTATTATATTAAAGTAAACTTGTATAATATATTACACTACGAAAAACAGAAATATTTAATAATAATTGTTACAACATTATTAATATTACCAGAATATAATTACATCATAGTTATAGTTTTAATAAGAGGTATAGTTTTAACAGGAAATTATAACACAAACATTATTTGAATAATTTTTTTCTAAATATTATAAGTTAAAAAATTATATGGGTACATAAAATATTTTTCAAACATTACACAAATAGTAGTACTATGTTCAATTCTATTCACCATTACATGACTCACACGTTGTAAGTAATAGATAAGTAAAAGTATAAAGATAGGTAAAACGTACTACACATATAGACTATATAGCACTAATATAATATTACTATAAATACACAACTATATATGTAACTTATACATTTTTGAGTTAATAGTAATGACTATACGTTTTAATTATTTTTAATATTTATATGAGTACATACTTATAAAACTCAATTACTAAAAGTTGAAACATGATTTAAAAATAAATTTACAAGAATTATATGCTAAAGAAAATCTTACATAATCATTAATCAAAATGAAATAGTTAATAACAATATCAGTGTTACGAAGAAACACATTTAAAATTGAATGCTTTCTTTATTTGTGAACACTCCAATCATTGCACAAATTTTAAGGACTATTGATGCTTAAAATACTGAAAATTAATTATCAGTTACAACTAAAAGAGAAGTTTACAAGAATGTGCAAAAAGTTCACAGATAGTGGTATAAATAGACAAAAATAAAGGAAAGAAAATATGTTGTTGGTAGACTTGGTTGTATAAGCTTGAAAGAAGTAAAATTTTAAGGAATCAAAGTAAAAAATAAATAAAGAGATACAAATCTCTTATTATCCAAAATATGAGTAAGGAAAAAAGTTCTTACCGATTTCACTTAGCAGATTTATCTACATCAGTTTATATTGTATATGAGACATAGATTAATGATTCTTTGAGCTAGCGGTATATTATACCAGGCTGATTGGTCATACTATCATTATCATTGAGTAAATCTTGCATAATTTATAAACCAACTTCAATGTTAGTTCAACTTTTTATTGAGCATAAAAATATATGAATTTTTAAATTAGATAAAAATACAAATTTGGCCGACCCCATGTAGTTGGGAGTGTAGGGGGAAGATAAAGAAGAAGATAAAAATACAAATTGTGCCTTCAATGGCCTACAAAAGTAGAAGAATATTATAATTTACTTTGTCACTAAATTAGTTATTAAACAAATCCTTAAGCATCTAAAGAAGACCTTAATGACATTTCTATCAAGAAACCTTTTACAATTGATCAGTACTTCATCCATTATATTCAACAGTATAGACCACACTACTTTAAGAGCGTCATCATACATATCTTGTTCCAGTCTGTTTTATATTATTGCCATTATGTGCTAGATAAAAAAAAGTTATTAATTTGTTAAAATTGAGACAGAAATAACATACTTTTTTTTTTTTAAGCAGAGGTTGTTTTTAAGCGAGATAAAATATGTAAAAAGAAGTTTTATACTTCCTTATCATTCTTCAATGCAAGTTAGTTGTTGAAACTTTTAAAATTAGATAATGATATACTAACGATTAAATTACTATTAAAAAACAAGTAACAACGTAGTATATGCATCTTGTAAATAAGTTGTATGCCAATTAAGAGTTAAATATATAATATTAGGAGTTTAAAAAATAGTACTTGATAATAATAGTTTTTAACACAATATATTATGTTTTGTATTTCTGAGATCTGTGATGACAGTTTGCTAAAATTAGACTCAATAGCTTTTGTACTTTCTCTTGGATTTCTTATTAATATTGTAAAACAGAAGTGATTTCAATGTCAAATAGTATTGTGTCAAAAATATTGATTTAGAACCTAACCTATCCTCTGTAACCCTTTTAATTTGAACACTGGAGTAAATAAATTACTTTAATTGATACCTTAATGACTCTACAATTTTTTAGTTCATTTTTCTGCTTATTGTATAAATTCCATGTAACTGCATTCAGAAAAAAGTGATAAATGTTGGTAAAATGTATGATTGTGATTTGTGCAGTAACTGTTAGACTCATACATCTCACACACGAACACACATACACACACTATTATTATTGGTGTACAAATTTAGAAGTGAAGTTAACAAGTTGTGCAAAAAAGAAAAACGATAGTGGTGAATAGCTTTGTTAACAGATAAGAAACAAATGAAAAATAAAAAAATGTTCTTTGTAGGCCTGGTTGTAGTTGATGAAGGTGGAAAGAGGCAAAATTTTAAGGAATCAAAATAAAAGATAAATTATAGTCGATAATATTATATTAAAAAGGTTATACAAATTGTATCTAATCCATGCTTCTATCTTATTAATTATACTAACCTAATCCCAATGATAGAAGAAAAGTCATAGTTCCTTGGCGAATCAAATCATTACTGTAGTTATAACAATTTATTCCCGTTAACAATGCTCTAATGATTTTATTTTGTACATGTATGTTATTTAAAAGTAAAGAGTTTTTATAGAATACCACAATGTCGTTAATTGTAATACTAGAAAAAAATTCAATTTAAATTAATTCCATGTCTAAAAAAATGAATGTTAAAATAAAAGTTTTTTACTTACATGCACAACATTTGAATTGATTTTTTATTTGTATATCTTGTGAAAACTTCTAGAACGATATCCAAAACTTCATCAATTTTTGTCCACTGTTGTTCCTTTACTAAACATTTGACATCATAAAGAATGTTTTTAATTTGACTTGGTCTATCCATATACAAACCAGCTGCTATTAATAATTGTTCTTCGTTAGCATTACCGCTTATCTAAAATAGTAATAAATCATAATTTATGGAGGGAAATGTAGGAAAACAAAACTAATGTTTTATTTTATAATACAGTTTTTGCTGGAATTAATTGTCGACGACAAGCATTATACATTGTATGATAAAGGCCTAGAAATTCGAATGGCTTGTTAGCTCGCGTTCGTAAGCCAGGAATATCATATAGTTTTCCATGAGTTCCATTCAACGATTCATGAACTGGATTTTCTGCAATACCTGTAATCATATTGAATTTTAAAATACTTATTTTACACAATATACTGTAACAAAAAAAAATGTCTTGTATTACCTACATAATATTTGCGTAAATACTTTATATCAAAAAATGTTTTACATTAAATTGAATGATTTTTATTTTGACTTTAAGACTATTTTAATAATGATATGGACTATAGTCTATAATCAGTCCCAAATAAATGTTCATTTATTATAAAGATAATATGTGAAAATAATATTAAATTATTTAAATTTAAAAATTACCTTTTCCAGCCAAGTTTGTACCGGATATATCTAATGACATGAGTTCAGGAAGACTTTTTACAATATGTTCTAGTGTTTTATTTTCATCTTTGAATATACCACGATTCGGAGAATAATTACTTTGTGAAATATCTAAAACACTTGGAATTCCATAATTGATTAATATCTACATGAATTTAAATATTGGTGTTCTACTTACACTAATGTCTTCAATGTACAAATATGAAGAATAGTATCATTTTTTTCCAAATTCTGTGCATTAAATAGAATTAATGTATGCAAATTAGTAGGATTACACATGTTGTAATAAAAACAATCAATTCCCAAACTGTATGAAAAATCTAATATTTCAAGTTTCATCATCAGCACTCTGAACTCATGATTTAATTTTGTGTTGTCCAGAGAAAAGTAAGGTGAAATAACAAGTTTTCTTAAAACCAGATGTTTAAGGTTTGGCGCTTTTAGATTGATATTTTGAACTATACGACACAATCGTTTTGAACTGTTTTCCGAGTGCTTAGTGGTTATTATACCAGCATCTATGTTCAACATCTCTAGGTTGTGAGCATAATCAAATAGTATATTAAACATCTCGTACGATAGACTGTCACAGTCTATTAATGTTAGCTCGTACAAATTATGACGCAAAAACAATTCGAGACCGTTTATGCTGATGCTAGAATTACGCAGGCTTAACGATTTAAATTTGGTTTTTGTGTCGTTTTTGAATATGTTTGCAAAAGAGTCATTAATATCCATGCCGTTCTTTTGACAGGTTTCGATAATCAATTTCCAAAAAACACTGGGCACAGCAACATTTTCACGCAGCGCGTACCCTTCGCGGGTTTTTTGACACAGAACGTCTAAATTGCCGGCTAAATACTTTAAGCACAAAAAGAAAAGAGATTCTGGTGAGTTTGTTTTTATGTTCCCAAAGCCACTCGCCATCTTACGACGTTCAATCTGGTACAATTTACAATTTAAGTGTAATTGCCTACTTACTTTTGACAGTATGATATTCTCTGTAGATGAATACTTGTTAAATACCTTATTGGTCGACTAAAATTATTAGTGACATACAATGGCGGAGGCTCTTCTGACTTCGAAGCTTGACCAGTAAGTAATAACTTGTGGCGCTGAAACATTAACCAACTGCTGTTTTTATAGGTCAAACTATATTATGTACACTATATAATTGAACGAAAGGCGATCAATACTAAATTTAAATAAGCTTGACAGGGTGTCGCGCGAGAGAGACGAAAGCAAAATGTTGGCAGCACCATGACCGAACTGGATCATTGAGCGTTGTAGAGAAGCCGTTCAGTCAACAACTTTGTTCGACAAGTTACTCCTCTTTATGGTGCAGTCACTTTAGATAAACCAATTTTAATACGGTAATTAGTAAATATTTGTGGTGACACAACTTTTGTTATAACTTAATGTTACTTATTACCAAGATTTAAGATAATAATAATAAATCGTGTAATAAGATTGACTATGATTCCTATCATACCGATATGCTTTGATAATAGAACGAAGGACGATGTTTTGTCAACGTTACGTGGTCTCGATATTGGACTTACTAATATAAACCCATAGTTGTACACCATAGATTCAAAGCGGTTCAGCGATTTATCTGCACAAAAGATGTTTGCTTGTTAGGTCTAGTTCAGAGACAATGGCGTAACTAGAGACTAAAGCGTCCAGGTGCAAGACATTTTTTTTCGCTCTGTGTTACATGTAACTTTTTACTTTTATAGTAGACCGTGCAAAACCGCCCTAAAATAGAATGCGCCCGGGGGCAGCTCACCCTTCTGCATCCACGGTAGCTACGCCACTTGTTCAGCGCATCGTCTATTGGCCAATAAAGTTTGGGGTTTTTTTCTTTTCTTTGCAACTTTTTCTGGCGTACAATATGATGTTTACAAATAGGCCATTGGCCAAGGTGCATTCCCAGGTATTTGGCTAAATCATTTTGTAGGATAATTTGTTGATTCAGCGTGACTGATATGTTTTGGTTTACGTAACGTGTAGTCAACATGCACCGACTTGTCCCCATTAATTTTATTTTTTGTCCAATCGTATACGTGATTGTTACTTGTAAAATGTTAGTTGCAGCTTGGTCCTTCTCAGGTTGATAATAATTAATAATATTCCCACGTCGTCGGCAAACAGCTATCACTGAGTCGCCATTAGTTGAAATATCAGCTGTGTAGAGTAGGTGCAAGATAGGTCCGAGGATACTTCCTTGTATTCTTCCAGATAGTTATTTTTTCTTCGTGCATGACGCTAAACTGACATTTAGTCAGATAGGATTTGAGAAGACGTACCACGTATGTGGATGTTTCTCATGTAGTGTCAATTGTAGACCTTTGTCACAACTGACAACCATTGTCAAAAGCTTGGGATATATTATATCACAAGGAATACTCCACAGCAATACTCCTTCTCTTTCAACGACTTGCTGATTACATTCGTAATACAATGAACTTGGTCGATGGTCGAGTGTTTATTACAAAATCCAAAATGGTGATCTGGTAGAGGTTTTTTTTAGTCAGCGGGTGTTTAGACGTTTAAGAAGTTTATCGAATAGTATAGACCTACTTTGAAGAAGTGATATCGGTCGATAAAAGGAGGCTTGTTCAAGCGGTTTTTTGGTACTCGGGTTTGAGCAACATGATTACTCGGGGTCTTTTCTATTACTCAAAAACGAATTCCTTTCGCAAGATGACGTCGAAGAAGATGTGCGTAGGACCTTCTTAGGCAGCTTTTTAATAGTTTTTTTTCGGGTTGATGTTGGTATCAATTTTACGGGCTAGTAGCCCGGGGCTACTACAAGTGATTTGAAGGCCCGTATGATTTCTCTTGTGGACATTGCACACTTTCAAGTTCAGAAGTGATGTCGTTTAGTTGATGTACACGTTTGCGACGTAACGCGTATACTTCAGCTTTCTTCGTTCACTGCGTGTCTAAGAATCCTTTTCCTGTTGGAAGAGTGGCACGTGAACGAGAGGTATTTTTAGAGTGGCTTTCCATAACGAGTAATCGTAATCAATTGTTGCAGATAAGCTGTACAAATACGATTTGAACGTTTCAATTTTTTATTACATTGATTGTATCATGTAGATTGTAGTAATTTACTAACTAGGTTCCATTCAATTTAACTGCCAGATTTAGTAGAGTAACCAGATTTAGGGTAATGTTGTACCATCGATAACATCATTGATGAAATCGATATTTGTCAAACTATTATAAAAAGGTGTTTAATATATTTAAATGTTGAAACTTGTCGAAAAAATGACAAAAATTGTACCAAAATCATTAAAGCAAATGGTGGTTTTCACCCCCACTTTCAAAAAAATCAGCTTAAGTAACACTTCCTTTTTTTTTTTAATTTGTTTCATTAGATTTCTATAAAATTCATTGAGAATTATCAGAAAATGTACACACCAAAATTATGTAAATAAATAATTTGTTTTCGTAAAATAAATTATGAAACTAAAAAAACTATTGTTTTCACGTGTGTATTCAAACTTTTGGCCTTTACTGTACATATGTACCTACAGGCTACACATTATTATTATTAATAAATAATAATTAAATAAAAATATTTACGTTTAAAACGCGTCTTACGCATAAGGGGAATTACCAAAAACTTAATAAGGTAGATAGGTACAATCTAAGGAATAATGTTTTTATCTGTAAAAAGATTTACAATTCGTATTTATTTATAGATGATAGAAGTATTATGAAAAAATACACTAAAATGTTTGTTAAAAACAGATGAACAAAAGAAAAATTAAAAAGGTTGGGTCCCGAATTTTTTGCAGTCGGTACTGGAGTCTGGATCTAACTTAGTACGTGTTGAGCAGCCTAAGTGGGAACTGGGAAACTTCTGTCCGTTAAAGGGATATGATAGACAGATAGTTAAAACATTATTTTTATTTTTATTAACCATGATGATAGACTAACCGAGCATATTTTTTACAAATAAATGATAACAATGATAACTGTTATCAATTTTATTTTTTCCAAATATTGTTCGGGTGATTGCCAATAGGTTTATCATTGAAGGATGGCTTATGCGATGTGCCGACATTTTAAAAATATAAATCATTTAATATTGTAGACTTGGTTTTTAAGACTGTAATCTAAGTATAAAGATACTATTTAGGTACTATTACTCTATATTAATGAGTATAATTATTTTTTTCTAAGTTCTCTGTTTTTAGTATGTAGTTGTTTTGAAAGGTTTAAATTGAACATCTAGAAATCATAATAAATCTTGGTTGTTAGTCCTTTATTAACATCTGAATTTAAAAAAAAGTTTCGGTTATGTGGTCCTCCAGAATGAACAGATCAGGAGTACTGCAGTTACTTCGGAAACATAATGTGAGTTTTTTAAATAATATATTTTCAATAAAATCTATTATTACTGTACAAATATTATCATATTTTATAGATTGGACAAAAATCCAGTTTTCATACCCTAAAAACTGCCAAGCATAGTGTCTTATGGAAATATAATGCATTTAGTAAACATAAAATTGAAAATTTAAGTGCTGCTTGTATCACTTTTGTTCGTCATAATAGTAATGCTCGAGAAAATCTTCAAAACCAGCCTGTTTTGGACATAAATAGTGGAAAAGAAGATTTAACTGAAGAATTATTTTCTAAGCTTCCAGATTTACCTGTTGAATCTATCAGCGTAACCACCGAAAAATTGTTGGCAAGTATTCATGTCCAATATGCTTATTTTATTAACCTACCTATAGTTTTTTGACATAAGTCATATTTAAATTAAAAATTTCAAATATTATAGAATGTATTAGGAGAAGAAACATTACAAAGTGCAGGATTAGGTTCTTGGACTCCTGCTGGATTAGTTCAAAACGCGTTACAATTAGTACACGTGACATTTGATATGCCATGGTGGCTAACAATAGTAGCAGGTATTATTATGTCAATGATCTTTAATAAAATATATTAATTTTCCAACTGTTTCATTCTTCTAGGTACTGTAGTTTTGCGTTTGTTGATGTTCCCTTTAGTCATCGCATCACAACGTAATTCTGTAAAAATGAACAATCATTTGCCTCATATTCAAGCATACCAACAAAAAATAACTGAGTACAGAATGCAAGGCAATCCTTATGAAAGTAAAGTTATTGATAATTGTTATTTTTTATTATTCATTGGCGTTGTTTGGTAGTAATGTAGAGCAAATTACTCGTTACTATAATGCAATTACTTTTTATGTAACTTAGGGTAGAGTTAAACATTCATCTAAACATTTTTTATTTTATCTAGATGAAGGGGTGAATAACAATTTTATCTTTTATTCATTCAATTATTATTCCATTTTTTAGACAAAATGTTTTGTTACTCATGACTTATTATTCCATCAACAGTTTATTTTTTATTTACGAATAGGTACATTTTTTTATGTTTGAATGTCTAATTATTTTAAATTACATTAAATCATGTTTAAAATTTCTATCAATCTTTATCTCAAAAATATGTTTTAATTATTATTAAGGCGAACAAGTGGTTGAGTGAGTAAGGCATCTGTATGTTTGATGTTCACTGTCGCTGGTTTGATACTCAGTCACTGGTGCTCCATTTGTTGCCATATCGTCTGATTAAAAGTAGATGCCATCCCTACTCCAGTGGTGGACTAATGACTTGTCCTGTGTAGCAAATCTGTCAGGAAAATTCCTCCCTAAGAGGAGGCAGTAATGTCTCTACATAGGCTGACTAAGTTGTTTCCAATTATTTATTATCTATGAAAATGTATTTTAAAATCGTTTTAAATTAACAAAGATGTATATTTTCTATAAATAACCATATATTTTATAATCTATCAAGTTACCAATTAATACTGTATATTTATTATTAATTTAAGTTTTGCCCAACACTACATAAAAGTAGCATAATTCAAATATTCAATAATTAATTTATCGCATTTAATTTTAATCAGTAATTTCACAACATAATACCTACATTTTTTTTAAAAACACTGAAAAATTATTCACTAGGTATAATAAGTATTAGTAGAAAATATTATAAGTTTAAATATTATTTTTAGCTGTACCTTTTTGCTTTATCTCTTCTACAAATAGAAACAAAAAGTGATTTTTTTTCAATGAGAGATATTCTAGGGAGTTACTACATTTTATTACTGTTCAAATGTAACCTACCCAACACATCTTAACATACAATTTTATGAATAGTGTCCAAAACGTCGCAAGAATTCATGTTATATATGAAAAAACATCAAGTAAATCCATTAAATGGTATGATTTTACCACTCGTTCAGGTATTTTAATTTTTCATATGTATAAAACAAATATTTTTCATACTTTTATTTTTTAATTTTATTTTCAGTTACCTATATTTCTAAGCATGTTTTGGGGCTTGCGAGGAATGGCTATGCTACCTCTAGAAAGTTTGACGTACGGTGGACTTCATTGGTTCTCTGATCTCTCAATACCTGATCCGTATTTTGTATTGCCAATCATAACCTCTGTCACCCTTGCCATCACATTAGAAGTATAATAAATTGTAAAAAACTTGCAAAGTAAAATTGTTTTTACTGTTCTTTTTTGGTCTTGTCTTAGTTTGGAGTCGACGTCAGCAAACTTAATTCAACTATTGGTTTTGGAAAATTTATAAAATACGGATTTCGAGTGTTACCATTTATTGTTTTCCCGTTTATTATGAACTTCCCGGCTGTAAGTAGAATTTGAATTAAAATATATGTTTAAGTAAAGTAGCACTGTGTACTTAGTATTTACAATATTTTTCTCAGGCTGTCTGTTTATATTGGGCATCGACTAATATTATAACACTTGGTCAAGTAATGTTTTTGAAAATTCCAAACGTACGACATTATTTTAATATTGAAGATGATGTGAAAATTGCAAAACCAATTTTGCAAAAAGGTTTTGTCGACGATTTTAAAGATTGTATGAGTTACATATTTCGGCCAATGCCGTTTACATTTTATTGATATTTATATATAATATATACATGGAAATATGTTTTTTTTAATTTAGCGTGGAAAAATATACAAATTGTAAAAGAGCTCGAAGAAAGAGAACATTTAGATCGTATGAAAAGTTCTCAGATCGGTAAAGAGCCGATCAAGAGTTTCAAGTACAACACCCACACCGATGTTTTGGAGCCTTTAAAAAAAGAAAAGTAAAAATGTTGATGTTTTTTTCTTTTGGTTCTTATTGTTGTTTATATAATATACTTGTTTTATTTTTGAAAAATGTATTTTATTGCATACCTCATATTATTCTTGCATATTCCTTTAATTTAACTTAGAAATGCATATTAGTCAATGTATTTTATTATCCAAAATAAACTCAGTTTCAACTGTTCTGTTAGTTTGAATGCATTCATAAATACCAGATGTGTACAAAGAGTTGATAACAATTTTTTAATTACCTTTCTAGTTGACAAACCATACAATTTGTTTTTTTTCGAACATTTTTAAAAGTTTAATCTACAATATACTGGTAATACTAGTTAAACTATTTAATTATATTTTTAAATTAAGTATTCATTAAACTTGGATTAAAAAATTATAAACAACGTAGATGCCTCATTGAATGATTATAGTAATCCTATATAATTGATTGAATAACAATAGTTTAACTTTAAGTATATTATATTTTATCCAACGGTTTTAGACATAACAATAGTTGCAAACAATAATAAATAACATAATTCAATAGTTTAATAAAATATGATCTCTGTTAAATATATGTTTTCTCGTATTAGATAGTATTGTAATGTAAAGTTATAAATCACATTATTTACATAAATATTTAATATATAATATAAAGATATTATAAGTAAAATTAAATTGTATGTATCATAAGCAAATTACTACAATTAATTTAAAATAACACTTTTTTTTTTTAATTTAAAAAATGGTATAAATACAGTAATTATTACAATCTATAAAATATTGTTTAATAACATTTACATATGTATTTGTGTGTGTGTACAATACAATTTTAGCAATATTATTATTAAAACATACTGCACACTTTTCATAAAATACATATTAACCTATACATAGTACAAACTGGCGAAATGGAATAACTTGGGTACAATAAAAATATATTAAATACTAATTAGCCCCCCAATAAATTGTCAAAACAATAATAAATAATATCACGGAACAAATGGTTAGCAAATAGCATCGTTTTCTTCTTAGCTTGTTCTGTAAACAATTACAATAATAGTGTTCAAAATGTATTACTATTGTTTTTTTTAAATTCTCTTTGTAAACTTACAGTGTACTCCGTTGCTCTTCTGAGTTGACTGGCTCCCTCTTGAACCGACACATTTGTAATTTGAACATTGGCTTCAATACTGTCAATTATCTCACCTTGATTGTGAACTAAAGTGCCTAATTCTTTGAAGATTTGATTCACATCACTTATATCATTCTAGATAAACAAAAAAGTTGTTAAAAATGATTAAGCTGAAATAATACAAGAAGTATTGTGGCTGAAAACAGAATTAAAGAACCGAAAAAACATTTTTTATTTTTATTTAAAGTAAATTGAGACACAGTCGTTTTTTTTTTTTAAATACAGATAACTTAAAAATTCAACAATTCATTTAATGAATGTTAATTTGTACACTCCATTTAAACTTTAAACATTCAAGACTTTGTGGCAGCGACTGGATTTTCGCAACGTTTACCAATGATTGCACCAGTCCCGCTTGTTCAACAATACAGTTTGAGACTTGGCTATAAGTAGAAATTATGTAATTGGAAAGTCTTCTTTCGCCAAACGGAATATAATAAAAATACAAGACAAAAACGAAGGCTAATTTTATTGAATAAACTTGCTGTACAGTTGCCGTTTTAATGTAACCTTTACTAACCTCAAGTTGCCTAATGGCTTGTTCTTGTTCAACCACTTGTAAATTCACTTCATCCAATATTTGCAATTGCGCTTGATCGTTCTGGTTGTCCGATGGCTGTGCGTAACCTATTAAGTAAATATATATATTATAATAACACTTTATCAAAAAAATACATTAAAATATATACACAACCATTTGTGTGTTTTGAGCCAGGTGGCGGAGGTAAATTTATTCCCGTTGCAGCTTTAGTGGTACGTTTCAGAAGTTCCGCATTTTCTTTATCGTAAGCTTTTCGTTGAATGGTTTGAAACGCGTTTAACGCTGATGTAAACGATTCTGCTAGACGCTCTTTCTGGATTTTTAACTGTCTCTACATTTATTAAGAAATAACTCGATAGTAAATTCACACGGTATTTTAATTTATGTTTTTCAATAAATATACAAACTCACTTGGTCAGTTTGAGAATTGTAGTTACGTATTTCATTTAGTTCTTTTAAATTGTGGCTAGTATCCTTGGACAACTGCTGAGTGTAATGCGATATTTGATGCCTGACAAGAACACAACATTTTTTTAATACATTTCAAAACAATATTAATAATTTAAAAAACTTCTTAATGTTTAATTTAAAAATAACCCTTCACCGTAATTTTTATTTATTTTTAACCTTGTTTGTATTAAACTTAGTTGTTTTACATGAAAGAAATGTATTTTATTATATAATTATTCATAATCAGTGTAAAGTACCATTTTACAAATCTAACAAAAATAATTAAATTATGTTCAATGTTAACTCATTTTTTTAGTAGAAAAAAAACTTACAATTGCTTTCTAACTTCGGTAGCATCTTGCATAGTACTCAACTGATTAACCATTCTATTCATTGACGATACTATAAAAATAAAGTAATTTTTTCATTAGAACCATATGATATTAAATTGAAACATTGTAGGTTTTACACATATGGAACAAAAGAAATTATCTAGAGACATTTTTTTTTAAAGCTTCTTATGAATAGTTCAATATAAAGAGATCATTTGTACAAGAACATCACACAAGTGTTACAAGTTACAACAACTGAACAACTTTATTCAAATACTAGAATTTATGAAAATAAAATATGATAATCCCGTTTAGTTGTATACCAAAAAAAAAACATAGGAAGTAGAAAAAATTACACTATGAAGTATTAAATGTGCTCTGTTTACCATAACAAATTCACTATAAACATTTTTATGCAAAAAAAATCAATAGGCACTTGTGGTAATTAAAAAAAAAAAAATGTAGAAATGACATTATTATATTTCTGTTTACAAAAAATTATTATGAATCAGACTTTATAAAAATAAATGAATAATTAGCTCAAAAACAAAATGACAAATTTAGGGTCGGCCTGGCTAGGGTGGGTTTCCAGCCATGTCGAGAACCTAAAAGCCTCAAACGCATTGGGCCCGGTCATTTAACTCAATATGTGAGATTTATTAGAGTAAAACAACTGTAATATTTGTGTTATATATATACAATGCAATTTTATCTATACATTTTATACAAATATTACAATATTTTTGGGGGCCCTTTAGAAATTAAAAATCCGAGACCCTTTGGGTACCAGCCTTTGGACAAACCTACAAACTAGTACATAATTGTACGAAGCCATCAAAAACGTTTGAGATAAATAATTTCACTTAGATATAAGAAATAAAATCCACTTAAAAGTTACCATTTTGAGATATCTTCTGGATATTAGTGCCGATCGACTGGGCCAATGTTTGGAAATCTTTCTCACTTCCATTGCTTTGGTACGAATTCCCATAAAAGCTGTCCATTTCGATAAAACGTTTCTTTTAATACCGTTTAAAGAGTGTAATTTGACTGTTCGCTAGATTTTGGAAATCAATAAATGCAATAGTTGTTATGTAATATATTAATAACACTAACAGAAATCTACCGATTGGTGATTCTCCTCGTTTCCACACTTCTGAGTCTTGTTATCTTACGACTGCGAAGTGCGAACTGACAATTACGACTATTATTATTATAATTTATCAACACAACACAATAGTTAAGGTAAGGCTCTTCTAGGGCTTTAGAATGTATATGTAAATAAATTGTAATGTTTATCTTCGACAGAAGTAAAAATATAATCATGACACAAAGCAGTATATTTTGTTATCTATTTAATGATTCATGAAAGAAATGGGTTGCCCGCGAGTCAATCTTTTAAAATCAGCTGATTTACCTAATTCTGCCTGTAGCGTCCTCTATCAACTATTATTTAATTTAATATCATGTATTATAATCACGGTTATCCGAAGATTATATCTGTAGATAACCGTGATTATAATTTATAATATAGCACATAAAAGATAAAATAATTATTTGCCATTTGGTTATGGTAAAATTGGTTTGCAGTTTACACCAAATACTATATATGCATATATAAATATATTTATTCACTCTACACACATCGTTTTAATGTTATGTAAATAATGTAAAAAAAATATGTTATGATTTATATGAGTCATGAAGTAATAATAACTTATACCTTCAGAGCTAGACTGAACTGAAGAAACATGAATCAGATTTTTATCATCAATATATTATACAAATTTAATTTTACATAATAACGCTACACAAAATGATTGTAAATTGTTTTATTAGTAAATGACAAAGTTCTCCATCTGGTATTATCTAATCTGTGGAGTTAGTATCATAGACATAAAATCTCTAAGTACTCTTTAAGTCTCATGTGTAAAATTATTGTTCTTATACATTTTACCACAAAATGGCCTTAATAAGCTTAAAATAAGATTTTCTAAAATATTAAACACACGCCACAAGTTATCCTCAAAAAGACTAAACTTGGGAACGGCCATAAATATAATTACATAAAATTAATGGTTTGAACTAGAAGTTTTCTTTGCCAACATATTTTATAATTCAAACTATGCATTAAGAGAAAAATGTTGAAATACAAGTTGACCTATTATGGCCAATAATTGTTACCGACATCTCGTAAAGTTCAAGAATTCTCCAAATTACCCAAGTCTATGGTAATGCCCCAGCTGAGAGTACTTGTAAGACGCTTCATTTTATCTAAAAAGTAATATTACAATTATTACAATTTTTTTAGTTTGTTTTTTTGGGAGACACTGAATAACTTTAAAAGTAGTAAGTAAAGTAGAATTACAATTGTATGATTATTTCCTTACGAAAGAATGTTAGATATTTAATGTACAATAATTATAAAATTATTATATTTCGATTATAATTATTTGCTTATTATTTTGTACACTATAACTATACACGAAAAATAACAATATAATTTCTAGCCAATATTGTTTTATAACATAAAAACAAACTAAAAGCAAATAACTTATTAATTGTAGATTGCCATTTTAACTTCTGTAAAATTCTTGAAGTTCAGGATCGGTTGGCTTAAGTATAGTTTTGTCTTTTAGATTAACAACCCATCCAGGTTCAAGACCATGAAAAATTTGTCTCTGATCTTTTCTGGCAATGAGCATTTCATAGTCAGGATCTTCTTCAATTTTCGGAAGTTCATAGCCATACTTTTGAGCTAAAACAAATCGTTCCCAAGATACTTTTTCAGGATCTGCCAAGTATCCGCGGTTTGCGGCACTTGTATAATACAATATTACATCCTCGGGCGGAATCATACGTCTCGGAATTGCTTCACCTTAAAAATAATTTTTAAAATATATTCAACATCAAAAGTTAGTAGTTTTTTTTTAAATAAATAAATAGTTTCATAAAGTTTTTGTGGTCTTATTTTATACATTAGCTGAACAAAAACTATTAGAGGACTCTCAGTCTTCAACAATATTGATATTATGATATAATACTAAAATTGCCACTTCTATCAGTAATTTACAATATTGATATCAATTTGAAATATTGCAATATTTTTTTTTCCATTAAAGAATAAATTAAAAAATATGCAATGATTTATAAAGGTAAATACCAAACAATTATTTTATAATAAAAGTAATTAACTTTTCAGTTCATTGCATGAGGTTCATATTTTTTGCCATATTTTATTTAATGAAGACAAAACAAAGTGTTTAACTTAATAAATTGTTTCTCAGTATTTTCCTCAATAAAAAATTACTTTTTATTAAAATTGTTTTTATTGATTACCATTGTATTACATAATATAATATAACTGTATATGTTTTTATTTAATTACCTCTTTGGAAAAATTTTAATGGATTTATCAAAATGAACAGACTATTAACATCGAAAAATGAGGTTGTAATGACTCCCCCATTTCTTTCTATGGCTGCTATGGTTGGTTCACTAGCCCACTGAACTTCAATGTTAATTTTCGCCTTAAATACATCGGCGCCCTAAAATTGATTTTAAAAGAAATGTAATAGATATAAGTTTTTAATGACAACTCAAATGTTATAAATATTATATATTTAAAAAACTCACTTCATCGGTTAAATTTACTCCGAAATGTTTGTCTTCTGGCTTAATATTATACAAACCACTGTTACATAAAGTAGATAAATCGATAGGTTTAGAAACATCTATGCGATTCAAGTCAATCATTTTTTGTAAACTGTACAGTGATAATGGTGGATATTGTCTTCTGACTCTATAAATTAAAAATGTACATATTTATCAACTATTAATATTTCAACGCACACATTATTTTCTATTTTTATATGATTAAATATTTTAAGTAAAAATTGTATAAAATACATTTCAAGTTTATTTTTGCACAAATTAATACATACTGATGATCTCTATAATATTGTTCTCGAGGAAATTTCATATAAAACGGGTTGTTTCCGGTTTCATAACCAGGTCTCATGAAATTTTGCCTAGCTTTTGAACCTTTATTACCGGCACCATGTTTATCACCACCGTGTTGTGCTCGTCCGCGTTTGTTCTAATTAAAAAATAAAAATAATTGAAGTTTGGTTCGTTTTTTAAGAGTTCATGATCTCATGATGGCAGCGTTGGGCCTTCATGGCCAGTTAAGCTATATGATGATATTGATGATTAAAAAGAGTTACGTGTAGGATAAACAAAAATGATTAAGTACAAATGAAAATACTTGGAATTGTTTACTTTGTAGTTATTAAAAATTACCTTTTTTACAGCACCATCATTATTTTTTAGATTGGAAATCGATATTCTAGGTAAATTTCTAAGTAAATTTAAGACAGATTTGTTAGTAAATGACGTCATTCTAATTTGAATTAGATGAATTTCTCTTCTATTTAATAAATAATAATACGAAACTTAAGTCTAACTCAAATATGTTTTCATATCACCTATTAGTTATTATTATTTATTTTACAAGCTGCTGTTCGTATACCGGAAAAATATAACCTCAAAAATATCAAACTGATAACACAAAATCATGGCCTTAGCCGTTCTGGCTTCTTCTAAGGCCGTGTGGCGTGCACAGAGTAGAATATAGATGAAAATATATTAAATTGAATCTTTTCTATGGTAATATAAGTTATACTACTATATAATAATAAATAAATACAATATGACCTTAGAAACTGATCTTTTATGTGATAATACAATACGGTAATAAACTTGCCGTTTTGTTTCATTTTGTTAACCTCCAATTTTATAGTTCGAATTTATAGATTTTTGAAAGCTCAAAAATGATTTGGAAGCAATTATTCATTTTAGCATTTTATATACGGAGGAAAGAAAGTTTTAGTCACTTTGCATTTTACATATAACATAATACTAAAAAATTGTTAGGTATTGTCATAGCTATTACGTTTTAAGTAGGTGGATAACAAGAATGGTGATATTATTAGTTATTCTGAAATTAATAGTTCATAAAACCGCCGTTTGACGTACACTGTATGTGAGTGGTCTATGGGTAGGAATTCGTTAATCTAACGCTATAATAGTTGGTCTAGTGTACCTTGTTTGGTATAAATAAAACCGTATTCTTTTTAGTATCCAAATATTAGATAATATGGTTTTCTAATAAGATCACTTTTATTAATTTACACACAAGATAATAAATGCTGCGTGCTATTCGAGAACACTGTAATCAGTGCGTTAGGTATTGTAGGCGTAGAAGTTATTACTGTCGAAGTCGGATATTTGTGTTGGTTCAACCGAAAATAGCACTCAATAAATAATTAACAAAAGGAAAATGCATGTAACTGTGCATTTTTAGGTATCCTTTAAACTCATGCAGTTCTAGAGTTTTCATTAAAAAAATTACAGTTAGTTTCAAACCATAGAGCGTGTAACCACATGCCGTATCTAAAGACTATATTCCGATTGACATTCTCTCTTTTGAGGTGTGTTCAGGGTTGTATGCTTAATTTTACCTAATTTTTTCATGTTGCACAATTTAAACTCAATCTTATTACGTGACGTGGTCTAGGTATTTGTGGAAATGGCAATATAATCAAGATAATAGCCAATGTTTTACGAATTTAATGGTTTTTTATGTTGTAAATATTTGTTCTACCTCGTCTATTCTATATCATTGCGACCATAGACCTAGACTTATTAACTAGTTAATAGGTCTATGATTGCGACTTGTCCAGATGTTTGACTTGACAGGCGTACCCTTGGCTTTAGTGGTTCACCCCGAAGTGCTCCCCTACGACCGCGGACCGACTAGTATTGCTGGGCCCTAATTGCGGGCTGGGGAAGGTGTGTCTCAAGTGAAGTGGTCCTGTAGAAAGGCCACTTGGCCTTAGGCGTCACTTTAGTTGCCTTTTACGACAGGTGTGAGACCCTTGGAAGAATTCTTTTTCCCCTGTCCACAGGGATAACCGTGGCCAGCAACAGTGACGAAAAAAAAGAAAGTATAAGACGAAAAAGAAAAAAGAAATTTTATGAGAAATCTGACCGGAAAAACGACGAGTAAGCTGTTAACAGAACAGACAGAAAATGTACAGCGACCTGATAATACAGGTACTTACAAAATAATTACAGATAACTGTCTAGTGTCTAGACGTATTTTATTTAAAAAATATATTTAAACTGCACGTATCTAGAAATGTCTAGAGAAAAAACCGAGCCCCAACCTCCCCCCCTCCAAAAAAACCCCTATCACGGACTACGCAGTACGCAATGACCTATTAAGGCCCCTGGATACCGACCATTTTTAAGGAGTTTTGTATAGACAATATTTAAGAAAAAAGTGATTTTAATAAATTTCGACCATGTTAATTAATTTACCGGTTAATTTATATAAGCTTCATGGTATTATTTTTAGTTTAAATAATTTTGTCTATGAGTAAAAGCCATTTTAGTTAAAATAATAGTACATTTTTTTTCCATCGCACAGACTGAACCAGTGTTCCGATAAGTAATCTGAAAACAGATTTGAATTCGTCATGAAGTTTACTTGAGATTGGTCAGCGTACTTTTTTTATATCTTATTCCTACTACGCATAAAACACGTTTGAACATTTTATACAATTTTAAAATCAAATTTGTATATTTTTGTTTTTGAGCGGGCTTAAATCGCACCGATGAAAATGTCTCAAAATATTCGTTAGCTATTCGTTTATTTCGTTTAAATTAACTGTTGTATTGTGAGTTTTAAAAAAGAAAATTACAATACATTTGTAATTCTGTTGTTATTGTATCTAACATTCATATTTTTCTTGTCCTAAGTATATTCATATCTACGTATACGATGTCTGTCTGCGATAATCGAGTATATTTGCACAACTAGTCAAAATTGAATAATATTTTATAATTTAGGTAATGTTTTTAAATGTTTGTCAAAATTATCGGTGCTACTAAGTATGGATGCCACTGATTAGTATCCACACAATAATAACTTTACAATTGTTCAGTACAGGATACTCTAATGTTAGTCGTTAAGCCTACCGTTAGGCCAATTTTCAGGCACTACATTAAAAAATTGCCTATTCTCCAAAAAAACTGACTTATATAATTTTCAAGACTTTGGGGAAAAGTGATTTATTTATTTTATTAGTTTTAGACTGAAAATCGGTGTCGTATTATGTTTTACACAACATTACCAGAAATGTATAACTATCACTTAAGATTATCAGATATTTGAGATTTGAAAAAATTTATCTAGTATCTACACTGACTACCAAGAATAGTTTACTCTTCGTTTTTTAAAGTTGAAATTTGAAAACTGTGTATATTTTAAGGACGTAATCGGTATTACTCAATTTTCGAGAGGAGAGTAGTGACTTTATCAACACTATACATAGTTTTGAATTAAGGATTGGTAGTTCATAGACTTACTATGTGAAAACATAAAAAAAAAAAAATAATTTAACCCTTTAAGTATAATCTCTTATTTCGAAAACTGCTGCTGCCTAAGAGCTTAAGTACCGTCAATTAAAATCATTGTTTATTATTTCTAAATGAATCATTAGGTCATGTTGTCAACGTTGTTTGAAATCAACTGATAGTCTCTGGGAAGCGTGGAAACTTGCCTTATGTCCCGGTGGGTAAACGGAAAGGTTAAAACCCCGCATTATATATTTTCAATTCCGTACCAGAGGCAAATAAAATTACATTTTCAATTGAGTCTATAGAGTCGAGAAAATCGCGCTGCAAACAAATTAGTACCTAACTAGACACAATACAGTAGCTATAACCTTTTTGATCAGACCTATGGTACCGTCGAGTAAACATTGAGCGGACCAGTCCGTTGTGTTGGCGGCGCACACTGTTGAGCTACCTATTTTGTTTTGAGCACAATCAGTGAACCCAAGAATCAGTTAGAATATCCCCTCTATTCTTCCTGTCCACACAGTATTGCGCGTAAGAAGAACTGGTTTTTCACTCGGCTAGCGTAGGGGTTAACGCCCACAATTCACAAATACCTCTATGTGATGTCATTATGTGGAAGCGTCTACTTTTTAGGTACTACGTTCTCGTCTTGGCTTAGCCGTTTAGTGTCCTTTCACCATCGAGTTGTGCGACACCCGTGTGATGCTCGATACCGATTAAAAACTACTCCGTGTGTATATCATTATATAAGTATAGGTACACTAGGATAACATAAGCCATGGGTAAGTAAAACCGACTTACTAGAGTATTGTAATTTTAATAATAAGTACAACACCACCGAGAACATAATATTGACATATATACAAAATATTATATAGGTAGGTACGTTGAGCACCGCGATGACCTTATATAGCTTATGAGCTGTTACGTTCATTTGGTTACATATTATATACACCCAACGTATACTTACTGAAATTATAATTTTAATATTAATTCTCCCATGACCGCCAGTATGGTACAGAACAATATTTATTTGAAGTTTATTGTTCATACGTACTTTCCGCAAGACAGAGAGGCGAAGGAGTAACGACTTGTTATAAAACAGTTATAGAGAAAAAATAATTACAACATTAGTCAATACAAATGCGATATTATGTGCATAATGCAACGGATACTATACAAGGACGTTAGTTTTTGTTTCTTAAAATTATTTGCAAAAATTGCGTAATGTGTAAATTGTTAAAAAATATACCTCCTACACACATACATCTGTTTCAAATGCAATGCATATAATAACTAACTATTAGGTACTCTGGGCGCAGTGATTTTAAATTTAAATATTACATTTAGCATTAGTCGGCGAATATTTAGGTTCACAATTTAAATAAATATATTTTTTAAACTGACTTTAGAAAAATAATATAACATACCTTTTAGTTCTTATACGCATAAAACAAATGTATTATTTGTAAGGAGACTAATTCAAATGGTAAGTTGATTTTAATTTGTATAACTCTCCATTTGCATGTAGACGGAAATTTGTATTGAAATAAAACTTGTGAGAGGCAGCTCGAACAAAAATATGTGGTATGAATAAAATATTGTAATACTCTTTCGAAACTAAAAGTTAACGTTTGAATAATAAAAAAAACAAGTTATTATAGAGCTTATCCCATCAATTTCCCTTGTGTGCTTTCTGTATATTATGTACAAGAGATTATAGAACGTGAGCATTTTTAAAAAAGTACGAATGTATAATATAATAGCTACGGATATAAGACTGAAAACAGGAATTCTAAAGTACCTATGTGGTATCCGATATCGGACTTGTTTTTTATTTTTGTAATCCAAGTTAAATAATAAAGCTATTCTTACACATCGAATATATTATATCTATCTACATGTATAAATTCACATTGAGTATATATTGTATAATTATATACTCTACTAACATGAGTTAACTCATGTAACATTAATTTGTTGGACAATTATGTTTTTTTTCGCTAAATACATTGTAGTACATGTTTTAGCTATTTAATTATTTGTTAATTGTTTTTTTATAGATTTATCTCCAAGTATGCGGATTCTGCTCATACTGCTCTCGGTGTTGGTATGTACATAAAATACATAATAATTAGCTAATTATTATATCGAAATAGGCTACCAATGAATAATTAGTATTGTATTAGATGCAGGATCGCCATTTCGCTAAAAAAAAGTGGGAATACTTAATAATATACTGAAAGTATAAAGTCTCTTTACCGTTATATTTATATGGTAAGAAAAATAAACAATTTTTAAAAACTATGTTTGCCAAATACAACCAAATTACGCATTTGTAGGTATATACGTCTATCAATACATCACTAAATAGTTTCCAAATTGAAAAAAAATTGTTCAAAATCATGTGTGCAATCATTTATAATTTACAAGTAGTGTTTTTATATCATTTTAAAACCAGTGTCCATACTGAGTGAAACTAGATACTTACTGGTTAAGGTTTTTTCCTGATGGTAGTTGTACCTGTATGGTTGAGACTTGAGTGGAAATACGGGTGTGATTTCATTACTTATTACAACACTTAATTATTACGAAGTCGTGTTGTTAATTCATTTTTTCTTCTTTACTGCTAATATTTAGGTCATCCTAACATAATTTTTTTAAGATTTAGCTTTTAAGGTGTTTTTATAATTTCAATATTTTAAAAGGCACTTCAATACAAACATTTTTAGACATAGAATACAGGAGCAGAGAAAGTCTTTTCTTACGACAGAAAAATAATAAGGCAACAATTGTAGCATATGAAAAATGAGCAGATCTTGTAGTTTTCCGATATGAGTCATTTATTTAATTAATATAAAAAATATATATATATTTATTTACCTCTGAATAAATAGGTAATGTTTTGTTATAACAGTATTGTATTTCATTTACGGTATACCTATAAATTAGAATGTCCTTAATATTACTTAAATCTAAAATAAATTCGAAACGCTTCAAGTCTGCTCAGAACGGGTTTTATAAATAATATTTTTTTTTTTGTGTGTCTTAGAGTGGAGTTTTGGCGGGCGACATGATGAGGAAATCAATTGTGTACGATAAAAAAACGCCTAATGTATTTTATTGTCCGTTGAACAAACCCACCGGTAATTTCTCAATTATAATTATGCCTATTTAAAGCATAAGCTGTATTGTGAACACGTCACTAGGCATAACGCTACGACTATGTTAATAATAATTGTTTTTTTAACCACGATTTTTTTTTACACGTTTTAGGATTTGATAAACTGTACGTGAATTCGAGACCGTTGAAAAAATTATGTGAATTTGACGGTAAACCTTTGCCTGAAGATTACAAGTCGGACTGTTTCCAAGATGTAGACGAGACGGAATATGCGTGCAAAGAAAAATACAGAATAATGGTAAAGCCGAATACCGAGACGAAGTTCAAAATTGAATCAACACTGAATACTTAATCATAATATATATAATAATATATACATATAAAATAAAAAGCATTAACTTTAATTTAGATGCCTTTGTATATGATTAAGACAAAAAAATACGTTACTCAAAATCGTATTAACTATATACATAACATATTAATGTAATAATAATTTATAACTTTCAGAAAAGATTGACGAAGAAACAATTGGATAGTTTATTCGGAAATAACGACTAGAATAATATAAGAGTGCTAACAAAATAATGTAAAGAGGTTGGATAATCCTAATGGATTTTTTTTTTTAATATAATCCTTGCGGATACATTAACGTCTTAAACATTTCGTGTCAAAAATAATTTCTTTAGCCTTGGCGTTGACAACAATTTAAACAGTCATATTATGCATGGTCACAAAATCTTCACTATCATCTATAATATTATGGTTTTCAATAACATTTAATGCACATCTTGTACTGAAAAGTTTTTTGAGGATTCGAATTAATAACAGAAAAACACCGTAAAGCAAAACATATTATAACAAATAGCTTCCTCGCTTTGCTTAAAAACTCTAAAGTAACGCTTAGACTTGGCCTAATTAAAAATAAAATAATTTTAAATTGTAGTGTCTGCAGAAATATATTGATTCTATTAGGTATTAATGATAAATTGATTCTTTTTTTTTTTTTACTACAGATAAATTCTACTTATTCGCGTTTTTTCCACTTCAAACTCATGCAAAAATAAAAAAATTGTATTAATAAATAGAGAATTTTAATCAAATAGAGATACCACTAATGTAATCATATAATATCTTATCTGTTAACAATTCGTTATTGTAACAAATTATCAGTTATAGTTAACAGAAGGTTAATTATAACTACTACGGTTATGTTTTTAAAGCAACCAACTTAACTTTAAATATTATCTTATTAACAATTGTGATTTGAGCTTAAGTTTAGCGACGGCTGTTCAAAGGAATATTCTTATACCCTTCATACACTTTACTATAATATTTTCACAAGCTTATTGTTCTTTACAGTTAACAAATCATCTTGTTAATTGATTTACATGAATATGAGGTTTAGCGAGTATTTTTTTGCAGATGCGTCTTCATCCACCTGGTACAGATGACAAAGAGAGTACAAAATGGGAAAAAGCGTACAAGAAAGTCGTCAGAAAACGTAAGAGACAACCTCAGTAATAGCAAAATAGTCCAATATTTTTCATTGTAATACATTTGGCCATTAATTAATTTAACAGTTTAAACATAATTTTCATAATTTTAGCTTTATTTTTGATTTTTTTTTTGTATGTTTGTGAACAGCCTATTTTGTATTTTGATATTACTTTTTCACTGTACCTGCGCCATTTTATTTTTACTATTAAAGTATATTACAAATGTTTTGTAAATAACTGAATTCTATTTACTAATAAATTATTAATTTTATATTTTTTTATATAATCTGTTTATTGTTATAAAAATGAAAATTTCATACTATAGGAAAATGTCTGTACGCTACATAAGTATTTTTTAAAAAGTTTCAAGGACACTTCAAATGTATTTTTAAACAATTCTAATCTACAAGACTTGTATTTTAATGTGTACACACAAACAAACTTATTTTTTGAATACTATAAAAACTATAATAGTTGTGAACATTTTTGATTTGTTAAGCCCAATTACACAGTACTTATAAGTTATAAGATGTTTGAAATTCCGAGTTCAAACCATATAATTCTAGTAATATAAGTTTGTTAATTTGTTAGATGTCTTTTTGAGGGTTACAATCGAAAATGTAGACATGTTATAAACATTATCACATCAAAGGAATTTACTGTAATAGGGTCGGACAAGCTACAGATTAGAAATAAGTAATAAATTAATTGATAGATAAATAAAATCAAGCTTTAAGAAAAATACCAATCTGTAAAAACAGGAATAAATATAAATATTTTATAATTTCTTATTTGTAGTTATAGTAATAATTATAGTTTTTCTATATAACAATAGTAGTTATTTATTTAAAAAATTGTTCCAGTTACTATCGTATTAATGATAATAGATAAATATATATACATATTCAATAATAATAAGAAATTTTCAACTTGTTAATAAAAAATAACATAAAAAAAATAACAATAATCATTCAATAATATCACAGTAAATAGGATAATAGAACGAATGCTTAAAAATGATACTCAAAACCTTTAGCCATGCCTGTCCATCGGTTTGGTACAGACAAGAAGTACAAATTCATTGCAGCTACGAAACGATTTTTGTACTCTTCCGGAGATATTATAGTTGGTAACTTGCCCTGACCACCAAGAAGTCCCGATTTCTTAACCATAGTTTCTAACCTTTTGTCCCACGTAAACGTACGAATGTAATCTATAAGATAATATTTAACATCAGATATAATATATTGGGATGGTTTAAAAATCCTTATTTTAATATTTTGTTTGCAGCACCCCTCTCCATTTTTTTTCTAAAAAACTACCCTTTTTGGCTAAACTTCAACCCCAATAGAGCATGTGAAGTGATTGAGTAATCGAATCCAAATTTTCACAGAAAATTTTTTTATATCATCAAAAAAACGGGTGGGGGGAGGAGTGCTGCAAACATATTTTTAAAGAAAAGATTTTTTTAAACACCCTAATTCAATTATATAGTGAGAAATGTTTCTTTAACAATTTACCTATTATACCCAAAACCAATTCTCCGGAATCCTCATCGAGTCCGACTAGTAGTGAATAGTCCATTACGAGTTGTTTAGTGAGAAACTCTGCGTCATCGTTGATCGCTTGATTCAAAATTATTTTTGAATGTGGAAAAACGTATATTGGCGATTCACATGACACTAAGAAATATAAAAATAGATATTATTATTTAAAAACAGGTATTGTGTAAACTTTATTTTTTTATAGTCGGATCTTCATACCAATACGGCTTTCCTTTGATCAGGCCGCTCAACTACCCGATCGCAGAAAATAACACCGAGGCAAGCCAGCTAGGGAAAACCGCATAGATATGTACCCGGCTTTAATGTTGACAAACTCAATTTTGTTATAATTACTTTTTATAAGATTCTCGTCTAACAAGACAATTTCTCCGTCTTGTGAGTTTGGGTCAACTAATCTGTTTCTAACCGATCCTTTAAGGTCAAAAATATGAGAAATATTTTTGTTATAGAACAGATTTTCCATGACCAATAAATTTGAGTTGAACGACGACCCTTTGATAGAGTTACGATATCTAACTTTGTACACCCCGACAATTTTGCATAACAATGTTGGCCGTGCTTTGGATTGACAAGAATGTATGTGATTAAAATACTGCGGTGCAAATTCCAAAAAAGGTTGAATTTCCAAGCGAGACATTTCTTTCAACACAAATCTGTCGTCTATGAATTACAATCATAGTTATTAGCAAAGTGATTGTCATTGTTAAAATAGTAATAAAAAATATATGTGAATCGTGTCTCTACCTTTTGTTTTACAAAAGTTGGAACCTGATTTGCCACCTCTTGCCGACCAAGAAATACACCTTGCTAGTGAACGAATGTACATTTCTTCTCCGGATACAAAAAATGTACTTCTTAATTTTGCAAATTCTTTAGCAAAATACACTTTGACAAAAAAATTTGTCGTAGAATCAGAAAAACTTAACTATAAGAAAATAAAGTTATATTTTAAAACACTTATTTTATTTATAAATGTTCATAGTACTGACCTCTATATGGTGTTTGTTTTTTGATTTATCATCAATTTCTTTCTGATCAATATTGTCTTGCTCGATTTGTTCAAAATTTGATCTTAAAAAAAAAAAAAAAATATAATAACTACTTATCTTAACATATTAATAAAATTACATTGATTCAGAATTAGATAAACTTTCTTGATACAACGTTGTGCTCAGAGTAAAAGCAATAATCGAACTAGGTTCTTTTTCATAAACAGAAATTGGTATGCGACAGTTGATATTTAAAACATGATGTTCTGTACATTCTACTGGATTCTGTAAAATTAAAAGATCTTACAACATTTTCTATGAGCAATTAAAATAATACTTGTTTCAACATACTGGTATAATGGTAGGCGGAGCAGACGACGGTAAAAACTGAGAAAGAATGGTTTTCACGCTTTTCTTATCAGATTGTGACATGGACGACTGTGACTTGGGTTCGTTGTGTAGATTATTATCATCTGTGAATATGTTAATTTTAGTTTAATTTCTTAAGTCAATACACTAATTTATACTTTACTGACAATCATCGACAGCGTCACTGTCACTATCGGTAGTAATATCACTTTGTGCTTGTGGTACAGACAAAAAGCATTTGTCGCCACGAATGGTATCCCCATCTTGAATATTGTCGAAATCATGGTCGGCAGCTATTTCCGACTCTGACGCTAATGACTGTTGACTGGTATGACATGCAACTCCATATTCTTCGACGTCAACACATAACTGAGAAGTGGCATTCTCAAAGTTCATTACCTCTTCTAAAATATCAGACATGTTTGATGACTTTGTTTCACTCTTTCTCTGCGATTTATCTTCTTTTTTAATAGCTGCATCTATTTTCAACAACCTAGAATTCCAATTTAAAATTGCTTCGCACACGGCTTTTTTCAATAGTACTATCGAATCGTCCAACCGCCACATTGTACTTAATATTGTGGCTAGTAAAATTAAAAAAAAAAATGTTATTCACATAAATCATATTGTATCTTATAATTGAAAAATAATAACTATAAAAATTACCATAGTTTGAATCTTTGTCGATTAATGATGGAGATGTTATTTTCAGTTGAATGTCATCAACTCGTTGCTTAAATGTCCCTTGGTCCTTTTGTAACTGTTGTTTTAACGGCAAAAAATTGGCTGTGGGTTTTTTTAAAAATAAATTTAAAAACTATTATGTAAAAAATCTTGGGCATTATTTAAATGATAACATAAGTAATAAATAACATTTCATTTTTATTTAAACAATAAACAAAAAATTATTAAATGAAAAATAAGTTTTTTTTAATAATTTTTTATTTTAGCGTATTTAAAAAATAAAAAACTAATTTAAATATATTTTTAATTTCAATTAAAAATTGTTTATTAAAAAAAGAATGGAAATAATAATTCATACCATCATCATGAAAGCTAAACAGGTAAACTTATTTGTTATTTAAATAAAAAATACCCGGGTTTGTTATATGTATTATGTAAATTAAATTGTTTTTTTCCCATAAATAAACACTTATTTACCGCTGTTTTCTGAAGACAAAGAACAAATTTTTGTCATAACCGCATTGAACACTTCATGTCCCATCAACGCCCATTGCTTAACTTCTTCCAATACATCTGGCCGATAGCTACTTACTTTCATGGATACTATTTTCAATTTCAGACTCGGTAACTTAATTTCCCACAGTTTAATGTCCGAATATCTAAACAACAAATTTAGAAAAAAATATAAAACAAATAAAATCTGAGTTAAACTGTTGTAAAAGACTTACTCAAAAGATGCTATTGTTTTATTGTAAACAAAAAATTGTATAAAATCACGGTTAAGACAATGAGTGCAATGTTGTAGTGCTCGACACAAAGAAGGCTGAAAGTGAAACTTTAACTCCAAGTATTTGGCAAACGACATGGACCAAGTATCATTGGAAATTGGTACCACGGGAGATATCTAGAAATAATAAATACTTAATAAACAGCGATGTGGCAATCCTTGATTTTGTTCATGTCGAACCTAACCCAAATTAAAATTATTACAAATACGATAAACAATTGCAATTTTTTTCCCAGGTAAAATTCTGAATCATACAACTAAACATTGAGTTTGATTGGAATTTAAGTACATAGATTTTTCAATTTTACACTTACCAGCATACATTTTTTACAATATGACCAGGTGTAAATTAAATTTTCGTTATATGGAGGTTCAATCAAACGTCCTTTAATCTTAGATAGAATTAATCGAACACAGCCTTTGTCATGTATAAAGCGACGTTCATGCAAAACCATCGGACTGTCACACGATTCGGAAGGACATTCATAAGTGTCACGAAAACAATATCTTTCTAAAAATTTGCCTAAACATATGTCGTTAATTCCGTAAAACTCCATAAATACAAACCTAAGTGTACAAAAATAAATACATTAGGTTATAGTTTTAATGTAGGCATTATTCTTCAAATATTGTATCCTATAACACACCTAGGCTCTACGCAAAACGATGGAGCATTGTTTGACTCCTGACAAAAGCTATAGAACATCATAGGCAATCTTTGGTGGTTGACGGAATCAAAAACATCAATTAGTTTATCTTTTTTCGTAACGGATTTTTTAGGTTTTATCAATGACTTTTTTGACGAGGTAATTTGTACACGGCCACCTTGAGCACGAAACAAAGCTAACATGGTTTGTACTTTGTTACTGCTAATGTCTTCGGTGAGTTTAGATGTTATAAAATTGTGTTTAGGTTTTAGCTGTTAGAAAATATTAGAAAAAAAAAAAATTAGTAATAAATTAACCTAATGAAAAAATATATCATAAATGGGATTAATTTACATTAATTTCAGATTCAATTTTTTCTTGTTGTTTAATATAGTCTGTTGATTTCATATTATTCAGCATTTTTGACACATATATTTGTTTTGAAAAATATTTTCTTAATTTACACAGTTTTCCAACGTCTGATTCCAAGTACGGTACTGTAAACTAGAATTTAAAACTAAATTTATAAAAAATACCAACATTATGAATCATTATTTTCGTTGTTTAAATTAACTGAATAAATAAATAAATATCTTATAAAAATCCCATACAGTGAAAATGTGTAAATATTTTCAAAATGCCAAGCATGTTTTCAATATTTTTAAATTATATTATAATTATGATGATGTTTAGACACAAAATTTAATGTTTCAAAAATGTTATTGAAATATTTATATTATTTTAAACATTTTTGTAACAGCAAATTCATGCCAAAACAGCATTATTATATAATATTAAACAGGAATTTTTGTTTTGTTTGGGAGGTAAAATATAATAATATAAATTCAATATTTCAGTTACTTTGATCACTTACGTTAACAAGTGGTGATAATGTAAGAAGTGAATTATCTAACATCTGTTGAAACAAATTGATTTCGTTTTTGTTAGTGTCGGATAATATTTCTGAACTATTTACATCCGATACGTCTAAATGAGTACTTATATCTGAGCTGTCAATACTCAAACTCTCATTTAATAATTTTGATGTCGGTTGTTCACTATTTGAACTATTTAATTGTTCATTACTTATTTGTGGAGTGGCAAACTGGTCCATGATATACGATTTTTCAAATTTCCAATTGTAAATCATCAGTATTAGTTGTTTGAGGATAATTTTTAATTTTTTTAACTGTTTAACAGAACTTCCTCGGAGTAAAACTGAACAACCAAGTTCTGGTACGGGACAGCCTTCAAAAAACATAAGTGATTTTACACCAAAATGTTCCACATAAAATTGTTGACAAGTGCCTAACACCGGTTTCCCCATGTGTGCGTCGACTGAAGTTAGTATTTCAGCACCGGTACATCTGGCAATACGCTCTAAAATGGATGTTTTGACATTTAATACAAGCGTTACTCCCATTTGATTAAAAAGTTCTTGTGCGATTCGCGAAACACTTTTTTGTACTAGAACTAAATCTGGTTTCATCGACACAATCCGGCATACAATATTTTTAAAGTAATCATGTTCCTAAACATTCATTACATACAAAGTTATATTTAAGGTGAAAATTAAAGAACGATATTGGTTGAGCATAGGTATTGCATAATACTTACTTGCATTATAACTGGTTCTAAGGATAATAATTTTCCTTCGACTCTCTGATAAATAATTGAACATTGAAGTAATAAAATTTTAGGACCAGAAATCCTTGACGCCATAGCCTTATTTGAAATATTTTTGGAACACACAATACCGCTAACAATGCAACTATCGCTACTTTCACCTCCTTCTAATTTTTTGACCTGTACATACCTAATTGAAGTTTTATGTTTAAATTATGTTATAAATAAAATAGTATTATAAAAAGCATTGTTTAAGATTTTTTCTTAATTTTAAAGAGGAAGGAGTGAACTTTTTGAATTTTTGGACCAATAAAGTACCTTTTGGATAAAATTTCTCATAAATTTGCTAAATGAAGAAATCGTTCACTGAAAGTGATTAAATCACATTCAAATAAACGCATTGATGTGAAATTAAAGATGGTAAAAAGTAATATACATGAATAAAATTATTGGTTTATCACAGTATTTCGGTAATAACATATTAAAAGAATATCCCACTAAAGTTCTGAAGTAAAAAAAACTGAAATAAAAAAAAATTGAAAATATATCTGTATCTTAAATCTAAAAAAAGCCAATCTCAATTACTGTAACACTTGTTATTACGTTATAACATTTAAAATTACGTTCAATACAGCTCTTGGTTTGTTCAGGGTCTGTCTTAGATCGGTGTCACTGTACTAATAGTGCAATTTAAATTTCTTACTCGCAAATATTCATATTTTCAGAATTAGCAGATAGATCTGGAGACACTTCGTTGACAACCAAATTAGCCAAAGGTATCAAAGTATCGACCCAATTTTCAGAGAGTCCATTTTTTTTTAATGATTGTATAACAAATTTTGTTTTATGATTTTCGAAAATATCCCTATAAATAAAAAAGTTTAATATAGCATTTAGACACATTGACTTTTAAAAATAGTTTATACAACATAAATTTTGTTAAACATAGTGGTACTAACATTAAATCGTTGAATACTTTCGTTTCATTATTTTCATCACTTAAATGTTTAGGAGCACTCCAATTTTTCATGGCTCCAAAATTTGTAACATTATATGTTTTTGTTATGTCAGCTAAAAGCTTTTGGATCAATATATCTACTGGACGTGACTCGGCAGCTATTTAAAATACATTTCAAATAAACAAATTAGACAATAATAAAAAAATATTTACAATTGTACCTAAACTTTGTTTCATTTTTTGAGAACTTGGTTTCGATATTTGAACAGTATTATTATGTAGATCTAAGTCGAGTTTAAAGCTTCCGTTAGAAACATTTGAATTTTGTTTTTCTAGAAAACAAAATGTACAAGTATTATTAAAATATAAAAAGAATAACAATAACGGTAATTAAGTACGACAATAAATTACCATAAATCTTTGGTGTGACACTAGTGTTTTTTAAGTTTGTATTGGAATAATTTGGTAGTACAGAACAAAACCTGTACAAAGAATGTCCATCAAGAAAGTCTCCTTGATTTTCCATGACGTCTTCTATATATCCGGCATCTAAAAGCACTTGACCAATTGCTGTACCGTGCATTCTAAACACCAAATTACAGTTGAACAAATAATCTATTTATAATATACACTGAAGTTCATGAATTTTACCGGCTCGTCACCTTTCCATGACTCAACAACCAATCGATAAGATTATGTCCGAGAAAACATGAATGATAATTTCTTAGACGATATCGATGAGTTTTAAGATTTAATCCACAATTGATTTTAGTCATTTCTTCAAATAAACTGATCAAATTACAAGCAGCGTAGGGATCTTCTGCAGACGCAATAGGAGACAAATTATTTAATGTATTCGATCTAATGAAAGTAAAAAATTTTTAATTAAATGCCTCTCTACTATGCAAATTATTGTAATTTTTAAATACGTCTAATAGATACCTTGATAGAGCAAAGTTTTCTTCTTGATATCCAACAGATATTTTTCTACTAGGAGATTTAGACGGTTCTGTAGTATTTTCGACGTATTTTAAACTAGTACTCGTATTTTTTATAACATCACTGAAGCCAAATTTTGACTGCAATTCATTTCTTAATGCTACTAAATCTGGGGAAAGTACCACACCATCAGGTGCAGACTGTAAATACGATAATACCACTTTGCTACAATATGAACAAACCCTAAGATCGCCTAAAAGAAAATGTTTTTTTTTTAAATTTAAATATTTATATTAAAAACTACTGAAATTATTTTCTCACCCGAGTATCCCATTATTTTGCCTGGTATTTCTTGGTAACAACATTTAGAGCAAAATATCTGACCACAAACACGACAATGGTGACGACGACGAAAGGTTGTAAATTTCTCACAACAGTCGTAACATTCTTTACTTACCGAATCGGGCATCCAATATTGTTTCAAATCTGTATTTTTATATGAAGGATTATAATCCTATACACCAGTAAAACACATTGGTAAATGGATTTCAAACGGCATAGTTAAATATTGTTTAGTAATTAAAATTAAACAATAACTTACGCCAGAATAAACTGGTAATAAACTGCCAACTCTTTTGAGTAAGTTAGGTAAATTTCTAGCATCTATGGTCATTAAGGCTTGTGTAGTATTATCTTTTTCAATTTGTTCCTGGGTAACAAAAAAAAATTATGAATTGTATACAATTTTGAGCATAATATTAAAAAAATAAGTATTAGACATAATTAAGAAAATGTATTTACATTATTATCGATGACGGGATGATTGACTGGGTTTTCGTTTTTAATCTCTTCATTCTCTGTTGTACTTGATTTAAAACTAAAGACTTTTGCAAAAAAAGAACTGACTGATGAATGTTCTTCTTCGGGGCTTAACGGAGTAAACTCCGTTAGTGCAGTTTTCGTGTGAAGATTAGACATTTCTAAGAACGAAATTTTTCCTTTAGCAACGTCAACAATATATATTTGAAAACATTTTTTTAAAAAAATACTATATTTGAAGAATATAATGGATACTAACAAAAATTGAAATACATGATTAATTAACAGATTTCGGATCTTAATGTAAACTATCAAAGGCTTATCTGAATGTGATAATAGAAATCATAACAATACCATTATTTATTTATTCGTATCACGATGTAGAGAAGACAAGGTGACACCACTAAACTTCTTATCAGTAAAAATCTGGGGTTGTATGCTTCAAGCATTTTGGTAGTTCAGCTTCGCTGTACAGGCGGCGCCACCATTCGCCCGGAAGCCGATATTATCTATGCGATCCCTGTTTTAATATACCCTACTTTATAAGTCCCTTTAGTTACCATAGAATAAGCTTTATCTTACAAACATTTCTAGTTTCAGTTATGGTTTTATAGGAAACTACATTTTTCTAAAGAAATGTTCGTTATTCTTTATAATGAATTCTTTAGACCTTCAACAACTATAAACTCAATTTGAAAAAACTTCTCTGGTGCTTAAAATTCGATATAGGAGGGGGGAGGGGTTGAGGACAATTTTTTTCTTGTACATAATATGTGTTATTATATATTATATATATTGTTATAAAAGGATAGTCATCGTTCGACTATAAACGTCTTTTGTGGAATAGGAATTAGAATAAATAATATTGTGGTTTTTTAAATAATATATAATCTATAGTCCTGTAATAAAATAAAATTACATGTAATATATTTTTATTTAGCAATAAAAATGACAGTAACGTATAATAATATGTTAAAAATCCTATTAGCTCCATGTAAAAGTCGGCCTCCAGGCGAATGGTTGCGCTATCTACGTGACAAAATTGTACTACCAAAATGCCGTAATTTCTTGACCCACTGATTTGGTTGGAGTGGCGTCACCTTATCTTCTCTACATCGTGTATTAATCCAAATGTGTAATAAATTTGTTATTGTTATCACTTGTTGTCTTATCAGTAATCAGTATTAATAAATTAAGTAAGCACATGATTCCTGATAGTCAATACTGAATTCGAATGTTGTTGTGAACATGCTTCAACTAAATTTAAATTTACTAAAGAAAATAAACGTGCTTTAATTTTAAATACATTCTATTTAATTGAGTTACTTATAATTTCACGCGCAATATAATGGATGTTTTTGAAATTATACTTGGTTGTTACGAATCGTTTGTCATAGGAGTAAAATGCCGCGTTAAAAATGAGGTAGTTACTTTTTTTTAAATTTAAATTTATACACATATTTTAACATCTATCATTTTTTTATCTGTTCTACCATTAAGAAGTCAAAAGAATTGGAACTCGTTCAATCGTTTAATGATCACGTACATCAAGCCAGTATTCGAGCCGTATCATGCTCATCAAAATATATGGTATCCAGTAGTACAGACGAGACTATTGAAGTATATAATATGGTCAAGCGCTGCCACATACATACTATTTTGCAGCATACTGGCACGGTAACGTCATTGTCTTTTACTCCTGACGAATCTCATTTAATTAGCACTAGCGATGATGGTTCAATTGCAATATATGAAACAGGGACTTGGAAAATAAAAAAACTTTGGGATAAAGCACACAAAGGATCAGGTTAGAATTAAGTTTAAAAAATTGTGCTACAATTGACCTTATGAACGAAACAAAGTTTATTTAAAGAATTCCATTATTATAGGTGTATCTTGCTTAGCTGTACACCCAAGTGGAAAATTAGCTTTATCTGTTGGTAAAGACAAAACTTTAAGAACTTGGAATTTAGTTAAAGGTAGACCGGCATATACGACCAATCATTCAAGGTGAGTAAACCAAACACAATACAATTATAATTTATCTGCAATAAGTATTTATGTTTGTACTATTTGTTTTGTTTTAGTTTGGGCGCATATTATTTTTTTGAAAGAATCATATGGTCTCCCATCGGACAGTTTTATGCTTTGCCTCTCAATACGAAACTGATTATTTACAGTGTAGAAACGGCAGGCATTGCTTTTACAATTGAATGTGATCAGAAAGTTCATGGAATCACGTTTTTGTCGGTAATTGTTTTGTATAATCCATTCAATTTCACTAGATTTATTATTTAATCAATGTTATTTTAGGAACATTTAGTTTGTTTTGGTACAGAAAACGGATCTATTAAATGTTATGATATAATTAATAAAGAACTTGTATGGAACATGAAAATAGGAGATGTAAGAGTCAAATGTTTGAGTAAAGTCGATGAATGGCTTATAACTGCACTTAGTGATGGTCATATTACGTTATGGGATCTGAAGAGCGATGAAGAACCTGTTAAAAATTGTTCCATTTTTTTGGATTGTAGAGTCACTTGTATGACCTCCAGCAAGTCTCCAAGGCAAGTTAAAATTCGTAAAAACATTCATTTTCTTCGCTACACAGTAAAACATTGAATTATGGATATGTTTTTGGTTAGCTTCTTTATGTAGCCTCCTGCCTAAATAAACATCATGTAATCAATGACTTGCAATCTACATTCAGTATTATTATAAGAGATAATTTTAGTTAATAATTCGAGAATAACCAGTCAAAAAATCCAAAAACTTTAGATTCACATTCATGGTTTAACCATACATCGGTTGCACTAAACACACCCAACTCAGCTCACACGTCTCTTTCGTGACACAAAATTTTCGGTTGTGTATCCAGCCCAAAAACATATCCATGTTATAACAATATATATATATAATATATTCTTGTATCAATATTATAAAAACAATTCGGAGACATATTGTTTACTGGTTTCTAAACTATTCTCAAGTAGTCTCAAAGCGGTGATTTACAATTATTTCTATAATAAATTTAAAAAAAATATATTTTATTTTATAGCAAAAAAGAAGATGTTAAGAGTGAATCCGAAGAAGAAATTGAAGATAAACCAGAAGTCATAGTGGTTGGTGTGAAAAAACCAGAAACTTTACAAAAAGTTAAACGAAAAAGTGTATCTAATGGCAATCAAAAGAAAAAATTAAAATCTAGTATTCAAATTAAAAAAAAAGCTGTATCACAAAAATGGAATGTTAGCAATGAATTTGACAATTAATTTACTTATTAAGTATTTAAGTTTCTAATAAAACGTTTTTAAAAAATGATGTAGCCTTAAAATGATTGTTAAAGAAAATTTAAATTCCTGACAACCCATAATAATTTTAGTATTTTGATTAACAATTCTAGGAAGTATGTTCTGTAACACAAAGTAAAATATAGTGATTACCTTTAATGTTAGTGTGACCCTGCCAATCATAATTAGACAAAATTCAAATATGTAACTACTGTATAATATAATTTGTTTTATGTACTCGTTTCCAAACAATTCGTATTTATAAATAAAAATATTATGAACGAATTATGAATAGGTTTGTAAACAATTTTACAAACTTATTAGAAAATAAAAATTTCAATGTTTACTTATAACAGAAGTTACTAATATGATAATTTAGCTTTTAAAATATTCCAGACTAAAGTTTAATATACATAATACATAACCATGTATATTATTACTACACTGTTGATTCTATAAGCTGTGTAAAATAAAAAATTACTTGTGTAAAACAGTCCGTCGACAACGTTTGAATCGTACATTAGAAAAAAAAATAAATTATACAAATTTAATGATCACTCAGAACAGCCTATTAGTTTTGGCTCTTGTGTTCTTTCTGGCAAAAACATATTATTCCGTGTTCAATAAATTTTAATTCATATTTACTCAATTTAGTGAAACGGTATGTTAAATTCACTGAATTTTATAAAATAAAATAAATAATTAATTTTTAAACAGTATACATGTGGAGTCAATACAAATAGAAGCATAGAAGTAAATAAAAAACACAGTGTATAGTATCTCAAATGAAATAATTTTATAATATTCAAACAATAAGACACACAATAACATAATTTTCCCTAAAAATTGTTTTATTTATTCTGAATTAGCCTTTTTATTGGTAACCCAATTAAAAAAACAAACTAAACAATAAAAACACAATAATATAGATAAAAATCCAATTCACTAACTTCACACTATCATTTTTACACAATTTCTTGTATAGAAAATTATTAATAATGTAATAATTTGATTAAATGATTGAACACAACATTAATTATAAGATAATTATTATTAACTATTAACTAAAATAAAATAACAAAATTATAGAATCTTATAGAAAATACAATTTAGGTCGAGTTAACTACAATGTCATACTCGAGAGTTAATTACATCTTAAAAAAAACTAGTTTCGGGGCATTGCTAATTCGAAGTGGATAGGATAATGAAATTTAAATAATAAAATGGCACAATAGTTAGGTAAAATATTATAGCTGAGTCACTTTTTTATGTAAATTAAAAAAATATAATGACTATTTTAAATTTATATTATTACATATTTTTTAATGTCAATATATTATTTTTTAACTATAAAGAAATATTTTATTTAGCGGTTCTTACCATTCTTCTGGCGTGACTAGAATCTTATTCTTTGGTAATCCGCTTTGAGTCTTTGGTTTATAATGGGATTAAAATATATTTAAAAAAAGAGAACAAATTAATATAAAATTACAACTTTACTTTGGCGTCCAGTTTGTTAACGCAACACCTAAAAAAACAATTAATTTAACCTCAATAAATTAAAAAAATTTAACTAGATATTTTACATTATTAAACTATAAAATATGATTTGGTTACAGCGAAAAGCAAGTATATAGTAATATATAATAATATTAACATTTGTGAAAACCAACACCAATTTAATATCAAAGTTATAGATAGATATAGTCCTTTACCTATTGAAATATATTCAAGAAAAGCAAATAATTTATCAGTACATTTTCTTAATTTTCTCTTGTAAATATTTCAATGAAAAATGTCTAAAATTTTGTCTACAACTGGCTTTAACGGATTATTTACAATATTAGATACAGAGGTATATATCAAATAAAACTCAACCACCACCGTTTATGAGCTTTCATAAATATTTTAAGTTTTGCGATTACAAGATAGCTGCAGAAGAACAAGGAGCTAATAAATAATAGCAGATTACAGTATAAAAATAATAGTAGAACATTGCCTATATTGATTCTTCTACCACAAAAACGTGTATTATCATCATCGTAAAATTAAAGATTAAATAATAGTTTTAAAGAATAAGAATACAACACCATCAAAGTCTGGTGTTTCACAAGAAATTTAATGTTTGTCAAAACAATAATAAACATTTTTGTGATAAGAATGTCTCTTAAAAATATGATACAGGGAAAGGTTACAAGTAATAGCATGCTATATAAATTGAAAAAAAAAATCATGACGTTAGTTCCTCTAAAATTTCTTCAGTCGTGCGCCGTTCGCTCTTGAACCGATCCATATAAACTTTTGGGATGGTCCAATCCAATAGTATTTCTATATTTTTTTTTAATAAATCGTTTTCACTAAGCTTAACGTCACGATATGGACTACGTCCCGAGTTCTCAATGGAGTCGCATAACACTAAATCTATTAATCTTTTACCAAATCCTAGTGCGTTTAACCTTTCGGTAGTCGATATGCGAATTAACAAAACAGCCAACAACATACGCATACGATCTAGAGCCATGCTTGGAGCAATTATTTCTTTTGATTCTTGTTTCGGAGAACACGACTCTTCATGAGTTAATATTTGGGTTTTGGTTTTGAAGTATGCATTACATTTTACACATAAATATGGCTTGTCTGTTTTGTGTATGGTCAACATGTGCTTTTTTAAATGTGGTAGTTGCGTAAACGCCGTATTCATACACACCAGGCACTTAAAGGGTTTTTCCCCAGTATGTCGTCGTACGTGCATTTTCATTGCCGTCGAATGCGCAAAAGAAACTTTACAAACCGGACACGGATACGGTTTCTCCCCACTGTGCCTTCTTTCGTGGACTGTCAGTTGAGATCGCTGAACAAAACGAGCATCACAGCTTTTGCACTCGTACGGCTTTTCATGTCTGTGTGTTCTTAAGTGTTGTATCATGTGACCTTTAAATTGCTTGTGGCAAATTTTACACGTAAAAGCTCTGATATTGTTATGATAGCTCGATAAATGTTTCGTTAAACCATCCCTACGTAAAAAAGCTTTTCCGCAAACTTCACACACAAAATCATTTTGACCCATATGTCTTTTCATGTGACCTCGTAGCACGGAACGGCAGGCAAACAACTGATGGCATATGGCACATTCTAATGTATACTGTTTATTATGTGATCGCGCATGTTGCCATAACTGACTGGCTCGTGTGAATGTTTTTAAACATTTGTCACATCTAGAAAATGTATGAAACTTTAAGATAAAATATGTGAAATAAAAAATTAAAACAAATTGTAAACAAATATTTAATGATCAATCGAGTATTGAATGGAAGACACCGATAGTATTTTAGGTAGATGTTTTCAAAAAATGAAATGATAAATGAATCAATGACAATTTATATGATAAAACTGAACTAGTATAATATAATTAAACATTATCTATGTAGCAAGTACAATTTTAAGGTATACATTATAAGCAAAGTCAGCAAACAAAACCCAACTGGTTTTATTTTTAGTGTAAGCCCAACAAATATTTGGTATTCACTAAAAACTATGAGTTATGTTGTATTTATACCCAAAAAAACCTAATGGCTAAAGACTTTTTTTTTTAAACTAGGTTATCGCCAACTCTGGTTATAAATTATTAATTATACTCCATCAAGTTTTAAATAATATTTTTTAAAACTAATGAATAACATTTACATTTATTTTCTGAATTATTCATTAAACGGAATTAATAAAATTCCGTAAAACAAGTTGTTTCATATTGTCAAAATATAACTTTGCAATTAATAAGTGAAATATATACCTGTGAGGATAATATCCTGTATGAATGCGCACATGTTCAATAAGACGTTCCTTCATAGGGAATTTTTTGTCGCAATGACCACACGTAAAGTCTTCATCTCGGCCGCAGTTATGAATGCACAACTTGTGATTGCGTAGAGTATTTTGGTGGGTGAATCTGTTACCGCACAAATCGCATTCGTACGGTCTTTCACCAGTGTGTACTCTGTAATGCTTTTTTAATACATTGGGAAAAGGGAATACCTTATAACAGAATTTGCACTGATGTTGCCTGGGACTTTTTCTAACCACAGTTTTATTTTTTTTTACCACTCCCATGACGAATGTTGCAAACGTGCACTGTGATTAACTGTTAAATGTGTTACTCATGCTTACAGTATCTTTCTTACAGTTAAATTGTTATTTATTCTAATTCATCTGTATCTATTACTATATTTGTACTTAATAGTTTAAAAAGATTGTTTCCCCGACACCAGAAGAGAAGCGTTCATCTAATTGTGGCATATATTATAGTATAAAAATATTAGACCATACATTGTAGAGTTTCCGAAACAATCGCCAGGATCGCCAAATTATTGATGGACTTCATGACTAGATATACCTTTGGTTTCTTAAAAAAACAATAAAAAATAAGAAAAATGTATAAATAAAAAATATATATATATATATTATGGCTATTTTGTAAAAACAATGTCTTAGACTGGTACAACATTTTATTGAATAACTACTAGTTTCGTAAAAAAAATTATTAATCATCAAGTTATACACAATGTATTGATAAAAATAATTAACATGACATATTTTATTTATTTATACTGTGAAGATAAAGATCACCACTGAATGAGTTCAGTGTACTTATTTATAAGACTTAAACCGTCATAGAAGTTACCTAAAAAAGTATACAACACTCAAAGACTTTGTTTTACATTATTATCACATTATAAAATAAAACGCAATAGTCAAAACAAATATTATTATGGTTTATGCTACAATTTACGGGACCTAAAGCTATATTCTATAGTTAAAAAAAAAATCCAGCGGATTTAATCATCATATTTTATTTAAACAAGTTTCTAAGTCAAACGTATAGAAATCAATTATTTTTTCTATAAAATAATAAATTATTATATTTCAATAACGTAAAATCGTTAACATATTTTTTTAGTTATAGATACCTATTTATTTATCACTCAAATAGTTTTTTTTAGTCTCTAAGTATGGTTAGAGTACACTTTTATATTAACATGTCACTCAACACTCATTCAAAGTAATTAATTAAATTTAGTAAGAATGTAAATGAAAAAACGATTTATGAACACTAGCTTATTATATTCTAGTTTATAATCTGAATTATGAATAACAATATAATGCATACAATTTGGGTTATCTACATTATTTTATGTTGGTAAATATTTAACAGTTAAATTAAGCAAACTAATTGGATTTTTAGAGGAGGGGGACTTTAGCTATAGTATTTTATTTTTTGAGATTATACTGAGAAGTTGCTTTAAAAAATATTCAATTGGAATAAATTATTTTTGCATTAATACATTACGAGTATTTGTATTTAGTATATTATTCTTAATATTAAACTCAATACGAAAACATTTAAATGTTATCATCAATTTTTTTTTTTAAGTTGGCTGAAGTAATTTATTATATTACATTTGTTGGTATAAAACAACACACTTACTTTTAAAATTAAAACATCATTTTCGTTCATAATAATTACCAAAACTAGACTGTTTACTTCTACATTAACATAACTCAGTGAACAAACAACATGACTGAATATCGATCAAATAATTACCTTAAAATTTAACAACTGCATGCATAAAATATAACGTTAATATAACAGCCCGTCGCGTCGTCGACAATCGACATCGACTACAGACAACTTAATTGTAAATTGATATTTTTTGATAATAATCTATTGCCTAATAACAATAACAAAACGTATATAGAGAATTTGATAGCGTTTTACAGTGTTGCCAAAGTTCTGAATCGATTATGTGCCAGTGTACATACACAAATTAAATATTACTGAATGGTTATTGTTTTTTAGCAGCAGTCAACGATCGTTTAACATCGTGGTTACTGGATATGGGATCCAATTTCACACAGCCTATTGCATAAGTCAATACAGATGCAAGGTATTACTCATCACATTTTTTATAGTTAACCTCTTCGGGTCTGTGGTGTGAGATCGCATGGTATTATGATGCCATAAAAAATAAATGTTTTGTGTTAAAAATGTTAAACATTTTTTTTATTGATCATACTGCAAACATATTGTATTTATTTCCTGTTTTCGTTTACATACAATTTTCTTACATAATTCATATTTAATTTACTTTAAAAAAAAAATAGCACAGGGGGTATAGTCCCATCCTTCATGGACAAAAAAGGTTAATAGTATTTTCTTTGGGTTTTCACTGGTACACTGGTGGTACTATATCTAAAGAATAGGTATAATATTTTTAATAATCGTTTCAAATAATTTTCTCGAATTTAAAGGGGAAGCGGTGAATATTTAAAATTGTTGGCCCAATAAACTAGCTTTCTAGTTTCTGTTAATATAAAGGTAGACCTACTACATGAAATATCGGTCCGTGGGTTTATAAAATGAAACCAGAATCACAAAAATAGAAAAAAAATTGGAGCTTCAGAGCTTAAATAATTCGTGGGAACCATATCATGCATCAATTGGTTAATTTAGAATATGCATATGGTTAGTTTTAATTTAACAAATATTTAAAATTTTTGCAATTTTTTTTAAATTTAATTTGTTTGCTGACCTCGAAAAACATATTAAAATTTGATACAGTAAATTTACGATTTGTATTTGTGTAAGAAAAAATTATTTTTTCCACATATTTCGATCAATTGCATTTTATTATCATCTGAACCGTTTGAAAACTATTATGTGTTTGCGGTAGTTCAATTACCTTGGATTTGTCAGCTCACAGCTCGTGTGGCTAGATTGGTTGATTTTAATTTGAGATATTTACTAAAATGTAAGACTACTTCTGAAAAAAACGCCAAAAAGAAATAATTTATATCTCAGAAATAAATCCATAGAAAATGTATGTTTGAGTTTTTGAGGTCAGCAGCCAATTTACATGTGAAAAGGGAAGTGACGTATTCTGTGCAATTTGTTTTTCATATTGAAAACTAGTACGTAATATTAACCGGATGAGAACAGATTTAATCTTAAAGAAAATATCAGGTATCAACTATTATTAGTTATTCAGGTACACAGTATTTTACTTACGTACCTAATATGAAAAAAAAACTTGTTTGACGAATAATTATTACAGCTTCTATTACATTTTGTTTCGCAATTTTAGATTTATGGTCGAAAATATCAATTATGCGTATATCTAGCGTATTTTTAAAAATGTAGGTAAAAAATTATATAAATATGTTTTGAAGCTTTTTTTTTACCGAGAAAAACAAAGTACAAAAACACGAAGATTATAAATAACAATATATTATTGATAGATATAAATGTATATGGAGTACATTTGTATCAATATATTTTTTTGAATCAGACTTCTTTACCTAATCTTTTTTACGTTGGACTAAACAAACGATTTTCACTTGTGATTTTTGACAAATGAGCTTTTAAGTTTTATTTTTTTATACCTACTTTTTAAGAGTTCGCGTTAAATGGGTATTTTAGAAAACTTCTCAACTTTTTTAATTTTTGTCAAAAATTAAAATGTTTTAATATTTATTAATTATACCTAATTATAAAATCAATTAATAAATTAGAAAAAATTGCAAAAAGTTATGCCGAAACCAGGGATCGAACCAGGGACCTTTAGATCTTCAGTCTAACGCTCTCCCAACTGAGCTATTTCGGCTGCTTGGAAAAGTTTGATATTTCAGCTTTATTTAACACGCAGACCGCTTTGTACGTAATAAAAAACCATTGATTATAAATAATATTTTATATGTATAATCAATGATAAAACAAAACATAATTATGCAATTTAATTTTAATCTTAATAATATTTTATTTCACACATCTGTTTTAAATTAAGTTGATTTTAATATAATAATTTATACAATGATATATATGAATTGGTTCATAGAAAAAGAAGATAAAGGACAGAATATAGGACAACCTTTTACCTTTTAGTGCTGTCTCGAATTTATTCCTCTTTCAAAATACCTATTTTGAAAGAGCTAAAACACAACAAAGGGAATGAAATAAGGATTGAAACAAAAAATACATAAACACAGCCATATTATAAACACGGGGTTTTTGGACATCAGATTTTTTCTTTGCAAGTCGGATGATACTGGGCGACATTCCGTTTGATTAAACGGTGTACTATTTTCAAATGATTGGTCAGCGTCGACGATTTAGTATACTGCTTTGGACACAGTTTACACTTATACGGTTTTTCTCCCGTATGTAGTCGCATGTGTTCGGTGAGTACATAGGCTGAACACAATAGTTTCGAACACACCTGAAAACAATATATTTTGCAATAATTGACTGAATTAAAAATGTTTTAAAATTGTTGCTCCCCCCCCCCTCTATAGATTTTGTTTGTCAATACTTAAAATTTTAGTCTTCTCAAATCTAAGTGGAGTCATATTTGCCCATATATGATTAACACAAAACATATATTTTTCATTAAAATCGTCAGAACTTCAAAACTTCTAAATATGTTTAAAATTTAAAAAAAGATTCGGAAAGCTGACATAGTATCAGTATGTACCTTTAAAATATTGATAAATACATTTATTGTTTTTTGTCCGTTTTTTAATTACTTACAGTTAGGCAGTTTAACAATAAACAATTACTGAAAATGTATCATTAAGCCATTGTTTATATCAGTAAAAATTAACAACATCAAATGTCTAGTAAAGTATTTTGAAGGTGTAAGTTTGAACTTTCAGAATTTTTGTTTTTAATTTTAAAAAGATTCATAAGTTTTGAAGCTATGACGATTTTAATAAATTATAAATTGTTTAGGTGTTAATCAAAAGGGGAATATCTGGCTCACCACTAAGAGTTGTAGTGAGCACTACTTAGAGTTGTCTTGGAAGGTTAAAATTTTAAACATGTCTTCTTTTCGACAAATAAAATCGATTCAAAGGGTAGTGCGTACACTCAATCGTGTAAACAGCGCCTTTGGACTTATATTAAAGTACCTACGGAACTGTTCACTTACGTTGCACTGATACTTATTGCCGACTCTAGTCTTCATGGACGATTCGGGATTCCGGAGTTTTTCGTCGCAGCGGTTAAAGTCGGCTTTGTGCGTGTACTTCAAATGGCTGTTGAGATTGGCAATTTGATGAAATTCCCTAATGCAATGTTGGCACTTGTAGAGTTTCGGAGACGTCTTGACGTTGCAACACTGTCTTCGCCCTGTACTGCAACCGCCGTCGTACGTGGATAGTTTGAATCTACCCAGCAGAGACTTTTCGCAGTTATCAGACTGGCACACGTGCAAGTCAAGACTCGTGTTGCTGGAATCGTCGTCGTCGTGTCCGTTGTCGAAGTTGTGTAACGAGTCGGTTGCCATTGCCGTCGGATATAAACCACCAATGTTTCCATAGGTTGTCTCATTATACGTACTGTACAAACAAAGTATATTATACAAATCAGTAAGGACCTAAGAAACCTATAAGGACATTGTACCGTTTATTCAATCTACCCAATTCGTAAGCACCAGTCTAATACCTACACAATTACTTCTAAAAAAAAAAAAAACCACAGTGGTACAATTCTATTGCCAAAGTTTTTCAACCTCATGAGTATCACAATATTATTCCTATATTTCTTTAACGTCCAAACTATTTTAGAAAACTCATTTTTCCCGCGGATAAAATTATACTGACTTGTCACTTTGTAAGAGTAATTTAGCTTGATTTTCCGGGTAGAAGTAATTTACAGATTTGATATGCTTGACTTCCGCTACTTCCGCATTGTTGTTCAAATGCGAACTATAAATTAAAAATATTTCGATTTTAGACATACATTAACTAACTACTATTGATTAAAATGAAAATGAATCGGTTATTTGAAAAAGGGCCAAGTACGAAACCGAAAGTATAAGAATTTACAACTTTTTAAATCAATTAAATTGAAAACAAATGAAGTTACAGGATCATAATTGTAACCTCACAAAATAAAAACATGATTAAGTACTAATATTTGTAATTTTTAGCATACTTATAATTTTTTATTATTGTACACTTTGCGTGAAAAACTTATTTTTTAGTAAAAACATCGAATTGTTTTTCTTTAGATCGAATCTGAAATTATGTTTTACGAACGAACAAATGATAGTGACTATGCTAATTCCCCCACTTAATCTAGATGTAGACAATAACTTCCACTGTTAACCTATTTTATAAGACCACAATAATCACAAGCTGGTAAAAACTTATAATAAAGAACTTTTTTTTAATGCTTTTTACTGTACAAAAAATGAAGTATTTTGAATATAGTTCGCCGAAGTGCCGCTTACAAATTTGAACAACCATAAATTTAGATTAGTTTAGCTGTGGACTTCACTCAGATTTTGTAAAAATGTCACTTATACCCCGTGTGTTCTAGGCCCCTCATATGTTATCTATGGACTTTTTTTTAATGAGTACTACCAAAAATACTACACGAGCAACCACTGCGATTATTTATTTTAATATTTTAATCGTTTGTCTACATTATTAGTTATTGTTCTACTTATTATAGTGAAACTTCGTTTATTATATTTACACGCTTCGTGAAACTATTTAGGACGATGGACGATGGTTATATAGATAAACCTAGTGTAAGTAATTAGTATGCATAAAAAATATATTGTATATTTGTATACCTATAACATGTATTACATTAGGACAAAACATTTGCGAATCATTTGCAGATGCGAAACAATAGATAGGAAAAATATGAATTATTTAAATTACGTTGTTACAATAACGTTAATCAATTAATTAGTTAATAAAAAATGGCTATAGTTTTTTTGGATTTTCTAAAAAAAAACCTATTTTTAGATCTATCATCATATAGACCTAAGTCGAAATTCAATGTTAAAACAAAGTCTTACAATGGGATAACTAATAACAATTATCAAATATTAATGACATAATAGCAGGTACGTACCTTTTATACGACGCATTCGACACATCATCGCTTTCATTATCAAGCGGTTCCGTTTTGATATCAACGCATTCAGTTCTGTAGTTTAAACAAAAAATATAAACAATATACCGTCTTAGTATGATGAATAATTGTAATTCATTTGGAAATAATTACTTAAACATGATTGAATATAGGTTTGTAGAGAAAATTCTTTCGGTAGTCTCTTATGTTATTAATACGATTTAACTATAAGTTATCTTAACAGTACTTATACAAAATATTAAGTGTATATACAAATAAATGTAAGCGTAATGCTTGTGAAATATTATGAAAATGGTAAATTAGTTGTGTACATCAAAATTATTAACAAAGTAAACTACGGTATGTAAGTTTTATTTCGTTTGACGGGGTGAATTATATTGCTTAGTAAGTAGTAACCAAATGCTGTGTGGGTCACGGGACCCTCGGCAGAAGCTATGCGAATCATACGGTTACTATGGTTGCCGGGGTTGCCATGGTTACAAACCAATTGTTTATTTTGGGTTAGCAACTAAATAAGGCTACCCTTAGGGGTGGAATTTTCAAAAAGTTTTATGCCGGAAACCTTCCCGGGAGGGTACTCAACAACTTTCCAAAGTTTCATGGCGATCGGACGAATGGTGTATAATAATAGTAATGCGTTAAGGACAACCAAACAGACATACGGCGTACGTACGTTACGGTTTTTCTTCGTTGAACTCCAGCGCCCAAGTGCGGCGTTCCATAAAAAGCATAGCTTCAAAAAATGGTGAACAAATTCCACTTTTTTCCATAGGCATTTTTAGAAAGTATTTCAATTCTAATTTCTACTAGAAATTGTCTAAAATCTGTAGATATTGTATCTTTCGAAAAAGTTTAAAAGGCCTAAAAATAAAAAAATAAAATAATTAAAAACTAAAAATAGTTTAACAAAAGTAATATCAGAAAAGTTGGTTGCGGATATTATAGTTAGTTATGAGATTAAAAACAATATTTAAAAAAACACCACTTTTAATCCTCTTGTCGTATTAATTTAATTTTTTTAATAATAGTCACATCACCCTGGCTTTTTTTAGCTACATATATCTATTATTATTTTCTTTTAAGACTAATGTTTCTATACGCTCGTTCCTATAACTTTAGAAATTTTCCGATTTAATTCCATCTTTCTAAACATAAGAACCTCTATGGTTACTCCACCCCCCCCCCAAACAGGTCATTAGCCTCATGTAATAATTTCAACAATGTTGATATTTCTTATAAAGTCAGACATAATATTCGGGTTGGCATTCTATTTAATTTTATAAATTAATATGTATAGGTATATTAATTTTATTATGTTTTGTACTTTATTTTTGCAATTTGTTTGTTACCAATTAGTTTGTGTAAACGTAATTTTATTTCAATTATTGATTATATCCATGTATATTTTATAGTACACTGTTACTTATGTATTCGGGTGGCTATTTATAATAAATAAATAAATTCTTTATTTATAATTAAGGTATCGTATATTATGTATGTATAATATAATTGAATTTTATGTTATTAATATTAGTACTTTTGCAATATGCAACCAAAAAGGCAATCTTCTTAATAAACATTTTTAAAATATTGAACTTTTTTTTCTAATATACTTATAGGTACGTAATAAGGTTTAACTGTATTAAAAGGTATTTAAAGTTATAATTTTTAAATATAATATATTTAAGTCGTCTGATCCAAAAGGTTTGGTTACAAAAAAATAACCGTTAATATAATTAACCTTCATATTTTTAACGTGATGTTAAGAATAAATAATTTTTAAATATCAGCTTCTAAAATCGATGCAGGTTTATCTTCGAAAAAATACATTAAGTGTAAATTTAGCGAAGTCAGTTAAGTAAATAACATATGGATATAACAATATAGGTCAAGTTTTGTTTTCGTCTTAATGTTTAGGTTAAAAACAAATAATAAAATTGTTGTTGTTTTTTAAAAAAAAGTAATATCTTACTCTTCCGTAAGATAGAAGGGTTTCACAGTATGTATTACAAAAATATAGTCATTAAAGCCAAATGTTTTGGGTACAGAAAAATATAACTTGTTACAACTAGAAGATCTGTTTCTTGTTTTTTTTATTTTTGTGCCTAAGTTGATTTGGTTCAAAAACAAATAATACTGAATCAGTAAACAATGCGAGTGTTGCGATGTTCATGACTTGAAATACATGTTAAAAACAGACTTTATTTGTACAGTTAAGCACAAGTACGAAAAACAAAGGTGCTGATTTTTTGTCTAACACAAGTCATTTCAAAAACCATATTTTGTTATTTAAGATTTTAAATATGTTTTTTAAGTTATTTTACTGTTGTATTATTTATGTTTTTCAAGTTCTAAATTCGAATACAATGTTTATACAGTTTGTACATGAACTGAACATTATGACTTGGTTGATTTTAACAAAATACGAGTTTTATTAAAAAAAATAAAATTCTTATTAAAGATTTAACACATTGTTCTGCTTTACAATGACAAATATAAAAAACAGATTCCTCCTCTTGAGACTAAGGACCTATATAGAATATAAAACCTATTTGATGTAATAAAAAAATAATAATACAGCTATTAAATATAATTATAGTCATTTAACTCGTTTTGATCATGTCTTCTTTATTGACTAGTCAGTATGTAGTAGTAGTCAGAATAAAATGTATAATAGTCACATCACACTCTGGCTTTTTTTTAGATACATACCTAAATGCTATAATTTTTCTAATGTAGCATAAATAAAAAAATGAACTGTCCAAAAAAAGCATATTTTATATTATATTTAATATTATTTATATTATAAATTATATACTTATAGGTATTTAAATTGTATTATGATTTGTACTTTTATTTTTGAAATTTGTTTTTAAACTATTATACTAACGTTATTGAGAGGACTCTGGGATGGGTGGAAACTTCTTGGGACACACCTAATACGTTCCAGGAACCAATGGTACTCAAAAAAATTTATAGGACAAGGCAGATAACAACGTTTTACACGGGTTTTATGAAAAGTTTGATATATTTTGTTTTGTAAATAATCAAGTGATATAGCGCAATAGAAATAAAAACATAACACACTTGCGTATACAAACCCAAAAACAAACTTAAAATGACTTTTTCAAAAAAGTGTAGAATAATAATTACAATTGGCCTTACGAATACTGTAGTAACACACAGTATGATATTACAAACGAGTTAAACAGTTTATTATAATATTTGAGCATTTTACCGGTATGATATTAAATATGAAGAATATCAAGATTATTCTTTTACTTAGTCTAGCAGCGTATGCTTTGTAAGTATTTTTTTAAACATTATTTTTGGTTTCAAATTTGTATAAAAAATGTAACCAAACCTAGAATTTCGGTGTGTAAAATACACATTGAAAAATGAACGTTTACTTTTCAGGTGTGGCGGTAATGGGTCACCGGAAAATGGTAATTAAATATAGTTTAGTTGATGGTTAGGAAAAAAAACATTTAAAATAAATTTAATTTAAATATTATGTAACAAAATACTCAACAGATTAGTTACTTGAAACAGACTTGGGCTTTGTTTGAAAACATGTTATTTGATTAAGCAGACATATAATAATGTATTTTATTTAAATTTGAGACATAAATGCAATTTTTATTCCAGATGAATTTTTTTTTAAACTTATGATAATATATCATAGTGTAACCTTCGATTTTATAAGCTATTATAATAAGTGCTCACACAAACACAGAAAAAATAACAAATTGGAGCGAAATAATGTTATAAGTTGAAAATTATTTAAAAGCAGTAATTAATAACAAATAACAGATATGTATAGGCAAATGTACAATCACCTAATAATGAGTAAAAACCCTAAAAGTTTGGTTCGAAACATCATCATAATAATAATAATAATAATTATTATTATTATTAGTAATACTTTTTTTTTATTGGTTACCAGAAATAAATACTAAAAAACAAACAAATGAAGCTTCAGATTCACCTAAACAGAAAACTAAAGCCCAATTAGAAAATGAGCTGTTAGAGAAAGCTGAGGCTGAGGTATTTTATACTATTATTTTAAAACTATTTAATTTTTGTCAATATTTTGCTGAATTATTTATAATGTAAAGGTTAAAGTTTTCTTAAATAGTCATTCTTATCAAGGAAACTATTATTATTTTAGCTTAAAGTCTTAGAGCTTAATAAACATCAAAATAAAGATTCTGGTTCAACTTCACTTGAACAAAAATCTATAACCGAACTGGAATTTGAGACTGAACCTCAGGTAATGAATACTATTACTTTCAAACTATTAGGATTTTGTCAATATTTTGCTGAATTTTTTTTAGTGAAAAGGTTAAAGATTTCCCAAATAGTCATTCTTATCTAGGAAATTATTATTATTTTAGATTAAAAAACCTAACAATGAAGATTCTAATTCAGCTCCATCTGAACAGAAAACTGTAGCCCAACTGAAAATTGAGTTAAAGATAGCTGAAGCTAAGGTAATTTATACTATTACTTTAAAACTATTAGGTTTTTGTCGATATTTTGCTGAATTATTTATAATGAAAAGGTTAAAGATTTCCTAAATAGTCATTCTTATCTAGGAAACTATTATTATTTTAGCTTAAAGACTTGGAGCTTAAAAAACATAAAAATGAAGATTTTAGTTCAGCTTCACTTATACAGGAAACTATAGCCGAACTGAAAAATGAGATAGAGATAGCTGAAGCTAAGGTAATTTATACTATTACTTTAAAACTATTAGGTTTATGTCGATATTTTGCTGAATTATTTATAATATAAAGGTTAAAGATTTCCTAAATAGTCATTCTTATCTAGGAAATTATTATTATTATAACATAAAGTCTTGCAAGTAAAGTTCTTGTAATAAATAATAATAAATGATAATAATAATAATAAAAATACATTTTTGTTTGCTTGTTAATTAGCACGCATATTTAAGTCAATACGTATTTAAATTTTATAATAAAAGTTTTTATGGAATTTAACCTTGTATTGATTAAAACAATTTCAGGCTATAGAAGATTCGTTCAATGATTGTTTAAGGTGGATCAAATATACTGTCCAAGACAAAGAAACTATGGAAATTGATTTGACTCATTTTATTGTTTATATGGGTAACAACTCAGAAGAAATTCAATTTATCTTGCTTGATTACTTTGAAGATCATCCAAATAAAAACGTTCATGATTACGGTAAACATTAATTATAATATACGTTATGTACCATTTCATAATATGTTTTTATCTTTAAATAAATAAATATTCGTATGGCGTATTGACCGGGATTAGGGACTTTATAGGTAACAATGCCTATTCGGTCGCCTGGGTGGGCGCATCCACGCTTGGCATTTCTGCCATGCATAGCCGGGGTTAATGGTGTGGGTCGCCGCTAAAAATCCCGGGTCACCCATCCGGGATCAAGCAGCAACGGACACAGCTTAACCTCAGGTGTCACGTGGCAGCTGAGGTGACCAATGCACCACACCACGCCCCTATAATAACATATATTATTTATATTTAATTCAATTTTTTTGTTTTAGTGACTTTAAATGTAGAACGATATGGGGACTTTTTAAAATACGTTTGCGAGAGAAAAATCGTATCAGTAGAAGACTATGTTAAAAAAAGGATAGATACAGCGTCAACAAAGGAATTACCAGATTTCTTAGCATAACATGGGACTATGTTTAATATTGGACCGGCGATGACAAAGAAGAGTTTTTTTCCGATTAGTATAATAATAATAATACGTTAAAATTTTTTTTTAAAAAATGTTTTTAAAAGAAATGTTTCAAATTACAATACTTCTAAACGACTTGTATGACTCCAAAATCACTTTTTCCTTTCAAATAAATACCGATTTCTTACATTATATGTAATATTTTTGTTGTTTATAGAAAAAAATACGATAATTTGAAAAGGGAAAAATTTGTTCAATGTACTTGAAGGAATTTAGTTTATCTAAATGAACGTTACCTGCTCCTATTTGCTCAGTACTCAATAATTGTTATTTATATTGTGATATATTTATCATCGTTTCTGCAGTCTCGAATTTTGTCTTCGTTTAATATGTTATGTAATCATGTGAGTAAATAGTCCTAAAATTACGGCTAAAAAACACAAAAAACTTGCACCTCCCGTGGAGGGGGGAATGGGTTTAATTTAAATTTGAGGCTATTGACGTATAGGGGCATACCAAATAAATATTCCTCGTAGATTTCAACTCGACCTGACTCTTTTTTTTTGAAATTATAGCCAGTTGGAACTTTAAAACTAGTATGGTTTTTTATTTGTTTTTCCAAATTTTAAGGGTGAAGAAGTAGATTTATTTAACTTTTACCCCCTCTTAAGTATCAATTAGATGAAATTTGTTACTTATAAAGTTGCTACTTAAAAAAATTGGTCCAGTGTTAAAAAAAGTTACAGCGTATACAGACACCAAAAGTTTGTTGTACGCGTGTAACACTCTATGAAACTATCTAAAATACTTAAATTTTTTTCAATTATTTTCGAAGTAATTATACGTTAGGTGATTATTTCTACCCGAATCATTTCAATTAATTAAAAAAATTAAAAATTATCAACACAATTATACATACTATCTATAGACATTTGTTAAACAAATGTGCTTAGGCAAAATTGTATATTTTTTAATATTAAGGTGGATTCGGTTAGGTTGTGGTTATCGTTGTTTTCTCATAGATCTCAATCAACAATAATATAATAAACAATTTTTACTGATAATTACGTTTTTGCTGTTAATTCACACATATGAAACACAAAGAAACTTTGACTCTTTCTAGAGAAAAATGATAATGATATTTATTTGGTTTTTCACTGTATACCAGTAGCAGGGGCGTGCCCAGGATTTCTTTTTAGGGGTGGTTTAGCGAAACCTTAAATTTTTAAAGTTAAACATCAAAACTTAGAATAATAACATTCAAATAAATGTAAGTATATACTATATTAATTTTAAAAACAAAACAGATTTTGTAATGACATAGATTGAAAAAATAAAAAAGCCAGTCAATTTGGGAGTGGTTAAAACCACCTCCTCGGCACACCCCTGATCAGTAGTATGTCTAAGAATATCCCATATAAGTTTACAAGTAGCTAGACTACTTTTAAAAAGTAATAGCTTATTGCAATTTTTATAATTAAGATGAATATAATTTAGATGACAAATTTGTACATTTTTATTGAGGTAACTTTTACGATTTTGTAGTAGAAGATTTACCCATTTTCGAAGTACCAATTGCGTATAATTTCGGATTAAAAGAGATGCTACTCAAGTAAATCGGACCACCGAAAAAACTTATTAGTAGGTATAAAACGAATACCTCCTCAGCTCATCAAATACACATTGCAATGTTCTCAGTAACTTAAAATAGGTAAATAATCAGCAGTGATATTTTTTTTGCATCAGAAGGTTTGGAGAATCTAGAGGTCACGTATAGTTTAATATTACGATTATTATAAGGCAACATGATTGAATAAACAACACAATTTTTAATTTCAACTTTAATTTTTCTTCTTTACATCACAAGACAAGTATTGTATGTTATACAATTATCTCCGGATGAGATGTTCATTTAATTTATTATTTACAATTTGTATGTATAGGGATATATATATACATATACATACACACACATACATACATATATATATATATTCAATTTGTAATGATTAATATAAATTATAATAATAATCGTAATATTTATTATAATTTATATTAATATTACAGTTACTAAAACATTTTTCTATAAAAAGAGATATTAATTATATTATAGCTTAGATAGCTAAAATAATTTTGAGCTTCCATTACTCAATAGTCAATACTGGTAATTTTAATTTACAACGATATTATGACTAATATAATACAATACATTATAATAATATATTTCATTCAGTGGATACAGCATTATCCGCTTAAAATATTAATCGGTATTACATATTTATACGATAACGACTCATAACAATATACTCGTTGATAACTCTACACGCCACGGTTATTTGGTGTGGTGAAACAAAAATTACAATAAACAATAAAGATTTTATACACAATATCTACACATTTAAATGCATATAAATTACTCGCAGTACTAAAATGATTTAAGTAGTAAATACTAAACAAAAATATGTATACTTAGTAGTTAGGCAGGCGTATTGAAATGATAAAGAAATTGTATGAACTATAGATTTCACAATAACAATTATTAACGAATGATTGTATTGTAATTATGAGTAAATATATAAATATAATGTATGTATGAATTGGTTTTGCAATAGAAATGCGTTTCGACTGAGCCGCTTTATACTAAATATTTTGGTGCCAAATATTATGTGATTGGATTATGCAGGAAATCCAAATTACCCCCAACACGAGTTAAAGTATCTTTTATGTAAATACCCTGCACAAGACTACGAGTAAAATTAAAATGATTTATATTTATTTAACACGAATATAATATGGAAACAACAATGTATAATATAGAAATAATAGTGAACACAAAATTTAATTAGTTCAAAGTAATGGATAGTAGGTAAAATGGGTAATAAATTGTATATCAAAAAGTCACTGGACGGGGTAGTATTGACACACCCCTAGTGGTCGTAGTGTAGAAACTAAAAAAAACAAAGAAACGATAACAATATGACGTAAATGACACATGTTCGAGAAATAACAATAATGTGTTTCAAATATCATAATAATAATAACTAAAATTATACATTTGAATAACGCACAATACCTAAATATTGTTGCAAATCAGAAAAAGAATTAAACATATTTTATACTCTATATAGCAAATATATATATATATATATATAAAATATATATACTTGCATTATAAGCAAATTCGATTGGAATATAATAATCATTTTTGAAATAAATTCAAAATGGCATTTGAATAGGTAATAATAATAATAACAATAATAATAATACAAATAATAATAATTACAAACCTGTGACCCAATAGCCTCAGATGCTGCGGGTATTAATAATAATAATAAAAAAAAAAAAAATCACAAACATAACCACAATTTACAATTAAAACACGACTTCATAATACGATAATACGAAAGTAGTTAACTGAAATTTAGAATTTATTTCCTCAATATAAGTACATGTGTCATAAACATATAGGTGTTAATATGTACAACAAAAAAATATTATAAATTATAATCAGTAACAATAAAACACATTTGAATATTGAAATAATTACCGAGGACAAGAAAACAATATAATGTTTTTGGGTCGAGTTTATAATAATAATTAGAATAATCGCTTACTAATACAATTTAAACTGTCGATACCGAGAAGAGATTTAATTTGAAAACCATTAGCCAATATTATATGTTTCGGTATTAATTAAATGAGAAACATTTTTAACGCGTGGACATGACAACAAGTAACTAATAACAAATTTTCGGTTACGTAACATTTTATTATAAAACAAAACACATGTTTTATTATAAAACGTTGTATATCTAACAATATATTTTATTTATATTCTCACAAAGTCACCGCAACGGCTTTGGGTGACGATAACGATTTTTTTTTTTCAAATTACTGTTTTCTATTATAATGAAATTTTCATAGCTACGGGCTATTACAATTAGTAAGTTTTTCGTTTTTGTATATTTTAATACAAAATCATAAATATTATGTTTCTACGCGGAGAAAATATTGTATACAGGTGATTATTTAAAATAGTCAAAAACAAAACGTATCGTATATCACTCATAACGCGGACATATTTTATTGTTTAATATTATTTACAATATTACATTCGTATAGTATAGATAGTATTAGTATATTAGTTGGTATATTTAAAAAATAACCCTGATAAAATATGTACACGAAAACGAAAATTACTATTATAATATTATAACAACGATGAATTGTATACTTATTGCAGCACAAAGACGTATAACATTATTTTTTAATGTATATCATATTATTTAAATGTACAGTAATACCTTATATTATATCAATAGTCGCAATAAAATGTTATTTACTATTATTGTTGTTATTATTATTATTAGTAGTATTGTTATTGTTATTAATTATTTATTATTGTATATTTTAAACTATTATAACTTTGTTGTTGTCATGTTGCTCGTCTAGAGAGCTGAGATCCGAAATATTGAAAAGGTTTCGTTGTGGTTTCGCTCAAAAAATGGCAATATACTGAAACCGACGTAAACATATTATATTGAACGAGTAGAATAATAATAATTGTAGACCCGAGAGACAAATAATTGTGCGGAAATGCGGGTGAAAGGTTGGAGGTCGAGGGTATTGCGTTAATAACATATAATATAATCAGATGAATATTTAACGGACAGTATATAAGACCTACAGACTAAACAAGTTAGAAATTCCGTTGGACGGGTACAATAATTGCGGTCGACCGATCTAAAACGAATTAATTGTATCAATTCAATTACACTAATTGTTACGTTAATCAAATTATTTTATTGTTCGTGCCAGTTTTCGCTTTTCGTAGCTATAGACATAGTATTTTGGAAATAGAAAAAAAAACGCCTGTAAAACCTTTAAAAATTACAGAACAAGATTTAAGAAAGTTTTAGCGTGAAAAAAATGTGTTTTAGAAAATTCGGTGAAACTATGACGTTCTCATATCTTCTTTCTGTCGTCGGCGCCTAAGCTTGGAAGTACTACTTAGGCGAACGCGTATTGTAACGGCCTTAAAAAAGTAAATTGAAATAATTCTACTTCGACAAAGGCAGTTTGGCTTAGTGGCGTAACCAGGGATGCGTAAGTTGTTTTAAGACCCATTGAAATAGTTATAAAACTAGATACGCCACTGCTACCTCTTGCGATCATTTGGCAATGTAAAATATTTAAGTCTGGGCATGGTGCATTGTTTTACATAACATATTCTTTTTTTTAGAAACGTTACAACGAGAACGTTGTTAAATATTGATAGCACGCGATTTAGTAACGGGACGATATATTTTTTTTTAAACATTTTTTATTTTTTATAAAAATCGAAAAACACAACGTTGCCTCGGGCACAATATTAGGACAAATCAGTTAAATAGTACATACATAATAATAGTACACTGTAGGTAGTAGAACAATAGTATTATAATGAAACATAATTTTAAGTGGCGATGGCACTATGGCGACGGAGAACGAGGAGCTAGGAATCGACGACTAGGAGGTTTTATGCTGTTAGTGTTTGTACTCGGGAAATTTGTTGTTGAGCAGTGCAGGCCGTCCGTTGACGGCGATGGCGGTGATACCGGTGGCGGTGGCGTCGTTGCTGCTGCTGTCGGTGGCGCTGCTCCGGCGGTGACGCTGGGGCGACGGTTGGCCGCAGTGCGTCCGGCGGCTGCTCCTGGCGCTGTTGCACGCCCTGGTCGCCGCTTTCGCCACTGGCACCGACTTTTGGACGCCGCCGTTTGCTGTGGCCGCCGCCGGTGTGTCTAAGCTAGCCGACCGCGCTATTGGACGATGAGCTTGACACGTACAAACAAATCCGAAATAGCGTTGATTATTATTATTGTATTATAATATACGCCACTATAACTATTAATTATTATTATAACAACGGCAAAGCCGTCGACTTATGTTAATTATTTATGAACTGCGATTAAGACATTATATCCAGAGTAAGTAAAAAAACAAGAAAACAATCAATACTTTAGCAGAGCATACTCTTTTTTTAGGGTATGCTTCGCGGCGTCTTAAAACGCTATTATAGGATTTTTTTCATTTTTTTAGTAGTCCATAATATTAATAAGTCAACAGGTCGTGTCATCGTGTGTGTATTCTACAGTCTAATATTTGTCCATTACAATTGTATACAATCAACAGTAATCAACTTGTTAGTTTTTAGCGTTCCATCTTTGGGTCTAAAACAAACGCAATCGAACGGTCGTTTCTATTGTAAGCGCAGTTCTATTACGCGTTCATCAATAGGTACACATTGTTATTACATTAAGTATATACATTCGTTTTTTGCGACTTGTTTCTAGACCCAAACGCTAAGCCTAACAGCGATCCTTTTACTATGATATGAAATAATATTATAACTGTGAAAGATACTATACAAAAAAAAAAAAGGTTATTGATCATGTAAAAGTGTATAGGACTTTTTTGAGCTTGGAAAATTGTGACCATAGGAAGAAAAATAGATTAAATAAGTGAAAACTACAACGGCTAGAAAAAAATTGCCTTGGGTTAACAGTATCTAGTAACTATCAAAGTGAGTTGATGGTAAATTTAAAATTGGCATTACTATGTTCTCCAGAAAACCTCCAATCTCTAGGAATAAAATAAAAAAGTATTTTTTCTAGCTAGCTCTCTTCAAAATATGTATCAAAAGTTACGTTACTGTAAATAAGTTATTACTGATTTCAATGGGCTGATAATACTGGCTGTCGTGAGTTAGAAATCATAAAGATTAATCTGTTATTTAAGATTAAGATTTATTTGTCTCGGGCGTAGTAGATGACGTTTTCTTTGGAAAAAAAAATGTACTGTTAATCGTACTCTTTATAATGTATTATTGTAAAAGAACCGCTTTGTATGAAGGAACAGCTATAGACTAATACACACAAGGTGTACGGCACGGCTTGTGAAATATAGTCATTCGTTGGCAGGCCTTACCCGGTTAGGTTAGGTTAGGTTTTCACGTTCTCAGTTTTATATTGCTCTTCTATAAGATTCGACTTAAGTTTTGGGGGAACCCTTTTTGCAATTATATTCAAATAGCCGTGTCGTACACTTTGCGTATGCGCTTAAATAATACATATTGATAAAAATAAATTGTCGACTAAACTATTTACGGGAACTAATTATTATTAGCGACGGGTTTGGTGCATTTGGTGCATACCTTTCGCTGTCGGGGGTATTACACGCGTTCCGACAGGAGGGCGGGTGGTCTGCCGATTCATAGATGCTTTCCTCACCTGTTGTCGCGTGGACGGCGGCCGTCGTCGACGCCCGGGCGGCCGACTGTAGGTAAGGGGAAGCCGAACCGCTGGTCGCCCTGCTTGCTGGCCTGTACCAGCCTCTCACGAATCTCGGTTCTTCGCAACTATAAAACGAATAACAACAAACTTGAGCATTCAGATAACAACAAGAACTGTAAGCAAAAATCCATTAAAATGGTGCTGTCGAGACCAATGTACACGAATTTTTGGCTAAGTACATTTTTCATTCAAGTTCACGCATGCTAATAGAAAAAATAAATAAAAAAGCCAGCACAGTCGAGTCTGGGATTTCTCAAATGTCAGTTATTTTTTAACAAAGTGATGAAATCCTTTTAAAAAATCTGTGAATTAAATTGGCCCGGAGGTTAAAAAAGTTATCATAAGTCTTACACAAACGTAACTCTTATACTGACCCCTTATTTCTCGTTCTTATTGTAAAAACGTATTGTATATTTGGGGCATTGTATCTGTATTGTGTAATAATAATTTCATAAAAAAAATTAAAACACATTATGGTAAAATCCCGAATTACAGAACAAAGTCAAATATAAAACACATACCACGAGTGATTTGCTCAGGCTATTTTCTAGATCTCGAGTAACGAGATTGACTGGGGATTATTTAATAACACATTTCGAATAAAAAATCTCGGCGTGTAAAAGCTTGCGTAATAAACATGGTTATCGACGATTTTCGATGAAGTAGTTCGTGATGTACAACTGAGAATTCCTTGATCCGGGTTTTTTCAATCAACGGCGGGAGCGGTGGTCGGTTCACGCCGAAGTAATAACTTTTCGGCTTAACGGTTGTACACGCGTGAGTCCACATAGTTTAACCTAGGAAATGGTGTTGCAGGAATAGATTTTCGGTTAAAGCACCCTCTTAGACAATTATTATTACGCCGGCACCCTCTCCCTCCTGTTGTTGGTAAGTTTGACGGGCGCTAATCAATGGTCTGAACACGGGGCGTGGTCTACACGGATCTGTTTGTCTCCCTGATGAAATTTCGCTGTTGTGTGTGTGTGTGTGTGTAATATAATAATATATTGTCAATGAAAGTTTTAACAAAAGGACAAGTGCGGCCAAGAGTTCAGACACACTGTTGGTGAGTACTCGGACTTGCACCGAGTTTCGTTCAAGTGTGCTCGGGTCCGTATAATATTATAATAATTATTGTAATAGCGAAAACAAAAGCGGCGTATAAGTTTACCCGGCGTGCGAATCGTGCCTGAAATGCCTATCCACTTCTGGCTCCGACGTCCGGTTGTCGTCTGACCCGGTAGGACTATTGTGTCTAACCGTGTATTCTTCGATTCGTTTGAACAGGTCTTCGAGATTTCGTATGCGGATCGGCGGTTCCTTGTTCGTCCCGTCGTCGTCTTCCAGGCCTGTCACCCAACGATTACCGTTATAACATTATCAACGTGTTATTCGTCTATTGTTTGTACAAACGATCCGAATCTTACCGATATCCGAACGCCTGCTGGGCCGTCGATGGGGATGTCTATGACACGTGGGTGCTCCAGATTCAGACAGTACGGTATTGCTCTGCGGTAGACCGTGTCCTGTGAACAGCATGTTGTTGGGTTTAAACAACGGTAGCGCAAAAGAATACCTAACGTATCTTTATTTCATTTAACATCATAGTCTACATAATATCAGGAAAATATTATTGAAGACGCAAAACTATTAAATATTTGGACCTAAAAAAAATTATTAGCGCAGAGACTTTCCACTAACAATAATAAGTTTTTGAAATGTCGTGAAATGAGTGACTAAAAGTATTTAAAAAACGATTGCTATGGAAAAATCTAAAATATGTTAGCAAAGTTGCTCTAATCATTGTGCATAAAGGATTCGTTTAGTTATCTTGTCTAAAGATAGTTTACTTACGGTCTTCGCAAAGTCTTTCTTGGCTGGCAGCCACACGACCGTTGTAGGTAGATTCGGCCAACGTACGCCATAACAACTCTTCGCTACTCGACCTAGCACCCGAAGAAGACTTCTGACTGTGCGCGGCAGTCATAAGTTTCTCCAACAAGTCTCCGGTGTACCCATCTAACGATTTTATCTTTCTTTCTACTTCGGATATGTTCACACATCCCGGTTGTAATCCGCAGCTACTTCCACGGCCGTCCATATGATGATTATCTTAAAAACAAACGAGTTCGTAAGATCATACACGTTGTGCAAAACGCACTGTTATCTTGTAATGTATTCAATGAATATAAGTTTATAGCTGTAACCGTGTAGCCCATTATGATCTGTGTGTTTTACACATTCATGAAAAGAGCATATTATGTACACCAAAATATGAATAAATTGAAAAAGTCAAGGTATTGAAAAGCTTTAAACGATAATAAACGCACCTGGAATATTCATATCATCGTCGTCGGTACACAAACCTAGCCTGGACAAATTGTGAGGCTTGTGGTCCCTGTAGAATATAATTATATATATGAAGTGTATGATAAATAGAACAAAATAAAAAATATTAAACTCGTATTGTATTATAGCCTGTAACTTACATTGAAATACCAGAAGTGCTCGGTGATAAGTGATTATTTGAATGGAAGAGCATTTTATGGGAGCCGGTTTCCGAACGGCTGAAAACAAATAAGTAATTAATAAATCATGGCGTCTCTTATAAGGTTAAATCAAGTTATATATTCCACGCATAATCGAAAGGATATTGATTTTAAGATTATTTTTTATTAAGCATTAAAATGACCAGAAAACATTAGCGACAAATCATTGTGATTTGTACGCGATAAGTTGAAGTAGAGTGTTTTTGAGAATTTTGTGGGTTGTTACTTGTTATTTATTATTATCGTAGCGCTTGTGATTACATTAGCTAATAAACCATAGTGCAATATAATACATTGAGGGGCATTTCGAATACTGTATGGTAATTTGCATGCATTTGTACTATGATGCTTTTGTATTATGATTTATGATGCAGTTATTTGATTTTAGTTATGACTAATTAGAACAGTTATATTCGTATTCATTTAACGAGAAGAATTTTGTTTAGTGTCAAACTTTCAATTAGTGCGCGACACGAACACATATTATATTATTATTATAGTAACAAATTAGCTTACCTGTAAGGGGACTGGTTTCCGTATTTTGGCATTCTATTCATGTTAACCATTGCCATTTCTTCGACCGAATCTTCGGAAGGTGCGTCGAATCTCGACGGCTTCGATAAAGGTGTTGTGCTGGTCGACGGCTTCTGTTTGTCTGTTCCTTGCTTTTCACTACCCCTTCTATTATTTTTTTCCAAACACAAAAATCTAGTTAATAATACTATTGAATATTTATAGGATTTATTATATTTTATATTGTAGTATAAAAAAAAAGACAACAAACAAAAGCAGATAAATACAAAAAGTAAATTACAAGAAACAACTAAGCAACAATTCATGCATTCGGTTTCATTAAAACATTAGCCGCGGACTGTTCAAATATTTACAATTAATTCAAAGATAGTTAAACGGATAATATTTGGAAAATTTAATTGGTTTTTATTTTTTTTTTTTAATCTTTTTCTAAAATTATATTATGTTAAGTGTGTATAAACGGAGTTTTTCAACTAATCACTAACTGCAACAAACTACGTTGTTATAATTCACTAATGTACCGTCATATTATTTGATTAAAATTGAAAAAAAAAAATAGATTGATTAAAATTATGTACATTTAATTAGTTTTTGTAAACATCACTACAGAATAATAAAAAACATATTTTTGCATTTAATATTCTCATTTGGCTAAACTAAAAATCAATAATTATTTTAAGGATGCAGAAATAATACAAAATCAATCTTAGTGTAAACGTTGATGTTTTTAATTTTGATTAAACTCTTTTTTTTCTACTTAATTATTTATTAATATGTAATTGTTTAATTTTTAAATCAACCGCTACAACGACAAACAATCGAGATATTTCTAGATACAGGTGGCACAGATAATAGAATGAAATCAATTATTAAGCGTTTTTACAAAGCAAAAATATAAGGTAATATGTAATTATATATATATATATATTTAAGTGTCATACTTTGAGCCGGTCAAAAAGAAAAAAAAACTACAAAATAGATAACATGCGCTTTATAGGTGCGTCGAAGTCCGGGTAATTTTATTTATTAAAATTATGTATATGTGATAGTATATGAACTTATATTTAAAAAAATCTAAACCCGATTTTACATAGGTAGTGTATACGGTTAATATTATGTAGTAAAGTTATTGTCAAGATGTATTTTTTGTATGTTTTTTTTTATTTTCAATAATAATAATTATGTTGTAAGGCTAAACGATTGTTTATGAGAGTTCTATACAAATTGTGACCGATATTATTATTATTATTATTATTATTATTATATTGTATAATCAGATCTTTTGACTAACCTGAAGCAAAAACACGGGTTCTTTTTGTATACAACCACGTGACGATAGCACAAAGCAGAACATGTGAAAATCAGAAACACCACTCCGACCGCGGTCATGAGTATCATGACCAATACACCCGTGTTGGTGCTGTGAGCGTTTACTAATGAACAGCAATTACAGGTTCCACACAGGCGAGGTGAAGATGAATCATCCACCATGCACAAAATCAAACACAAAACAAATAAAACTTAAGCGTTGTATGTTTGGTTTTTGTAAAAATTATAATTATTATTGTAAGTAGCCGTCTTGTAGTAGATGGAATTGTTATTGTTTAGTTTATATTTGAAGGTTTAATTACTTAGTTAATTACTAATTACTAGTTAATCGGGGACGGGTATTATCATTAGTATTGTTAATTTGTTTTAAATTATTATTACGAATTTAGTTAAATCGAGCTTGTTTTTTATTTTTATTTTTTTTTTTTTTGGTTAAACGTAAAACGTACTTTTGTTAAAAAAAAACAGTATTACGATGCGTGCTCGAAACAAAACAAACAGAACACCAAATTTGCACACCTCAAATTAAAATATGTTAATAAGTAAACTCGTGAAAATAAAACATAATAACAATAGTTTAAAAAAAAAATACATCAAAACCCAAAAACAAAATTGCATTGCTTTCGTTTTATGTTTATTTGGCTACCTGTAGCAAATGGCTAGGCAAGCAAAACTTATGAAGACGAACTTTACTGCGAACGATAATATCACGACCATTCCTAATGTGCTGATATGTTCCGATTGTGCATCTGGAAATTATTCGTTTGGTTGTTTTTCTCGTTTAGTAAAAATCATGTTAGAAAAATAAACGGCACATAATAAAAACAAGAAGCAATGGATTAGTGTATGTGCGCTAACACGAGACGCACTGCAGCAAACATCTGCCAGATGTGTCACTTCGCAAGGAATCTTTTCAATGAAAAGTCAGTATTTACCGTTCGTCCTCGTGGATCTTATCTAAAATAATTATTAAACGTGTAATCCGTTCGTTAATTACGGCTTATGCTATTTTCCATCGACGCGACGTCCGTTCGGGCTTGCCCCCGGTAATTTATTCGCGTGGAAGATTTATGTTGGTTTAGTTTTTTTTATTATATTTCTTTTAAACAACATTAACGGATGGAAACTGCCGTCGTTTCCGGATATTGTATTTTAAGCAAGAGCACCGGGGCATGTTTATTGCGGCGCTGTACGCCGGAAGCGACGTCCGCGACCGGGCAAAGTTTGTTTTAAAGTCCACGGGTAGATGTCACCGGTTAAGTGCGAAGAGAGTATATGACGACACAATGGGAGAGATCTGGAGATAAACGGCGGCAAGACAATCGCTTAAACGGCAAGGAACGCGCGCTCGGTTCAATGGAGTCACAACACTATGGTGGGTATCTCCTAGGTTGACTTAATAAAGAGGTTTTATAGTACGTCGAGAGGTAAACGAAGAAAATTCGGTTATCGGAGGGGCCGGGGTGGTTGTGAGCGCTGGCGGAATGGTAATCTCCATAATGGATTAAACCGGAGTGTACGCGAGCCCAGCGGGTCTGGCCTCGATTAAATAAACAGAGAAAATGGAAAGTAGAAACTTAGCTCTAGCTTACACATTCGGGCCTGTAAATATTATTTATACAAACTCATTTGGCGTATACAACAAACGAATAAAATATATTACATTAAACAATAATCAGTTATTATGTCTTTTATACCTTTCTAGCCGCGGATCTAAAAATACATTATTTTTTTTTTTTGCGCGTTAACCTTAAAGCGATTGTTTTACTAGTTTCTAGACATTTCCTTGGACGCTGTCTTCTAGGTTTAATACATTTTTCTATTACGGTGTCGACGAGTAGTAGCTCGGGATAAGCCCCGGTATAGGACTATATATATAGCTGATAAAGTCTGCGACGTTAGGATGTTTTCGCGCGTAAAAGGGTTTTTCTTTTTCAATCAGATTTCCCCGCTCTCGGATGGAAAGGTACAGACCCCCTACGCGGACACTGTATTCAAAGTGCACCGGTCTCGGCGAGAGACACAGCCGGTATATTGATTTTTCTTGTTCACATACTATTAACAACCGACCGTGTTTGTGTCCGTTGATTTGACGTAGGTAAATTTGGTCTGCTGCTGATACTCGTTCCGTCATTTCCACACAACGATACTCGATCAAAGTCTCAATACCGGTGTCCGGCGGCAATGCGAGAACGTTAAGTTCCAGAGGGCCGATAGAGGTGGTAATGGAGGGGGGGGGGAGACGGGGAGGGTTCGGGTTTAGCGGCAGAGTACCGTTATTCATGGACAAATTAATTGGTGCTGTATGTAAATCGATTTGTTCTATTGCACGGATTCGAGGACATGGCCTGGCATCGGCGGAGCTGGGCGCGAAGCCAATAGAGATTTTTTCCTTGCCCGTAAAAACCGTTGGCAAAGTAAACTATAGACCCTAGCGTGGAAAATAACGAGGTTTCCCGCGCCATATACATTTTCTTCACGGTGTTTGTCAGCAGTAAATCGAATAAAAATAAATAATTTCAATGAAAACGGTTTTGCGGCTTTTAAGTGGCACAAGGACTCAGTACGTTTTACAATAGAATTTTCGCGAGTCATTTAACCCTTTCGTTCCTGGGACTTTTTTTTTCTCGAAAAAAAATCAACAATTTTTTTACGTATCGGACTGATATTGATTATCAATATAGCTGTGTCGATTTTTTTATCATCAATCTATACTAGAACTTGTGTTTAAAGACATTTTTGATAATGATCGTGCGTTGTTAATATTTTATTCGATTTTAAAGTTAAATCCTCGTACGAGGATGTCAGTAACGAAAGGGTCAAAGGATATTGTACAGTATAGTAAACGACCGCAGTAATTATGAGCTTACCAATAAGTAACGCAACTTCATATACTACGCTCCTATCTCCATAATTACCGTATTGTACCTTTATTTATTTTTAGACTGTTAAGCTTTAGTTTTAGGTCATAAACGGTTCTTGTTAGTCATTGCGTAATTAAAATTTGAGGGCAAAAGTGGCAGTTGACAAAAAAACAAATATCACAGGAATACTTGAGAAAGTGGGAATAGAGTTGATTTTTTAAAAATATGCATTCGCATTCTACTCAAACAGGAATGCACTGATGTGTGATATTTACTAAAAATACGTACTGCAATCATGAACGCACTCGTTTAAAAAACAAATGGCGTTCGAGGAATTTCCGCGGAATTCGACTGCATTATTTTCTAACACTAAAATATAGGTCTTTATTTTTCGGTTGGCGTCGTTTAGATGCGCTTCTTTACGATTTGTATTTAATTTCAATTTAAATGATGAACAACATATTACTAATATGTTTATCGAGTTGAACGGGTGGGCAATAATATATGAAAATTTATTGCCAACATTTACCTATGGATTAAATTAATAATCGACAAACAGCAGAGTCGCTCTCGGAAGTCGTACGCCAGCCAGGGCCTAAAAGCGAAACAGTATTTTGGAGCCATTAGTACTATTAGTAATTTATGTGTTTGTCGTGATGGTCATAATACAAAAGGTATATTTGATAACGGCGGGGGAATTTCGATGGGAAATGTCCGGAAAATTGTAGACCCAAAAGCAATAAAACTAGGGAAACGCATGTATATTATTATTACTGTACTCGAATATATCTACACTATAGTATGTATAAACCCTGGCACTGTACAGTGGACACGCACGTCCCCTGCTGAGGAAACAAAGCACTGAAAATACTTCATTATGTATACATATATAATATAAATAAATATATGTATATTTCTTGTTTCACCAAGTGATGGCGGATGCAAACAGTGTTCAACTTGTAAACCGCTATTGTTATGGGTTTCAAGTGATGTTTGCGGATCATCGAAAAAAAAAACACAACGTACGTAACTCGTGTTTTAATAGTATGTGCAAAGATCACGAATTTCCGTAATGCTAACGGGAAAAAAAATGAAATAAAATACAGATCCCATACCTGTATAATACAAAAAGATATAGTATCTAAAAGCATTCCAATTCAAACTTTTGCCATCCCTCGGGTAATACCCTTTCAGATAAAATGTTCGAAACTCCCCCATATTTATATTTAATATGACCTGTATAATATTATGTATACGTATACCGACATGTGCGGTATCCTATATAACCTGCATTATATTTATATCCATGTTTATTGGTACACAAGAATACAGTTCAATGGCCCGCGTTCGGCCTTCCGCCGAATCCGTAGGAAAAAGCACATCGGCGGCAGCTTTATCATATCAATTTATTTGACTTCCTGCAGTTGCAGGAAATAATATCTCCGTCGTCTTTACAAGTCGAATTCCGATTCTTCAATTAAGTTTTTTGTAAAAAGTTAATTGAATACTAAGCTGATCCCTTAATAAATTGTCGTCATATGGCTATATATATATATATTCGTGTATACGCTGCCATTAAGTTTATGAAATAACTTTATAATATCTTTAAATTGTCAAATAAATCTCATTATGTCATTTGTTGGCGGCATGTACTATTAGATTTTTCGAGTACGGATAGACTGTATATTATTTTAGATTTTAGAGGTTATAATACAAGTCGGAAAATCATCCATCTTGTAAAAACACTTAATTACGCCGTCTTACCGTATGGGGTTTCTTTCATTATCATTTTCTTTTCCAGGTCACTTTTGGCCTTTTTCGCATCCTCTGGCGACAGCGTCACTTCACCGGTCGGGTGGGACGAAGTGGGCGAAATTTCTAACTGGATAGAACAGTCCATTCCCGTCCAGCCGTTATCACAGAAACACTGGTTTAAGTTTGAGCAAATCTTTTGTAAAAAAAAAAAAGAAAAACGCATTAGAGATACAAGAAAAATACTCAAGTTCGCCGACTTACCCCGTGCGAGGAACATTCTAAACTGTTATGATTACTAGGGCATTTGCCATGTTCCACGAACGGATTCATATTAGTACACGTTTGATTGATGCAAATCTGTAAAAAAATAATTGATTTAGTGAATTTCTATATCTTTTGAGATTAGACGTGAAGAATGTATTTTTTAGCTGATATATTTCATACCATGTTTTCACCACACGGGGTCCCGTCTTGAACTAAACTAAATTTCTTGGACCCACTCGTTGATCTGAAACAAAATTTGATTAATTTAGTTTTGAGGTTTTTTCTAAACACTGCTGGTACATTGAATGCAACTTCTTAATAGGTTAGACTAAGAGGTACCGGATTCCTAAAGACTGTGAAATAAAAGTTCTTCCTCTCAAACATAATCTCTTGTTTATTTTATTTTGGGGGGGGGGGATGCAGGGTCTTAGAAATAAAATATAACTGGAAACTATAAATAAAAACGCTTATTTTAGACAAGAAAAATGAATGAAAATTCTCTAAAAGATTACTTAGTTACAGAATGAGCATACATAATGTTATAATTACTTACATATTTAAAGACCAATTTATAATTTTTAGGTAAATAGGTTTCTTATTTAGAAGACCATGCGAGTGAAGTTAGAAAAAATTAAAACTGTTATTTTCTCAAAATGTGAATTTTTCCTTTAAAAAAATGTTTCTGGTATTGTCCATATTTTAAAAGTACATTGACTGTTATTTTTGTTTACGGGTTCGAGTGTACATTTTTATAATTTAAATATTAAAAAGTTACTTAAAAAAGTTTTTCTTATCACAACGGCATACTAACTTGTTGGATTATTATAAGGCACTGTATTTTTACCTTTTAAATGAATTATTTAACGTGTTAAGCCAAATCTGCGCGCATTTAAGAAACTCATCGTATAACATTACCGAAAGTTGTGCGGTTTTATAAATAAATAATTAAACTCGAACAACAGTCGGTCGTACGCAGGTTAGATTTTTATCAAATAGATTGTACAACCATGAAGAGGGAAAGACCGGGCTACATCGGTGATAATTATAAACATGTTCGTGAACCATATGTTACTCCTTGAAGAGGACATTTTTTTTTTATGAAGTGGTTGGGCGAAAGTTGACGGTATTTGAAACACAATGATTGGTTTTTTTCATAATCCTGTACAACCTTGATTTTGGGACATGAACAAAATGCGTACAATTTGTTTTTCATATAAACCGTAACAATTCAAACAAAATGTGTAATTGAACCGTGTTTACGTACGGTATCGCCACCGGGTAGTAACACATACCTATGTAATATATATAATACATAAGTGATACATACAAAGATAATGTTGTGGTAAAGTTTTAAATTCCCATTGCATAAATTATGAACTTTCTAAAACTCTTTAACGAATTTCGTGCCAACATCCTACCGAACACGTGCTGTAATTATTTTAACCGGTATACTCGGGGAATAGCTCTGGAAGGGATGGGGAAGCTCGAGATCATCGAGTGGGGGTGAGGCCAGGGAGGGGAAATTCCGACGTCAAAAGTCCACACAGGTCCCTTAACGAACGCTAAAGTGCAATTAAAACTTGGCCGGTCTCGTGTTAAGCCAAAAAATGTATATTTGCTTATTGAATCACCGCATTGCGACCGTGATGATCGCACACAGTGGTTTCATTAAATGCACGGCCGTGTAAGTATCCAATTGTCTCACCACCCTGCCCTACGTATCTCTAAGGGTTACCCGGCCGAGTTGTACATCTGAAGTTTGAGTATGGAGTGTATTTCTGATTAGTGATCTATAATACGTCCATTTACGATCAAATATTAGATAAACTATAAAAATCAAATTTATCGTTTACTGTATTAAGTTGCACATTTACTAAACTAACAGTATATTAGTTCAGTTTATTAGTATTGATGAAGAGAAAATTGGGAGGGAGGTAATGTGGAGGGATGGGCATAGGATGGTTTATAAGGGTCACTGATAAGAGATGAGTTGCAAATGTGTTTATGAAGCCGGGCAATGTCAGGTACACGGGCAGCTAGTTAGATTATTTAGTCAAAAACTACCAGTTTCTACTTTTCATTATTCGATCCAAAAACAAGTTGACGAATAATACGTACACGAGTTAATCGTTAAATATTTCAGATCAAATTCAAAAACACACACCACTGGCGTGGATTCAACGAGACGGTTGCACTTTGCAGGTAGAATTTACCATTAGGCGAATGCTATGCCGTATACGTTTAACGTGCATATTGTACTTACTTGCACTCGTAATCCATCGTGTGTATGGAAATCACCGTTTTGGTGTGTCTTTGGGTGAGACCGCTCTCGGGATACTTGTTACCCTTTTGGCACTGAAGTGATCCGCAGTACACGTTCCTGCGCAAAAATAAAACACAACGGGGTTAAGCGAGTGGGACAAATCGCATGTAACAACATTAGTCTTTTTATTAGTTCACCTAGCCGTTATCCCTACCGAGTCTCGACTGTCCAGGTTTCTTTACTCTACTGATTTCAATAACTCCCCCCCTCCCACTTCTCCCAAAAGGTCCTCTACAACCGTTTGCACCAGTCGTTATCAATATTGTTTGTGTCCTTCCTCTGTCACTCATTCCGCACACATTCATTGCTCGTTTTGTTCCATCTATCTAGCCATAACACCCGTCCACTTTATTATTCTCATGGTGTACAGCTCATATAATACCATAATAATAGTATATTAGTGTATTGGGTATTTCCTAGCGGTCTATACTGACTTAATGTCGCATTTCAGGTACGACGTGGCGCCCGTTTCATCGACCACCATACCGCAATGACCGCTCATCGATCCTTTGGTGTTGAACTCGTCATAACACTGTTTGTCCGACGACACTCCGCCTGTAAAACAATACCAAAATTCGATTAATTGGTTTTAGAAACATATATATATATATATATATATATATAATATGTCCTATGTTTTTAGACGGTGTTTTAATATAATGTTTGGATTTGTTTAAAATTTTATTCGTTTTCCTTCGTCAAAGCTGCGGCTTCGCAAAGCCTGTGCTTGTCATCATTATAATAATATTATTCCTTTAAAACTTTCCGCTTTTAAGAATTTACTAAAAACTTTTTCAATTTTCTGACTTAAAATTCAAGTGTCACGGATGAGATATCATTACTTTGTATTTTCGTATATATATATATAAGTACAGTATGGAGTGACATGTGCGGATGAGTTTCATTTTGAGTGTATTCTGAATATTTACATTACTATATTTTGGCGAGAACACATTTTGTAAAAACACAATTTATTTTTTAACTCAATTGACTATTCGTTATATTTTTCTATTTAACCGTATTAATTAACTAACTTTTTATTTGCTATATACTTTAGACGAGAGTTCTAAAAGTAAAACGATAAAATAACACTAATTACAATTAAAAAAATTATTTTTTTCTAAAATAAGATAATAAATTTAAGATTAGATATAAATGGTTTTAGTTCGCTGAAAACAAAATATTTACAAAACATTTGTAAATAAAAAAAAACACAAAAAAATCTTAGACGGAGAAAATATTACTTGGTTGAAAAATTAGTAATAAAAACGTGTTAATTTTTTTTTACTTTTTTAATTTAAGTATCAGTAAGTAATATTGTTAATGCGTATTAAGTATTTTTTTAATACTTTTGTGAATAATTAGTTTTGACTTGGTTCAAAAACTTATAGTATCGAAGTGTATGAAAATTTAATCCGCTATGCAAATTAGCTTGAAATTAAGTTTGAAAATGTTGAGGTCTTAATATTTGGGTGTAGTTTAATTAACTTTTAATACGATAAACATGGTTTACTTTTTCAAGTTTTTGTTTACACACTTGATTTCTTCAAATACCTTTAAGTAAAGCCAGAGGTAACAATATGATTAAATTAACAGTTTTATTATGATGCCGTTGTGCTATAAAATATATAAAAGTGTAATTAATTCGAGATGAAGACTAACTTAAGCGTTTTAATATGTTGAAAAAAGTTTATAATAGTTGAAATTTTTACGTGCGTTCTTAATAATTAAATTCGATTTTATTATCAATAAAACTCAACGGGTATTGTAATATTTTTTAGCTTTTTTATAATAGAGGTGTAATTTAAATCAATAACTATGTTGGGCCACTATTTGAGGTAATCGTATCTTATAGTACCTTCAAGTTTTTTCCTAGGTGCTAACTTGATTAAGATAAATTGCACATTGTAGAAACACAATGGTGGTTTTGGTGTTGCCACAGTTTGCTAGGAATAAATGACAAATGACATTAAGCAAACATACCAGCTGTCGGGGGGGGGGGGGAGGGGGAGGCGGGAAGAAAATTCCAAACCGAAACTTGAGCGACTAGTTGTCTCATCTCGACGGGTAAAGGGGGGCCACAGGATTTGTGCTCTATCACGCATATAAACTGCACTCAATTCGCGTTATGTTAACACTAATATTAATTTACTTTTCACACGTAGGTATACGGGAGCACGTGTAATAAATAAATCGCTCCCCTACGGCCACGGTGCGGTATGATTTATATGTGCGAGGCGTAAAATAGATTATATTTATTTACAAAGCGTTTCCGTGCTGGCAATAGTCTTTCGGCTGACCTCGTTCATTGTAAGTCGAGTAAACGGCAATGGCATAAGGCAATAATTAAAAGTTACTCGAAAGTCAGATAACGGTCCGGAGGAAATTGAATCGGGCCCACACACGAAGGGGAGTTCATTAAGCCTCGGAATATATGAGTTTAACATTTAACGTTAAGGCGCCCGGTGCCTTCGTCTTAGTTACTCTGAAACACGGTCCACGGAAATAGGCGTCAGGGTTCGTAGAATTGTCGAATTTTTATAATTTTTTTTTAGCTGAAATTGTATTATATTTACAAAGATATTGTGTTTTTTTAAAAATATTAAAACGATACCTCCTAAGCCACAGTATCAATTTATTCATGTAGCAAGTCTATAGACCAGATAACGTTCCTTAAAGGTACTCTGAGGGGCCAAACATTTAAAAATTTCCCACCTTTCCCTGTAAAATCGAGAAAGCCACCCAAAAACGCACATATTTTCAACTTGAAATTATGGGGCCCTATAATTTTTTTTTTAATAGTCTTATTACCTCTAACCTTACTTGTATAGGACCAGCTAATAGCAAAAATACAAGTTTTTAGCCGAACAACAAAATTACAAATTCGACCTACTATTGAACGGACTGGAATCGTCGCGTAAAAGTCCAAGCCCTAGACTTTTTTTTTAACCAATTCAAAACATCTAAACACATTCGCGTTATTCCGACGCTGTTTACACGCAAAGTTGAAAAGTCTGTGCTGAATCTAAATACGGTTGATTCGTGCCGACGTAAAAGTTTCGGCCGACCGAACTTCTGGTTGGTATATTATCGTGCGGCCCGCCAAACACGGTTATACTAATGACGTCGTTGTTTACATAGGGTGAGAGAGAGAGAGAGCAGAGGGTGGGTATGACATGTGTGGACGACGAATACTTGATTAAATAATTCAGCGACCAGGCTTATGTATGTGAATTGCGTGTAATACAATACATACGACCGCAGTTGCAATTGTTGTATGGTACTCACCGTATCCCCAGATTTGTTCGCACTGACTGTTGAGCGTGGGGCATTCGCCCATGTAACAGAATCCGCCGTCCATACCGCAAGGGCTGCCGTTCTTTTTGTACACGTCGGCCGGACACTCCCCGTTGTCGCCGGCGCAGAACTCGGGCAGATCGCACTCGCTGCTGGACGATCTGCACAGGGTGCCGCTGGACAAGAGCTGAAATACAAATGCGCGCAAAATAGCTTGTATTAATACACGTGGACGGATTTGCGGGAAAACGATAACCTACCCTGACGGTTCAGTAATAGAGTATCTCTAATGAAAAAACTCGTTATGGTTGACAAAAAAAAAACAACATATTATGATATTGTTTGAAAGTACACTAAGACACTTGGATCGCTTGGATGGCAATGGGCTACAGTTTGTTTGGTTTTGGACCGCTATGCCTAGAAATGCTTCATTTGTCGAAATATCAAAACGAAATTACTATTATAGTATTGCGACCGCAGAGTCCGTCGGTATTTGAAGCGTTCAAAACATTTTCCAACGAGGATTTCCCTAAGGAATCCGAATAACTTGTCATATTTTGTTATTCTGCAAAACTTTGAATACATAATATATTCTAAACTCCTAATTGAACGATGTGCTTCGCCGAAGGATCATCCTGTTTACCTGACGGATTGCTGCGGGCAATTGGAATTTTGAAGTCTCGAGAGAGATGTAGACGCCTTGTTTTGCGGAACATACAAAATAATGTCAAGTTTGTTGAATTCGAAATAGTAATAACAAATACCATTAAGTAAATTTCGGCGACGGAATGTAATAGAATTTGCACAAGACGGAATTCTATAGTCAGAAATACATTGTTCGAAAATATGTACGGCACACAGGTAATAAACGAATAACGATACAATAGAATTCGTTGGCCTGTTGATCTTTATCCGGAAGAATGTTAAAACAGCAAAACTCTTTTATTTCATCATAACGCCCAATGGGAAATTGCTCTATGTTCTACTTGGCCAGTTCGCCTTCCGACAAACTACTCTACTTTATTTCTATCTCCAGTGCTGAATGTAAAAACTAGCATGTTGTTTCCATTTTTCATCGAACACCCCTCCGTTGGCCCGACTTGATACCAACGGTAGGATGAGTTTATGCTAGGAAATTCGGTTACCTTGCAGTCTTTGCAACACGTGCCGGTCGCCGAACACTCGGCTTCTTTGATTAACTTGCACGTGATCGGATCGCAACAGGGGTCGTTCTTCTGGCAGTTGTCGAACCCTCCGCAATCGCATTCCTCGTTCTCCTCTACTATGTTGTTGCCACATTTCTGTTGCAGATTGGCGACCTGTTCGCGGTCATACGGAAATGTAAAATATAATTCAATACGTTATTATTGTTAATATTGTTGTGATGAAACCGCGTTTAGAAGTCGGTTTATCGTCGCGTGTATGGTCGGGATAATGAAAAAATAGCTGCAACGAAATCCGTTTTGAATCCCTTACCTCGTTGGGTTTATTGAGCAAGCACATGTTTCTCGTGTCCCGGAATTCGTTTATATAGTCGTTAAGGCTGCATTCGCTGAATTTGTACGGTTGTATGTTCTCCATGCCCACGATGGACTGTTGCATAATACACCCGTGCCAATCCCGACAGACACATTCCTCTCCTGAATAACAAACATTGTACAACACTTTTAGTTACACCATAGCAAGACATTGTTTACACAATAAAAACATTCATAGTGCATTAAGAATGAAAGTACATAAGTTGTAAGTAATAACTAATAAGTTATAATTTGTTACAAGCAATTCAAAAACTTCTTTTGATATGATATACGGAAAGGTATTATTTGAAAAGCGATAATTTTCGCAGTTAATTTTATAGTTTTACGACGAAAGGATTTTATATCGTATAGAGATCATATTATTATTTGAAATAAAATAGGTTCTAACATCTTGATGGAGTAATAATATACGAGCCATGAAGCTCTTAGCGTTTTATTGGCCTCAGATATAAAACGTTATTCAAAGTATATATTTCTTTTTTTATTACGCCTATAAAAAAAAAGAAATAATAATAAACCCATTATATATAGATACTTTTAATAAAGAATTCAAAGTTTTAAAATATCGTAAATATTTTGTAGTATCGAATATATTAATAAATAAATATTATAGGTTTAATTAATTTACTACAGCTTTTATTCATTCTAAATTTAATTTAAAATAGTACAATTAATTTTCACCCTTAACCATTGACTTCAACCTATATACATATTATCGTTGCAATATTCTATCACTGTAAAATACGGACGGTGTCAACTTTCAAAACGGTTATGTTTAGTCTATTGAAAACAAATTTAAAAATCATTAACATTCTTTGTACCCTATATTTTATGGTCAATTAAAATTGTGTGAAAAAAAGGCCGGATTCTCAGTTTATAACTTTAGATTTGAGATTAATAACGGTATCATGTTTATATAGTCGATAATAAAAGTCTGTAAACTATGACATTTTTCACAAATAGTATTTTATAGAATGTGATTTAATAGTAATGTCAAAGATTCAATGGAAGTCGTTTACAAATGTATACATTCCAACGAGGGTTTGTTGTTATGGTTAAATATGTTTTTGTTCGATATCTATATTCTATATACTTTTCAAATGGATAATGCAGTCTGCTTTTTATAATGCGGTTCAGAAACGAACATCGAGGCCAAGAGATAGTAGCTCAATTGACATGCATGAGATTATTCATTCTATAAAATAAAAATATGCAGTTCGAGATTTGATGCGGAAAAGAGATTACGTTTGCATCGTTTATTTTGAAACTACATCATCTCCGAGTTACCGCATGCCATTTATATATAATACAACTTGTGAATTGTAATTTTTTTCCAAAGATAAGTTTTGTTTTGTTATACAGCGTTATAGTAATATCTATGAATATCTATTAAACACATTAATAACTATTAAGTAATATACATAAAACACTGTCAAGTCTAAAATTATTCAATAATACCCTCTTTAAAATATATAATCTATTATCTATAAGCATACATTAATTTTACATCAATAACAATTACAAATACATAATAATAATAATATGTTTAATCTATGTCTATACAATTTTATAGGGGATGTGATGATTTTTATTTTTCGTCTACATTATAACAATTGAGTAATAATTTATAACTTTGTTGATTAGCTATTGATGTAAGACAAATAACGAAAAAGAAATACACACGTCCGTTATTAATTACAATAGGATTGATCCACTATACGAAATTACTGAAAACACAACATTTGTTTTTTGAATACAATTTTACTTAATTTAAAATCTTTCCTGTTTTGTAAGTTAAACATTCTTGATAGCGTTAAATGTCTACTATGTGTTACTATTGTAATTCACGGGTACACCGTGAAATGGCGGTTTATTCTTAAAATTATAATTAAAGTGACGGAGAAACCGAAAGGCTTAAAACGGAAATTTTAAGATATCAAGAGATATATACGTGGAATACCGAGGACTTCATTACGTTCAGCTATCCGATGTTAGCAGTTTTTAATTACTGTACAATGTTTGTGCCTCGTGGTCGTGATTTAATTTCAAAGCTTTAGTTCTCCTCTTTTTCTTTATTTTTCTCGTAATTAATTAAAAGCCTTGAGCTCCGCCCGTCGACGGTCGGGTCGTTTTCTAACCTAACCACCGCCGTTAAGTGTCTTGTGCTCGTTAAGCGTAATCATCGCACTTATTAGTATTATTACATGGCTAGCTCTAAATCCCCGGGTAAGGTCATTCGCCGAACACCCTAAAAACTCTCTCGGGGCCTTTTATATATATATATATGCCGCTGAGTTGCCTGTTCTGTTTTGGTAATTTAGATATAAACAAACGACCTTACGCCGAATGGCCGGCGAGGTGTTGGAACGGCAGTTTTGCTCTTGAGTTTGAATTTTAAGGGTGGGAGCGATACTGTCCCGCTTGTTTGTGTTGATTTGAAAGAGTACACGTCGAAATCATTGATAATATAATGTTATAACTGCTTTTGGACCGAACGTCCTAGCACCCCTACAATGCAGATCCAGTTCGACCTAATCCGTATATACTCACTTTTGTCGTCGTGGCCCATTCCCACGTTGTGTCCGATCATGTGAGCCATCGAACCGGCTATGATGTGCGGCTCGTACGCGTTCACGTCCACGCTGATACCCACGGATCTCGCGGTGCAAACCGTACCGTGTATGGCCATGCCGGTTTCGCCGCCAACAAAGTATTCGCCCCTGAGAAAACAAAAACGGACAGGTACGGTCAAAAGAGATTTTGGCCAGTCGCGGTCACGGGGGAGCGACAGAAGGGGAGGGTTGCCGGCGTGGTAGAGGCAAGCGATATCGCATGTTTTGCATGTTATGTGCAGATGATGACGCATGAAAGAGCGGACTAAGAGGCGGGGTAGAAAAAATGTTTAAGTGCATGGGACGCACGTTTGCAGCCGTAACAGGGCGGCCCGTTTCATTTAGTGATGGATGAGTGTCGCAGCAGAGAACTCGAGTGGTAGTTTGGACGGACGGGAGATATGCAGCACAGGAGCGACACCGGTGGAACCCGTGTGTTTGATTGATGGGGAGCGACGGGAAATCGAAAGAGTAGTTTCTTAGAAAGCGCACGCCAACAGATAAAACCTGAGCGAAGACGGCCGCCCCGACGGGAATTCCTGCGCAGAGATTGCGCTTGTCAGTTTATGACAGCGAGATATTTTCTAACATGTACATATTATTATTCTTAAATAAATACTAAGCCCCAAGTTCTACCGGATCTACGCGAGTTACGCGGTAATCAACGAAACGCGATACGGACACCGCGAAAACCATAGGGGAAATTCCGTTTACAATCGATTGGGTTTCCTTTTCGTTTTGAAAGCTACGGTTTATAGGGTTTTACTTACGAGAGCAATTGAGCCGTGTCTTTGCCAATGTTAAACAGCCCTCGCGTTGAATATTCGTTGAAATTGAGCAGTGCGGCGCTGATTTCTTGGTTTTTGTCAATGGGCGTCTGGTTGGCTCCTTGCCACGTTTCGATATACACCACCGACACTCGGGTGTTTATCGTTCGAAAATACTGGGGGAATTGATAAAAAAAAAAGAGCATAATGAACTAATTATATACATATTAGGTATTTAAAAAAAAAACAATATAATTGTACAGAATCCATTTTAGCCTATCAAAGACATAATTTAATATTTTGTGATAACGCTAACCGTGACAATATCAATGGATTTGATAAATTTATAAATATTAAATAAAATCTGAGTGGGGGATAAAAGTGGACATGGAAGTCACCCTTCAGAAGAGTTAAGGCCATAATATAGGTCGTATACTAATAGTGTTATGAAGTTAAGCGACGCTGTAAGTGTCAATAAATCAAATAGACCAAAAAGTGTTCAAGTGGTCTCGCATCCATCATTTTCTTACCTTTTATAGCGACTTAGTAAAAGTAAACAAGGTTTTCGGGACTAAAGGCAAAACCCTTATAGATACATCTTAACGGTTACACCATAATGCATTGTTTGGCGAATCAATAAGACGACTGCCAATTCATTTAACGAATCTTTAGTTACATAACTTCAAATAGTTGTGTTTATTGTTCACTATAGTTTCGATGCAGAGCTAAGAACTTATTGGGTGTTGGTATAAAGAAGTAAGAACCATATTATACTTTTTGTCTGAGCCCACAATATTTGTTTAGCAGCTAAATTGATTTTTCATATTTGCTATTAATATCGTATTAAGAGTATTTCCAAATTACCAAATCGGCTATGTTGGCTATTTGGATGGCATCGGTGATCACTTCTGATCTGGTACTGCCGTTTCTCATTTCGAACTGAAAACAATTATTTGGTTGATTGTTTTTACAGATGTGTAGGGCCGAATGTACTCACCATGGCTTTGTCCAAAACCAGAGCGGTTTCTATGTACTTGGTCACTTCCCGGACGTCTCGTTTCAGCCGCCTCTTTTTCCGGAACCTGCCGCCCATGAATCCGTTGACGTATTTGCTCTTCCGGTCGAGTTTCGACTCATTGGCACATCCGCGTTTCGCCTTGTCCCTGGCCTCGAATATCACATGAGGATGTTTCTGCTAACCATAAACGGGCATCGTTTTAAACACTTAAATGTATATTGTTATCATACTAGCTGCTACCCATTTTTACCCGCTGTAATTGGCCAATAACTTTTAGATAAAATTCATATTTTACGCTGGTAAAAAGTGTTACCGATACAAATTTAAATATAGAATACAACATATTAACGATAGTAAAACTTAAACAACACAAAGATACAATATGTGCCTACAAGTATGGGCGCTATGCTGAACGCCCACTCTTTCGTTGGAAATGTGTCAGTTTCACTATAAAAATAACATCTTGTTATTGAATGGCATGTTCCTTTTCCCAAAAAAAGACTGTGTTATATATATATATATATTTTCTCTCATGTGTGTTTTTTTGCTTAATAACGTCACGTGAGGAGAAATACACGTGTAAGCTTTTAAAGAGACAAAGGCAGAAGCATTCATATAATATCGGAATTTGAGTTACACGAGAGCGATTTTATTTCAGTTTTGTTTTCTCTTCGCCTTGCCTTCGGTACTAAAATTAGAAATGTCAAAACTTCTTCTGCAGCTTCTGTTGCAATTTATTCCGCGAAATGGATATAAAACGATCTCGCCGGGGGCCATTTCGATCTCACGGGGAAATCGTTTATAGTTAATGTGTTTTCTTAACCTCTCATCTTATTCCCGTCATAAGTGTATAAACGTCAGAGTATAAAAACCATTATCCACTTTTGTGTGCTTGGAAATGTCACAAGATATAACGAACAAAGTGTAAGTTGTGACTAGCCGAGTATATTTAATTTTGTTTCAAATTATTTTTCCTACGTTATTATTTTTAAACCCTTTATATAATTATAGGAAAGTGTTAGGCGCACTACGTCGTTATAACTTATTATCACGTTATACGACGAAAATAATTTAAAACATTTTTAAGCCGATATACTTTATATACAATTTTTTTGTATTTATTTAAGGCAACCGTTTAACTATCCCAATATGCCGACAACTATTATATCACTAGTAATCATATTATTTACTTTTAATGTAAAAACAATATAGTAATAGCTATAATGAATAAAAATATCCATTATTCAATAAAATAATGTCAAGTAATATTTATGCAGTCAAATTTCAGTGGAATAAAATGAAATGTCGCGTTATATTGCTGTCATATTATCAATAAAAGTAACATGTTTTAGTTTTCATTTTATTTTTCTCGCATAATACATTTAAATTGACCAATTAACCTTTTTTAATTATACATAACCTACACAAATTATAATAATTACTAAACGTTGGATTTTTTTTGTAAAAGTATACAGAAATAGGTGAATATTAAGATGGATTAAAAAAAATCTATAAACTGGACCTATAGTCGTCTATTCTTTGCGGTTGATTAAGTTCTCCATTCAATCGAAGGCATCTGAATATAGCAAATCAAAAGCTCATCATTGTAGTCATTGAATGGTTTATTTACATGTATATTTTACGTATTGCTTCTTTTCAACAAATATTTTTTTTTTTTTCAAGACTTTCGGTGTCGTTATGAATTTAAAAAAAAGTAAAAAGTTGCAGCGCTACAATCCGACGGGCTAGCACAGTTTATACTTTACACCACACACACTGTCCAAGTGGCCATTTATTTGTTAAACACACGCATATATATATGGCAGAAATGTCGACCGAATAATGTTTTCTTCCCACGGGGACTGTCAGTATGGATATGATTAATGGCCGTGGATATACTAGGCGTATAATGGTGGGCAAGATTTCCTCTGGGGCAGAAAAAAGACGATAGCGACGGCGGTGCTCTTCTTCAAAAGTGAAACGCTCCGGGATTCCGGTATTTATAGCCATCACCTGCACGTCCACTCCATTCTGTACACAGTGAAGTGTTATATCTATTTTATGAACCGTCGTCTCAGACCCGACCATATAATACAAGGTGAAAGAGTTCGCTCAGTTCACGTCATCGAGTAGGAGGTACGTTTTAGGTCAATAAAATGACAAAAGAATATTATATAGCGTTTTAAGATTCCATTTTACTTTTTCCACTGTCCATCGGCCGTGAGACAGATACGCGCGCATGCCCCTAAATTGCCTAATCGTTACTCCGTGTTACGATAAGTCTACCGATTAATGAATAAAAACTGGACATGATAAAGAAGATAAAAAAAAAAATTCTTCTCTCCCGAAAAAATCCAAATGCAAAAAAGGTAAAGTGATATTATTTTTTATAATGCTTTCAAAGGATTAAAGAAAAAAATTAAGCCAAAATTATTATTTGCAATTTGTTAGTCGGCAACATTATAAACATATAAATATTATTATTATACATTTTGTAAAAATTACATTAAAAAATGTTTAAACAAAATTTGGTAAAATTTAACGTTAAATAACAGGCTTTAAAGTATTTTCAAAATATAAGGTTTGGGAAGTGAGGTAGTTGTAAACGAACGAGGAAAAAGTAATCGACAGTTTTTTTTGTAATTCTGTTGTAGTTGTTTACAATTACTTCATTTGACATTACACATAAGTAAATCTTGCTTACTGTTTAATTGGTAAATAAAAAAATTGTCCGGCTTAAATAAAAAACAAGAGGAACTCAAGTAATGTATGTAACTCGAGCACCAAAGTAATTATGCGTTTTATTATTGGTATTTTAATTAGACGTCAAACACGGTAATAACGAGATCTTGATTGTACCATAAAAATTGTTTAATAACGGGCGTTAAAACCCATTTATATAAGGTAATTACATTTTATAGATTTTCCACGAATTCCCACGTTAATGTTTCGAATAAGCGGCAAAATCCGGGGAATTAATTGATGAAACGCAAATGATTTTTGGTACTATAATAATATTGTTAATAATATACTGTGTAACATGGCGATACTGACCGACAAGTCTCCACCGTAGAACGGATGTATAATGAACGTCTCATTGCCTATGTGTATCACTCCGGCGACACCGTTGCACGTGTGGAACGCAGCCGTGGCACCCGGTATGTCCTTCACTGTACCGTGATAATAGCAATGTTCAATTTCCTAGATACAAAAAAATATAATACAACGTTAGAGAACAGCGATTACCTGTCAAGAGGCTTTTCATTATACCGATTAAACCGTTGTGCAGTTTAAACGTTTTCAAGTATCGCATACTCGATTGAAAAGTCACCACTAATAAAAGTTTGCAGTTATAATAAATAATCCATAATAATATAAAAAGGGTTTGGTTAGATTAAATGTTTTAATGAAATAACTCCTCCAATATTTTCAAACTGCAGTTTATATTTTTTAAATGAAATTTGTATCTCGTTAGATTTTAGCTACGCTGACAAGTTATTGTTCGTACAATAACGTGTTTTAATTCAACTTTTTTGTGATTTATTTATAATATATAGTACTATCGACGTACGTTGGTAAAATAGCTTATGACCAAACGATCGCATAATATACATCAAATACTTAGATTTTTGCTTTTATAAATACATTATAATATATTTAAAAATTGTTTTGGTATAATGATATACATACTTGTTTGGACACCTGTTCAGCTCCGTGAGGTAAAAAATGTTTCTGTACTAAATTCGGTGCTAGTAATTGACTGAAAAAAAAGAAAAAATTGTATTTTAATGTAGTTACAAGACGATAAAATGAAACAATAAATACTATTTTATGATTAATAGTTAATACTTACATAATTTACAAATTACCAATAAGTTAATACACATTATACAATAGATAATTCAATTAAATTTAATATAGGGTGAGCACTCTTTGGATTTACAGAAAGTCTGCTTAATCTTACGCGCGTTTTTGGTTTGATAGGACATCAAAAAAATGTATTTTATTTCATTACAGGCGTATTTACTTTATTTATGGGCGAGATTTTTATTTTTACTTTTGCCCTTTGCTGGAAGTGATTTGTTCAAATAACTATAACGCGATTTCGTGCAATTTATTTTCGACGACCTTTGAAAACAATTAAATCCCCATTACAACGACAACCCGATTGCCCACTGCGCTTTATATCTATACATTGATTTTCAGCAAATCGAAAAAGCGTACCTGCTAGAAGTGGATTCAATATATTGTATATATACAATGTAAAGAACGACTCGAGTCGTAGCTATACTGTCGTCCCAGTCTTCTTGGTTTCTGACGGCGGCCGACCAAAAGGAGAAAAAACGGGAGTAAAAGTGAAGCAAATAAATAAATATATAATCCGTCATTAGACGGCAGTAAGAGATTTCGAGCTAACTGTCTATAGGCAGGAAAAGAACAAGGAAGCCGGAGGAGAATAATCCTGGGCTGCCATGTCAGATTACTAATACATCGGTCTACAAATAATAGGATTTATTCGTTCAATCCTGATGGATAACATATTATATTTTATGAGCTCTTTCTTTCTGGCAGACAGACTGACGACCGTAAGGAAGTTTGGGGGTAAAAAAAATATATATATATATATATCTTTAACGTCGTTGCTGAATCGCACATAGGTACACGCGTACTGTTGGTAAATATATAGTATTATTTTTAATGAGCAAAATAATTTTTGATCGACAGTGGTAGTGACGTTGGCCAAAAAAGAGCTTACGCATACACGACGTGCTAACAGCGGGGGAAAAAACAAAACGCATGGAAAAACGGCTGATCTTTTTTTTTTTATTATTACTTTTTTATAATGTATTATTGCACACTCAAATGGAAATCAATAAAACGCTCAGCTTTCGGCATCGTAATGCTCGCGTAATCGAAAACGTCAAAATTCCTCGCATCTTCTAGACATACAGGTATCTAACGTGATACAATATATATTATCGTTTTACGGTTAATGCACGTTACAGGAATACGTACTTACAGGAGAAGCGATTTAACGATATTATTAGTGACAAGAAAACAACGAAAACCAAAAAAGCTTTTATCATTCCGATACACGTCAATATTAGTTGTCTCGGATAATAAATATTACTGTTGATCAGACTGTTTTTTTTTATTTATTAAACTCCAGCTAATATTTCTGTATATCGCGTTAAATTCGAAAAAGAAACGTTTAGTTTAGTTTAGTTGGTCACACGTTGCAGACTGGCAGACACGTGTCTAGAATGGCAGAGTGGTTAGAGAGTTACAATAAAGAATCAAATTCAATCCGCTTTAGATATTCCACAGGTCCACAGTGTCTAAAGTGATTTTGTAGTACGTGTTTATCTGAGAATAGTAAATGACGCTCTACACATATTTACACTCCTTATCACTGTAAATGACTAATAATGGTAGTCTACTAACAAATTATTTGTGCATGATGGCCATTACTTAATAATTTTAATATATTTTCTTTTTATAAATTCTTGAACCGTAAGTAATTCGGGGGGGGGGGGGGGCGTCGATTAACTAATGATGCGAAAAAAAGAAGAAGCGAAAAATTTGTCAATTTCTGTGCGGGAACACCGGTGTGATTTACCGAAACCCGCGTGTAATTGAAGATCAAAAAGTTTTTATCCTCTTTGGGTCTAATATTTGTATAATAATATACGTATCGTCTTAAAATAATAACAAACTCATTGAAGACAAGATTATTTACACGGTGTAATTCTACTTTACGAGTTGTTAAACAAAGACGGGCAAATTTACTCGTGTTACGTTTGACTTGTGCGCATAATGTATGTATATATATATATATTTATATTATGAACACGAGCAAACAAGGCAAACTTTTTGGATTTACAGGGTCGTGCGTATATGGTATGTATGCGTGTGCGTGTATATATATATATATATATATACATATATATTATATATTTATGTAGTATGTGTACTGTCGGTGACACAGTCCGGAAGTCGAATTAATATCGTTCCGGCCTGTACAAGTATTTGCGTTCGAGTGTTGTTTATGAAGCCCTCCCTCTTTCCTCCGGTATATATAATAATGTTTGCGGTGATCAAAGGCGATTTGCGTGTAAATTATGTATACGAGAGCGTTAAGTCGACGCCGGCAAAAAAATAAATAAAAAGAAACGACGATAATATAATAAAGTACCGTACGCGGAATGCGTATAATATATTTTAAATTCCTTTGCTTTTCACGCGCCATAAATTTGATCAAATTTGAATGGAATCGCGGACAGACGGGTTAAACACTTTGTGTGTGTGTGTGTGTGTGTTCCCGGGAAACCCTTTTGCTATTGAAAAGCCTCGGTCGAGAATGGGTTTTTTGTGTGTGTGTGTCAGAAAATGAACACCTATTTCCATATCAGGCAGAGAGAGAGAAGAGAGAGAGAGAATAGGGTCGACGGACGGACGGGAGGGATGACAAAGCCATTATTATGTTTTACATGTCAAAGGGCCGTGCGGCGGGTCAGGATATAGAGACGAGTCGGACAAAGGAGAAGGTAGGAGAGGTCGGCGGGATGGGGGAACTTCGCACTCGCTAATGCCATTCTCTCGTCGGTAGTTATAAGCGACAATTCTAGAACGATGATTGATTACCCCTTCTGTCCGAACTTCTGCCCTCCCCTACCGCTCGTAACACACGCAAGACTAATGAAAGAAACCCGTCGGCGGCGTGCGTTTCCTTCAGAGATGTTGCCGGTTATCCATTATGATGCATTATATATATAAGTGTATGTGGCACTTGGAAGAAATAAGATATTGTTGTGTTGGCGGCCGTGTGTCTGTCGATATACTGGCAAAAGTGCTATTTTTAACTATATGTATATAATAATACAACTGTCATTTGGAATGCATGCAAAACGATGACGCGACCTATACGATTAATGGATTTCCTTTTAATATTATTATTTTTTTTTCCTCTACCGCTATGTGACCTGATTGAGAATTCCTAACGCACCTCCCGACGTGTGCGTACGTGATCCCGTAATAATAAAACGAATATTGCGACTAAGATTCGGACGCAAAAGGAAAAAAAAATGGTAAAAAAGGGAAACGAGAATTACTTTTTTACCGAGAGCGACATGTGCATAATGTCGGTTTGCCAGTGAAAGAAAAACCGGACGACAGCTGCTAGCAACGAGCTTTGAGCTGGAAAGAACATTTTTTCGTGATAAGTAACCAACTATTTACTCTTCTTTTTTAACTCTGACGGTTTTTAATGAATTCTAAAAAACGATTTGCCTTTTTTTAAGCAAAAACACTACCTTTATCCCGAATACCTATTATATCTCTAACATACTATTTATAATAACATCCTAGTCCCATTCTGTCTTGACGTCATGACGGGTTTTCAAATATATTTTTTTTGATAGTTGTTAGTGTGTGTTTAAATTTGTAGAACAAAAATCTGAATAGATATTCAAACATTTTAAATAGTAAAATATGGTTTGGGAGTTGCCATAATTATTATTAAATTTTTCGGTCTCTATATTTATCTTAATTAAATATTATTTGTTTAGCGTATGGTAGTTTCATTAAATAATAAACCGTAACGGTCATTTAATTAAATAAGTAATACTAGATGGAATTGAAAAAGATAGTTCAATATGTTAAATTCTACATTAATGGTCTAAGTATGTTTTTACTTAAAAAAAAAAAAAATATATGATTTTTATACAATAAAATGTATATAAAGGTATATAATTATTTTGTAAATCTGTGCTTATAATATTTTTTCATAAAGTTAAATTTAATAAGAAAAATTAACAATTTCTGTAAAAACTTATTAATGTTTTTTAATTTTAATTTTAGTTAAGCAAACCTCATTAAAACAACGACTTCAAAATGGTGATACCTATAACTGGAAAATATTTAATTATTTAAATGGATCGCCGCGCCGTAGAAAATATCCGTGTGGAGAACTTGAAGAAATAACGAAGCCGTTCAAAACGAAAGACAATAAAAATGTGTCTCTCTTATGATGCATGTAAAAGAAAAATCGCAGCTGCTTATAAACTAGAATCGTCATGAAATAGTTTTGTTTAAAACATGAGGATAGGAATATTTCTCTTTTTTATCCATCAAACCGAGCAATGCGACCGTTCTCCGTAAATGTCATGCAATATTCATACGAACGTACTAATACATACTAAAAAAAAAATGTATAAAAAATGCGTTCAATAGAAAATACGAGTACACATCTACTATTAGGATTTGTCATTTGACGAATGTCCAAAAATGTTAATAAAAATCGACAATGATAATTTTTCAAAATTAAAACGCTAAAAAACACATAAACGGTGATTTATTTAACTACACAATAAAATATGTATTAGTTACACCAGTTATGTATTTATATATAGGGTGTTTTTTTATATAGCCTAACCTAACCTAACCCATTAAAATTTGTAATTATCAAAGTTACAACTATTATTGTAACTGGTAATATTGGCACATATTTTATTTTCCGAAATGGCCAATCCCGAGTTTGTCGGGTGATTTACAGTTTTGGTAACGTTTAACTTTTTATATCCGCATTTCTAGTTAACAAAAAAAAAAACGCATTCGATGTATTTAGTCGGCGAAGAAAATCCAACGGGGAAATCGAAATAAGCTAATGGGGAATAATAAAATAATCAGACTTTATGACTTCGCTATACAGGATTTCGCGGTTTAAAGTTAAGTTTTTTGTAGGTAAGTCTCTCCTCTCTTTCTTCGTCTCACTCTTAGCCGTTCGGATAACACGTAATTTCTCTTTTATCCCCCAACAGTTGCAGTGCCGAAATACGTTTGGAATACATAAATAATCATTATGAAAGAGTGTGTACATTTATTTATATATATATATGTGTATAACGAACGGCCAAATATAAAGGGAACAAACGGCCGGTAGGGCGTGAGGCGAAAAAAAAATGAAAAATATGGTAATTCCAAAGTGACGCATAAATTTCAACGTTTCGCATTTTAAAATCCTACTGCTCTTTTCAACCTAGACACAATGATTTGATCGTTATCGGCTGCACTGCGTTTTTAATTCAGCACCAGCCTCGTTCTCTCATTTGCACCGTCGCCGTCCGTTACTCTGAACGGAGGGAAATTGTCGGCAGAATTATATGTATATATATATATATGTTAAAAGTTCCGGCAAGAGTGTATGGAACAAAAGAGGGGAGAGGAAACAGTGAAAAAAAAAAGAAAACGGCGCATACCTACACACACACACACACACACACATATATATATATATATATACATATTATACATATACATCTTTTCCCCCTCTTTATATTCTTCGGCTCGGTAACGGAACTGCTTTTAAGACATTGTACACGTTAATGCTATTGTCCCAGCATACCGTACCGGATGATCAACGCGCGTTTCTTGAGCTGTTTAACAACTATATAGGGTACAGACCATTGTTAACGTTAATTTGAAAAAAAAAAAACAATAACCTAAGCGTATAAAATAATATAAAAGAATACGCAGTTACCGTTTCTCACGAAATATGAACATGATAATCAGTTGTTGTGATTTTCAACGTTGCCAAGTAGGATAAAATATAATAACAGTTATTTGTAATCCGACATCAGAATATTACAAGATAGGAAACTGCTGTTGGCAACATTTTTTTTAATCGTAAAATTATGAATCGAGATTGGTCTGCAAAGACTGTCATCGATAATATTATGGTGAGGTCAAGTGGCGATCGGCCATAGGTCGGCATATGTACACCGGGGTAGTCCGAATTTTATTTTTTGCCCCTGGCATCTCATAGATTTCTTTACTATCCTTAAGACCGCGAGCATGCCAAATTTCAACTAAATTGATCAATGAAAACACCTGCTGTAGTGCTTTGAGCTAAGGGAAGTCAGGACAGCAACCACGCTTGTAAGAGGGGCGAAGAAAACATTTTAAATTCGATTACGGTTTTTTTCCAGTTATCACAAGGAATTCAACAAAGATAAAATAGAGCAAGGATATAAATCGTGGATTTATAAAATGCAATGTGAAGAGTGTGGTAAATGTTATGCAGGTCAGACAAAACGAATACAGCTTCAAAGAACATAATTATTATAAGGAACATACAAATCAAGAGCGGATACTAACCATAGCATAAAATCAGGGAAATTACTTAAGATAAACAAATAGTTTTAAAAAACTTATTATATTAAAGGACAATAGAAATGTTAAAAAATAAGAAAAAAATGTTTAACCGGGACTTAATCAATTACAAAATATTTTACTAAAATTTGTAAATACACTTATTGACGATGAGTCATTACTTCCGATATGCCGGTGCTATAAAGGTATAATAGGAGGTTGTTTAACCGTAATCGGTCTAAGTCTGTTGTGAGCGCTGATGATAATAGCATTGCTACCGAAATACGCAAACACGTTAATGTGTATCATTGCTTTTATGGTTAAGCGTTTTTTTTTTTTAGATATTTTTCTTTAAAACAAACGATTATTATAAAACTAAATATTTCATATTTTTAAGACTTATGTAATCATATGTCGTTTTTTTATAACGTTTATACGTTGTTGATAGAAAAGCTGAATTTCCTAAAAAATGTATACTAGATATATTATATGTGATGCGGAAAGCGAAATGGGACTTCTTGCCGGTAACGTCGATGTCGAGAGAAACGGCAAAACATTAGCAAACTTCAAAGTGTAATAACATTGTCAGTTTTGTTTTGGCTACAAAGATGTACCAGGTATCAAATTGTTTGAAAATCAATGAACTATCAGAAAATAGCAGTAACATAATTTTGGGAAATGCCGAAAAGAGGTTCTTTTTCTCTTTCCGCATCGCATATGAATTACTATAGGATTTACTATAGTAGTATTTATTTTACTTACGTGTTGAGCTCCAGGTCGAGACGAAATTTATGGTTGAACGCTTTTATTAGTATTGAAGTTCTGTGAAAATGTTTCCCCATCTGCAAAACAAAAAAACAACGTTATAATGACAACAACAACAATAGCAATAATGTTTAATACGGCGATACACGTATTACGGTTTAAAGCTCGCCATATAATTTACAACACACATAAGTACAAGCGCGCATATAATATGATTGTACCTAAACACAACCGACTAGTAGTTTGTAACTATAAAATTGGCCATACAATGCGAATTGGAATTCGCTAAAAGCTTCAGACGGACGGGTTTACCGAGTTCGACGATGTGTATATATTATATATAAGATAAATATAATTTATATGACCGGACTACACATTGTTATATTACACTTGTGTAAAGAGAACGGGAACAGTTCAATTCTATGGGGAGACTCTAATTGACATTTGCCGTGCACAGTTTATTGACTATTCTCAAAGGGCGAATAATGTAACCCGGAAACGCACATAGTCATCTGTAAAAGACAGCTTTGATCATGTGACAAAGCTTAAGTGGCCTTTAGCAACGCACGGCAAACTTTCTATGAACAATACTCTACTCGAGTCGCACACCACGTGTAGAGTAGGCTGTAAGAGACGGTTGTAAGAGAAACAAAATGGCCTGTTTTTTGTTTAAAAATGATTTTGTTGTTGTTCTTTTTTCCCACACTTCTCTTGCCGCTCTTTGATGTTTTTTTTTTTTAAACGCACAAAGGCCCTATATAACGTTATCGAGACTTATCGTCCAGCGAAAAGATCTTCCTATACCCACTTATTATTGTTATTATAAATGAATGTTCAAAATTTATGTGTAAATTATTATTTTTATAAACCGCTAATATTGGCATGAGGCCAAGTGTTTGATATTTTGATTTTACTATACAAGTTATACAGATAAAATGAAAACAAGTAGGTCTATCGTCTCTGGAGAGCTAATTGAATTTTTTTAAACTTCCAGAGGATTAAAAAAAAAAGTCTATATCGTCTAACCGACATCTTTTATCGGTTGAAAAGGCTCATAAACAAAGTACACGCGCAGCCGTAAAACGTTTAAATGATATTATGGTGCCACCGCAATCGCAAATGACTAATTTGAATGTGTAATCATTAACTTAAGTTGGAGTTGTGTGCTTCCTTCATAATATTGACAATTGACATGTTAATTTTGATCGAGGCAAAAGCTTCAAGTGGTACGTTTAAACATATATTCCACACAGCTAATAGCAAATGCCAATTAGTGAGAAAATGATTTACTTCAGACGTTTTTATCATGTCTCGTGTTCGGTCGTTATAATTCCAGTTATTGCGCGTTTTGTGAATGCCATGTTTTTCTCGAGACGCTGTTTCAAACGAACCTCTGAAATATTATTATAATGCATTTCGAATCGACTAAGAAGAAAAATTAAAAAAAAAAACACAACACACCTTCAACCGGAGCAGAGATTCATTTTTTTTTTTTTACACAGGAAAAGAACTATTTCCATTTAAATTCGACTTCATTGGGATTTTTTTTGTTATATTAAAATTTCTAATAAAGTTTAAACATCAAAGAACCACGTCGAGTGTAGATGCTTTTTTTCTTATTTTCAGCGCTATTTTGCCGTGTGTACCCAGTTATTTAGAGTATATTTTTTCTGTTACGAAAATTGCGTTCAATTTGAATTCAAAGTCTTTGTTGTCACCCAATCCGAAAAGTTTTTCTCGGGACTTTCACGTTCGCTACACGATTTGAGAAAAGAATGTCAAAACTTTTGCGCGAAAATCAAGACTAATAAATCACGGGCAACGGATTTATAGGTTATGCGCAAGAAAAGTATGAAGATCGTCCCTTGGTCCGCAGATAAGCTAAATGTATGCGCTAACATGAAACAAAACTTTAACGCGGGACCGAGATTAAAAAGAAAGCAAAAAAAAAAAAACATACATTTATCCATTGCAGGTTAGAAAGAACTGTGCAGCTCTAAGAAAAGGAAACTCTGAGAATATTATAAGTAAATTAAAAAAAAAACCGTATTCTGTAATTGGCTAGAATTAAGAAAATAATAATTATCGAAACCAGGTGAAACGTTAGTACAATTTATAAATTGTCTTAATATTATTAATGGTACTTTTTTTTTATCAAGGAATTGTTTGAAAGGTAAACGCTATGTATACACTTAATTCTAAAAATGTTAAAAGTTCACGATTTTGTGTACACCCTGACATCGAATATTATAATAACCTTTGAATGATTTTGACTACCTTGTAAAAATAACTACCAGTCGATTATAATTCGTGGCAAATAATATTCTAGATTTATAATTAATTTGAAGTTTAGGCTGAAAGTATTTAGTTTAAGCGCTCGGTATAATATTGCGCGTAGGTAGAAAAACAAAACAGTATTAAAACAATTCACTACATTTCCCTTTTAAAGTTCGTTTTAATTTGAGAAATAATTACTTTGAAGCTAAAACTGGTTATCGACCGCCTAATTAGTTTTACTTTTTAGTTATAGTGTTTTTGTGTCAGCTTTTAATATTCAAATAAAATTACTTTCGGAAACACGATGGACGTGCCTTTACATAAATTATCGGAAAACTGATACTTTCGTGAAAGTAATGGAAAAAAATTTAATTAAATATTGTTATTTTGGATCTTAAGAGATTTAAACCGGATCATATTTGGCGAATCGGTCGGTATTTTAGTTTCATAATAAATCATAGGAGAACGGCCAAGGCCTGAACGCTCTAAAAGCGGTTCACGATTTATTTCTCCCTTTCATTTTCTATTAATGTGTATAATATAAATGTATATAATATATAGTTATAGTTTTTTCCCTTCAGACTTCAGAGTAAAGTAAATTGTATTTTTCCATATATATTTATACCGTTATGCTTTGATCCTTGTCCCACGACGTCTTTAGAACTAAAGTTAAGTTTTTCTTTTTCTAAAGGATAACTTCCGCAATAATTTTCTAATTTCTCATTATTCTAACCGGTATTTCCCATAGTCATGACAATAAAATATTATCGCTTCCCGTTCCGATTTAGTCTCTCTCTCTCTTTTTTTTCCGTCACCGTATGAGTATCGTTTGGGTCTACACTGAATTCAATTCGAACCTGACCCAACAACGTTTTAGCACTTAACCGGGTACGCTTTATCGCTGCGATAATGATAATTTAATATTTAAATTATTCGTAGCTGGTTCAGCTTAAACGAGACGGTTGTTAAATGGTAGCGAACACCTTTGAAACTTCAACAGAATTCCGGAGAACAGATAATCGTTGAAATTGTACAAACTAATTAGGAACTAACATAATCGTTAAAAAGAGTGGTCGAATCTAATAACCATTTCACTGTACAAGAGGCTATCTAAATTAGCCAGTTTGAAACTTTGATAATACTCAAGTACGGCTATTAGTAAATCTCAAAATATCGCTATTGTAAAACATTTCCAAAAAAAAAAAAAAAAACGTTTGACATCCTGGCGTTTCAAGAATAAGGAGGATTTGTATTATTTTTAAAATTGGTAATGAGAAAAGTTTTTAGACCTGCATACTAGTTTCGATAGTTTGTCGAAGAAGATTTTTTCTTCTATGCGTATACTGTTCAATAATGTCTGTAAAGTGGTACTTAACCAAAGGGTAAAAGTGTGTTTTCATAAAATTTCTAATTTTTATGCGTGCGATGATATTTTATATTATTTTATTCATGTAAAGTTTTTATTAAAATAAAATAAAAATGATTTCAGATAGCACTGTAGCGTTTTGAGCATGTGTGTGTTTAAAAGAGGATTGAACCTTGGTGGAATAGAACAAATGAAAAAAAAAATGTAAGTTCGAGTCAGACACGAGGGATAATAACGGAGCAATGATCAACTAGAAAGAGGGGAAAAAGTTTTCTTCGTTGAGCGCGTTTTCGTATCCAACCCTTTTATTTGTTGCAGACGAATTGAATTAAAGTAGCATACTATTTTCTACAAAGGTTCATTATGGCGTCGCCGGTATAAAATATATTATTTGAAAATATTATACCTGGTCGTTTGTGCATCGACTCATTTATGGGCACGAGACACGGCTGCGTGGGTAGGAATAACGAACCAACGACCAAGATTTTAATAATTATATGAATGATGTTATTGAAAGAATCGAAACAGATTTTCCAAACTTTACAAAAACGTTTTTCCGAGAACTGCACTGTACACAATAGCTGTTGGCGGAGCATAATGTAATATTACTAAGAACTACTTGTCAATAGCCGTTTCGGCTGAAAACGATTTTCAACTTTTACAAAGTGATAAAACTAAATTGTGTAAAACAGTGTTTATTATAATAATTTACCGCATAAAACTCGAAAGGAGGCAACCGATATTCACCGAAATGACCCAATTCTCATCATTGTTAATATTTCAAAGGGGGGAAAATTCAAAGTAATACACTTAGTACAACTACAGTTTGAAAACTGTTTGGAAAAAATGCGATTGGGTTTTATGTTCACTCGACTTGCATTACTGAAAAACTGTTTAAATTTATATTGTCAAAGCCTATATAACTAGACGACAGAGATATTTTTTTGGGTTACGGTTTGGACCTCTATTGGTTTTAATATTGTGTGGTTTTTTTTTTGTATCTGATGGGTCAAACATTTTAACCGTCGAACCGATTTATTTTAAAAGTGTTTGTATCGAATCTATTTTGTACTTTCGAAGGATACATGTCGTTCATTATGATACAAAGCAAAGTGTTTATTAATGTATTTTTAGTGTCAAGGAATCGCGTATATGTGATTTCTGTTTAGTTAAATAAGAACAATGTTCTGAAACAAAATTGAAAAAAAAACGTTATTGTAAAAGCAATACCTTCAGAGTTTTGCGACAAAGCATATTTAGGTTTATATATTTAGGTTGATTTAAATATAGATCATACAAATATTATTCTAAATTTTATGATAGTAATAAATATAACTATTACATAAGTTATCTACATAAACCTTCTACTATAAAGCATAACATAATACAAAGTTTTTTGTTTTTCGAAATAGGTTGTATAATTATATATAAAAT